ATAATTTCATCATTCTCGCTCCACCTCTACCCATCTACTGTACCACCACACCGTCTAACTCTTTTTGTTCTATGCGGGTTTTTTTCAGTTATGGCCTCATATTCTTTGTATATGTATAGTATCCTTGTTCATGTCAAGGAACGACCACATGTCCCCTAGCGCAGATCACTCTGTCTTCCACAGTAAAATCGTGATCTGTAATTTAATAAATGAACTAACATACCTATTGGATGCTAATATGTCGCTTTTATCAATAGCAGCTTTTTAAAATGTGCTAAACCATTTAATTTAAAGCTTTTCAAACTAATTTGGCCATTGATAAGGGCATCATACAGCTCTGACCATTTCTTATACGGCATGTCACTCGGGCACAAAGCAGTATCTGCCTTTTCGCCAAAATCAAAACCCGTGAATTCGCACCCCAATGTTTCATTTCTGTAGCGAATTATGCCACCGTCTGACACCCTCTTGAAACTTTTCCACGGAAACCTTGTCAAATTTTTGTCGACTTCGTTGTCTACATACATTCATTAACAAGTATTGATACATTGATAACTGCAATGCAGGCACTGCTTGTAACATACTACAGAGTTCAATCATGAGGTCCTTAACCGTGCTTTTCTTTTTGGTAGGCTTTCTGGTCAAACGAGGGCCTGGCGAAAACGAATAATATACATTAGTAGCTCCTTTTAACAATGCTATTGATGTGTTAGCGATAGTTACCGCCTGTTGTTCCTATAGTGACAGATTGTTATTAAGAAAAGTCAATAAATAAATAGTCCTTTTTCTCAATAACATGTTACTATCACAGTGTAGTATTAACCTTGACAATGTCGATGGAAGTTTGGACGCCCTCCCATCTTATTCAATGCGTTCTGAGCTTTCTCTTAATAGTTGGTATTAGAACCTTGAATATGAGCATTTCTAAGAAACAGATTTACTACTTTACATACTAGATGAGACTATAGGTGTAGTAAGCATCCAATCGGTCTCAAACTGGGGAGACATGAGCGTGCCGACATTCCATCCCATGACCACGCTAGCACGGTGGTTAACCGACATGTTCTCGCGTCTGAAAGCTCTCCCAAGCTGCTGACGAACATCTAGTTCCATAGGAGCCGGTTGCTCCATCATATGGTTCATGCGCTTAACCTTCTCTTCAAGCTTTTTCTGGTGCTCCTCGTTCATGCGAGCACAGATCGCAGCCAGTTGAGCAATTGTCGTTGTCAACTCTCCATCGTTATACTGTCTGATAATATCTTCCCATTCTATATACTAGATAAGTAAAAATTTTCATTTTACCTATATACAAAATAGCAAACCTTCTCGCTCTTTGTCAGTGCTATTTTGAGAAAGGAAGTAAGTTAACGCGTTCCAAGTGGACCACTTTTTGGTTCTCTTAGGGCGGTAATATTTGTTGCTGGAAGCATTTGACTGCTCTGGTTGGGGTTCCTGGTTGCTCAGTGTCGAAATGGAGGACGCAATGTAGTGAGAATTATTCTGAGAAAAAGAAGGGAGAAAGCTGGTGCTATGGTAGGCTGAGCATACTATAATTTCTACGGTGTGCACGGCGTGACACCGCAGAGGCCACAGGGTATGTTCCGTAGAGCTTGTAGAGGCCCGTACGGCGTCCGAATATGGGCAAATAATTTGGGCCTGGGGTGTTCGTTCCAGTGATACTCACATTGAATAGCCTTGGTTTAGAAAAGTTGACGAGGAGGAAGAAGAGCGGCATGATTAATGCGGCCGCGCGGTTAAGACATGCTATGCGGCATTTGAGCCAGTTCATTCTACCCAATCAGATTACTCTCTCACGTTTATGACGCGCCGAGGTGTGTGCCCCTCCAGATCAGATACTTTACTTTACAGTGAATGTATGACTTTGTGAGTAGACGGGTAGCGCATCGAGGAAAGGCTTAAGGGGATAAACATCATTAACACGATATGAAGCTCACTTCAAATCCTTCATCATCTGAGAAGTGACATCGCTTTAAACACGCTGAATACATAATGTATCAAGGTATTCACTACACTAAGCATCGAAACGGCCTTCACTCGACGTGTGAAACCGCTCACCATGATAGTAAGTAGCATTTATAGACAGTTACACCTTTATGCATTCACATCGATATAAATTGGCTGTATCATATCAGATACACTTTGCATTTAAAAAATCTATAGCGCAATTGCGATATCGTGCAGTGTTGATATTGTTGGTTGTTCGTGCTTAGAAGCATGGTTTCGGTAAAAGGATTAAGACTGATATGTAGCTAATAGCACACCATGCAAAAACCCCATTTCCTTGTAATGGTCAAATTTGCATGATTTATTTATAATTACTAAACCTAACAGCGGTCTGTCGGTAACGTGCTACTGTAGATACCCGCAGAAGCAACACAGTGGAAAGGAGAAAATGATAAACACAAAATCAAAAAGAAAGTTACAAAGAGAAAATATTACAGTATTAAGTTATGATAGATGCTGGTGATGAGGTTGAGGTTGAGGGTGATGCCCTCTCGTCTTTTTCTTTTGTTCCGTCTTGGTGCTGTTGTTCTCGCGCTTGTTGAAGCTGCTGTACAACATGCTCTAACCGACTTGCATGACTGTAACGACAATAGCCCATTGCTACACTCCATTGCCATATCAGCCACCGTCGCCTTTTTTTGTTCTGTGTCCGATATCGCCATTTCTTCATTGCTGCCGTGGATTTTGATGCTGTAGCGATAGTATTAGATATGTTGGTTTTAGACAGGACGCTGTGGCACTGTTGTGACAAGGAAGCAGGAGTTTGTGATGATGTTGATGACGCAGCCAGGGTAGTAGCCGAATTAAAACATGTTGATCGTGCAGAGGTTGTCCCCATGACAGAATGTGGACGTGGACCCCCTCTTGCCGCTGTTGAGGTGCTGCCGATTACTGGGGATGCATGGGATTTTGATACTGTGGAGCCTGGCGTCGTCAGGATATAAGAGTAAGACGAGGAAGTGGAAGAGCCAGACGTTATGTTGGAGAAGGGGATTGTGGTGAGACTTGATGGGTTACTATGGCTTGGGTATGATGCTGGTCTTGGTAGTACCTTTGATGACATTACTGTTGAGGCTGGCGGAGGAGGTTGAGGTGACATGCTGTTAGCTGGTAGATCTTGATATGTTGTCTTTTCCGATTGCTGCTGTTTTTCCTCATGTCGGGCGGTTGCTTCCATCCATAATAAGCGTAAGCGGCCACGCTCTAACCATAATTGACGCTTTCTTCGACGTCGATAATGCCAGTAAATACATCGCAGTATGTACACTGAAATGTAGAGCGAGGCTACACAAATAACAATGACAGGCAAGTAGCTGAGATAGACATCCGACTGCGCTAACGGAGAAGCAGCGACAGCATCAGTACCAGCAACAGTAATTGTGAAAGATGTGTCCGGCGTCGGCGTCGTCGACGGCGCTTGTGTTGGTGACATTGTTGCGAGCAACTGGTCATACAAGAGTGGTTGTCCCAGAGTATATACAAACCAGTAGTAGAAAGGGAAAGAAAGCAGAAACGCAGAAAAAAAAGCAGGAAGCCAAGGAGTGAGCAAAAAGGGAAAGTATATAAGAAAAGGGATCTCCCATATTGTTGGTTTTCTTACTAGCTCTTACTTTGCTCTCCCCCATCATTCTAATCGATCACACTCAGTCACTTTCTCTCACCTTTCCTTCGTTTATACTGCGACAAAAAAAAACAGAAAAGAGGCCGTAATATATAACAGTCAATATCACAATGTGCTTTTGTGATTTAAAGGGGATAGGCTACTATTGCTGCCTGCTTCTATTGGTCTTGCTGCTGGTGCTGGTGCTGATGATGGGGTCGCATCCCTGTGTGTCTATGTTTCTTCACTGCACTGCTTACATTTGTATTCCATTTAAGCAGTTAAAACCGTGGATGGGAAGTGGGGGGAAGGACGGGCTAATGATTCATGATGATAGCCATGATATAGCAGCACACACAATACATAAGCATCTCAGCTAAGCGTGGACATTTCGGCTTTGGGGGTCTTCTAACCAGTAATCGGCAAGGACCGCGGAAATGCAGAAGTCGGATAATTGCGTTCTCTTGGCCCGAGGCCCATGCCTTTTCACTCTGTTCACACATACCAGCACACTTGGCTGATGGTAAAGTAGAAATCCCCTTTTGAGATTTCGAGCAGTGTGCCACACTCTGGCTCTTCAAGTTCAGCCCGGCCTGGGACAGTAACAAGATTCGTCCATGTGTGATTGTATACTGTCTTTTTTCTTTACGCCGTTAGAATTGAAATGCTATATAACCATCATATTCTAATCTCTGTTATTCTTCTCTTCCATTCTCCTCGCCTGACCCCCTTCCTTGCAGTCCCCCTTCTCACCATTATTAATGAATGATTATCTGGACAACAATGATAAGGTAATGACATCAACGACGTGTGTTTTTGGGTAATGGGATGTGTGCTCTTTTATTAGAGTTTTGCTTTGTTTTTTATACACGAGATATTACTCTTTTTGTGTGTGAAGAACTATAGTACATCATCATCTCTCTAAATTTGATTAATGGATCTGTAAATTGGATAAGAAATCAGTTATAAAATTCTCTCAATGTAGAATATATAGTCCATATGATCTGATATAGTCAAGAAACAACTATCATGCAATAAACCTTTCTCTCGCGCTCTCACACTCACACGGTCTCACTGTTTGAGATACAAAAATAAACACCTTACCTTGAGACACTTTCAAACAACCGTTCGATATCAGTTGCGCAACGTGTGAATGCATGGTTCCAAAAGTTGTATCGAGGGTTCTTGATTAACTCGATGAATGTAATCAACAACCCCCACGGGTGAGGCCGGTTCACGATCAAACGTTCCAAAAGGACACGGGTTATCTGCTCCTTCACCAGCTCCTGGTCACTCTCGGCAAACAGATAGAGTAATACGCAGCTAAAGTAATGAGTATGACTGTTGGGATACCGCAGCTGATTGGCAATGGCGCTCAGGAATACATAACGACCTATAGATATGGATGTAATTGGTACAATTGTCGATGGATGATGCACGGCGACCTTTCTTATGAAGACGCAATGTTCCTTACCTTCTGGATCAAGCTTGTCCAAAAGATACTGGTATACTTTCATTGGTGCGCCTTGATGTACAGGGATGGATCGAGTAGCACCAGTGACTCCAACATAAAACACCAGAGCGTTCATCTTGGGAACATTGTATTTGGAAGAGGCTTCACTTTGGTATTGCTGTTGTGATGACGAGCCCAGCTCCAATTGCTTGACAAGACCGACCAAGAATGCTTCTTTGGGGGTGCTGCTGTTGCTATCACCGGCATCGTGGGTTTCCAGGAACTGATCGATCTCCTGCTTGAAATTTCCCGCCATTAACGGACTCACATAATCCGATAGTATCCGGGGCGGCTGCTGGATTTCTGGTAATAAATCAACCTTGAGATTCGGCGTGAATGGGTCAGGCAATCGCATGTTGCGCGGGAACGCACTCAGAATAAGGTTACGCAGCTGTATGCAAGATGACGGTATCACATCGCAGAAGCTAAAGTGATAATCGCATAAAAACTCTGGAAAATCATGTAGCAGGACTAGCAGGATACGCAGTGTGCCCCGATACAGCATCCGGGTGGTGTCCCTTAACTCTACATCACGCAAGAATGGGACCAGGAATTGGAATAGACAGATAAGTAATCGTTGGAACGCAGGCCAGCCCTGTATTTATTTGTATTCGTCATCGTAAAGTTAGTATGATGATGCCCTTATTAACTTGTTGCTCTTCTCTTTTACCTTTTGGTTTTCTGTTAATAATAGCTTTGGCATAAACAGTCTGTGTGAAACTAACTGCAACCAAGCAAACGTGAAACCAGGGAAATAGGATGGCTGCAGCGTATGGAATGTGTTGCTAAGTGCAGTCAAGACGGGTAGATATACTGACTGCAGCTGCTGCTCTGACGAATGCAAATCGCTCAACAAGCAAGTGAACAAGCGCAAAAACGGTCGCTGATTGAACTGGCGCCTGTTCTGCTCATGGTGTTGTGCCAAAACCAAGACGATCACAGAGAGTACTTTAGAGAACTGGCTGACCCTGATGGCATTACTGCCACTACTGGTGCTGGCACTTTCGACGGGAAGCTTAATCAAGCCGACCACAAGTTTAGAGAAGGCATCGATGAGCTGGTATGCGGCGCCAGGAGTCTGGCCAGGGATCTGCTTGTACTTGACGACGCGATCGATAGACATTTCGACACATACGCGGAAAAACAGCGATGACATGTCTTCACTGTTTAAGACGGTTTGTTGTGAGAGTTGTGTGAGAAATGCTTTCTGTGCCTTGTCGGTTGTCGAAGGATGTTGATAAAGTCGAACCCATTCTGCAAACAGATATTGAAGCTGGTCGTGGGCACCTCCTTCTTCATTTGGCACGGCATCTTGCCCTGCCTGCTGCGCGGCATCGCGAATATCGCCCATCAAACCTAGCACGCTCTCGGGTACCTTGCCACGGAGCCCACTCAGAGCTTCCAACGAGTTGAAGAAATCCTGAGGAGTAGCAATATGTTCGTCGAAAATGCATGTATGGATAAGTACTGCCGTAAACTCGATTGCTGACGTTCGTCCACTGCCGATTAAGAACCCAAGCTCCTGGTCTTGCTCTGCAAGATTGATCAGGCCGGCTTTGATCAGTGCAACGGTCACTGGCACATTGTATTTGCGCTCGTCGTCGACATGGGTCAGCCAGTACGTCACCAGCGTACCAACATTGGGAGACACTTCGCATAGGCGTTCCAAGACTACAACGTACATCTCTCTTGCAAGCTGCGTCTCGCTCTTGTACAGTACAGAGACTACCTTTTGTGCAAAGGCACGGGCAGCTTCAACCTTATCAAAGCTCGACAATGCCAGCATTGGAACTTGACGAATAATCATACGGATATCATGCATGGGTGGCAAAGCGGCGAAGCTTGACACATTGGCATGACTGGCCAGCTTTTCCAGCTCGGCGAGGTATTGTGTGAATCGCTCTAATATTTGGTGTGCCGTTGCCTGTTGCTGCTGTTGTTGTATAGGAGTAGCTGTTGCTGCTGCTACCGCCGCTGTGTCATAGCCTGCGTTGACGCTCATGGGTCCACCTGCACCAGCGTTGTACCCATACGAAAAGGCCGCTTCTGGACGGGACATCTTGGGCGTGCGCTCACTCTCAAGAGTCTGCATACCGGCTTGCGGAACGGCTCGCGGGATGCGGGCAAAGTCTTCGTACACACGAAGCTGTGCTGGCTGCAGACCACTGGGCTTTGCCCGTAAAGGCTCTGGTAGTGATGAAGGGTACCGTGTCATTGCAAATATGTCCATGTCAAAATAGGGTTGGCCCGGGGCTTGCTCGCGATGCTTTTTGCGACTGGCATAAGCGTTCATTAAGAGGTCGTCGATCTCATCAGTGACTTTTTCCATGGCAACCTTTTCAATCACGGCACAAACCAAATCCAAGTTATCTGATACAGTGATTAACACTGCTTGTTCGGCCAAAGTCTATATCAGATATGGACATATAGCTTAGCTTTTGCACGTCTTTCTCGTATGATTATCAATTTTTACGAATCTTACGTCAGTTAAACCGTTTGCCATAAATATAGCACGAAGGTTGGTTGCCATACTCAGGCGTAATGGCTCCTTGCACGTCACCATAGCTAAGCTGCCAGCCAAGTTTTGACCCATTAGATGTGCAGCATTACGCATCTTATTTTCATCACTCTCTACAGCGAAGTCCTTGGCGACAAGTTCTCGTGTAGATACTGCCGCAATAGCAACTGAGCGCTCGACAACAGGCTCGATTATCTGGCAATCAGAAAAGCACCAGTAATAGCAGTTTAGTGGATACAATCTTTAGGCATTAAGAGACATACATATTTCGTTTGCTAAATAATGGGATACTCACTTCACGAATCGATTGTGTGATCGCTTGCAATACCCAACGTTTCGCAGCAGGCTGTGTCGAATAGAGAATGATTTGTGGATTGAATACGAGATAAGGCGCGATATTAGGCAATACCATTTGCTCGTCCAAACCCGCACCAGTACCAGCTTCCAAAGCAGACGCTTGGAGCAATGCGTTTGGATCTGGGGATTTGCCTGTCATATTGAGTTGGGCACCGGTAGCAGTGCGGCCGAATGCTTCCATGAGTGAATTCTTGTTCATCTGGTCTTTATTCCGTCCGCTCTTCATTATAGACGTAGGCTCAATATCTAAAAGCACGATTAAAGATCATGGTTAGCCCACTAATCTTCCCAAACTTGCTATTCTTCGAGCACTAAATCCGTTTAAAATGCACAATCTTTACCTCCAAGTTCAAGCGATAAACCCTTGCATAGCACTTCTATTTCAAACCTGAGATTCAACTTGAGCTCGGCAAACTGATAAAGCTCTACCAACAGCTTGAGGATAGCCATCAACCACGGGTTGGGCGGTTTGAATACAACGCTCTTGGTGCATTGTTCCAAGACCTTGCACACAAATGGAATCACCACAATAAGCCGGTTACTGTCAAAGCCTTCTAATAGCAGATCCTATTCGACGTTCATTTCTCAGTCATTAACAATCCTTTGGGATATTAATGCTAAAGAAAGAAAATATTACCTTGAACGCGATGTTTTTATGTCTGATAGGCTTGTTTCTTGCAAGCGTCAGTCCACCTAGCCATGAGCCAAGGTTTTTTAATAAACTTCGCTCGGACGAAGAAGTGACAGTCTTCTCCGAGTTGAGAAGAATTTGAATGTTGGCATATGTTTCGCGCAAAACGTTTTGATACAGCATACTACTGTTGACTGTATCCATCACCAACAGGTAGAGTTCATGATAATTTGGTTCAAGGCTCACTCGTTTGACCACCAAGTAATTGCTGAACCATTGATACGCGGTCTTGTCGAGCAGCTTAATCAACTCTGTCGTCTTCTCTTTCAAATTGTTGCGTGCGATGTTGTTAATGATAAACAAGATTTTGTCCTGGATACTTTCCGCAGGCGTCTCATACGGAGTGTCATCATCTGAGCTGGAGATTTCAGGAACGTGTATAGCAGTAAAAGCAGAATGATCGACCGGTAAACTGGCTGCTGCTGCTGTTGCTGCAAGCGCCGGTGGCGTCGAAAGTTGTCCATCCATCCTGCTCAAAGGTGGAAAACTCGGTTGTCCAGGTATATCTTGTGGTAGTGTGTCACTTCCTTGCTGAAGCTGGGCTTGTTGCAAAGAAGAGCTGACAAGCCGTACTAGTTCTGGGTTCGCTTGTTGTAACTGGGGGATTTGTAGCAGATGAACGCAATACTGCGGCCATTCAGGCAGCCGTGACTGAAATTGCGATAACGCTTGGACGCCAAAGTTGAACATTTTCGAGCCGATTGGGTTTCGTATTGCGTCCAAAACACATCTTAAGGCGATTCCAAGAGGGACGAAAGATACGAGGTGGTGTTGTACCAGAGCGCCAAACAGTACGCTAGTAATCGATAGTTCTTTATCCGGATACTTTGGGAAGAAGTGATATTCGTCAAACAAATTGTGGATCATGCATGCAAATATGTCTTGCTCTCGTGCGTTTTTCGACTGACTGAACATTTTCAGACGTTCGACCATTTGATCGATCGACATGCTTCCGCTGTAAATCCGTTCGTAGTATGAGTTGGCTTCTTCTTCTACATCTGGCTTGAATGAGATTTCTCCAGCGCCTGTCGAAACATTGTCGGATGTCCCACGGATGTTCATCAATTTTGGATACGTTTTTAGACTGACTGCCTGCACCTCTTTTAATAACTCGGCATTCTGAGGGCTGATAGGACTGCAATTACGGTGAATTAGACATTACTCAATCATCCACAGTCATGTAATACACTCGCAAGTGCATTAATCCACAAAAATTAGTGCACCTAGATACATACCTGTCAGATAGTACTTTTAAAAATACACCGATTACCTCGGGAGATAATGGTACGGTAGACGGGGCCATATTTGCTTCCTGTCTTGAGACTTCAGCAGCTAATTTTTGGGTGAGGAATCTCAGGCACGTATGGATAAAAAGATCCTTGTGCTCTGCGATTTTTTCCTGCAACCATTTTTCCAAGTTGAGAAACTCGCGACGGGAAGCAAGCGCAGCCAAGTCTATGGAGAAGAAGAAGGGTTGGATATCGAGCATACGCGATAGTAGCTAGCCATATACTCAGTATCGTCATTTCTTACTGGTCGTTCGAAAATTACCTTTAGTTCATGCGTAATATCCAATATACGCGACAGTGACGTGGCATCGCTGCCATACATTTCGAGCATGCTCTTGTCGAGGAAATCTGGGTTCACCAGCCAGAGTTTCTTGAGTACCAAGGGACTGCTTGCGTTTCCGTTTAAATAGATCAACAGGAGACGACCCAGAATATCTTTTTGATACACAGTTTTCACAGCCTGTGTTACGTCAGAGGATGTGTTCCCAGATTTTAGAGCCCACAATAGATATATTCTGGTAAGTCATCGATCTTGAACGTTGCACAAGCACATTCCTCTCTCGTGGTTCCCCTCACAAAATATGTACCTTTGCTTGGATAAATCCTAGAAATACCAGTTCAGGGCACTTGTTCACCATCATCTCCATGAAAACCTTAACATCATCCACTACGGCAGTTTCAGAAAGATCGAGAACACATTCAAAGAGATCCAACGAGTTCAGCTGCTCGTTGTAAAGCTGCACTGCCTGCGTACGCACGTGAGGTCCAGAATTGGCAAAATCGTCCAATTCGATCACCTTTCGCTCCGAACATGCCACTAGACTAAGTACGTCCGCGGAAGCATTGGCCATTTGGTATAATGCGCTCAATTGTCCTTTCAAATTCCTCCATTTGCCGAAAAACTTGTTAGCGGGAAATGATTCTCCACCCTAATACAGGTTTTCACACTAGAATGAGTGAAATGGAGGCGAAGAGATACGTGGAAACATGTTGGAAGGGAATATGCAATCGGGCATGCCAAATTCATTACTTTACCTTTGGACTGTTCTTCCATGCGCGCACAATAATATCCAATCCCTGTGCATCATATACGAAGAAATGTGCATAGTCCAGACATTCGATAACCTTGTCCCAGTCCAATGATGGAGCCTGAACAACCATACATGTCAGTCTTTCTATCTTCTTTCTTCTCCAGAAACAGTATAAACAAGTTGTAAACGTACAAGTTCTTTCATAACTGTTACGAAGTTCTCCACGTTCCAATTGGATCCAGATGGTGATCCGTTTCCAATGCCACTCATGTTGGTATACGTTCGTGCCATGCAGCCTATGGCTACTGCCACATCTTTTTCCTCGATCCTTTGGTCAATATTGGCCAGTAGTTCGCGTAATGCGTCCGTGGTGCTACAGCATTCATAGCCAGCTTCCAACATTTTTTTACTGATCACGCTTTCCCTAGCATCGACATCGTCATTTCTTTCCGATCAAGAGCAATGCGGAAAACGGAGAGAAAGAGAGAAATTAACATCATCATCACGGATAATACAGAGAATACACGATATCGCGTGTATTTATTTGTCGGAATGCAATAATGAGAAAACGAACACTTACTCTGCCATGTTGGGATCAATAGACAGTTGTTGTTGTATCCTTTTACAGATCGATTTATCGTTACAATACTTTGGAAGAACGGCTGCAAACAGTTGGATATCTTGATAGTTGAAAAGGCCGAATCCAGCAGTGACACTTTTTTTAATTGAGTCTATGCACCAAGTGATTACTTTTTCGTCAAAGGTGGTGTTGTTATTAGGATGTAGTTGCTGTTGCTGGTAGTCAATGACGTGTTTAAAATCGCGCGAAGCTAATGCTTTTGCTACATATTAAGTGAGCCAATGTTTAGTTCATGTACTCACATAATCAGAAAACAATTCCATCTTTGTCTGTTTTCTTCTTCTTACCTTGATCAGATATGTGTTGTTGTTGGTTTTGTTGGTTTTCGAAAGATAAACTTAACAACAGTAACGATGACAACGCAAAACGTTGAAATGCGTCCAGACCAAGTTTAGTATAAAGATATTCAAGGTCAACAACCAGTGGAGCTGAATCCGATTTACAAAAGCAGCAAAGCGTTTCGGCAAACGTAACAAACGGTAGTTCCAATTGCTGTTGATTGTTGTTGCTATGATTCTTGTCGTCACTTGAAGGATTAACAGTACTACCCAGGGTGTTGGTGTTGCTGCCAGTAGTGATAACAATATCCTTGAGTAGCAAGTAGAGTAGTGGAGTGTTGTTGGTTTGCTTCCCAGAAGAGTTGGCGTCTTTTTTGAAAATGTCAACGAGTAGAAACCGTATTAGATGCCGGCGAATAACTGCACCGTAGGTATCGATTAGCTGAGGGAAACGCAGAAGGTAAAAAAGTTGAAAGAGAATATGCTTTAAGTTCACGCAACAACGAAATCGGGTTGGATTTCAATAATGCCCCCCGAACTACTATGTCACACACCAGCTCTACACTTTTTCCCCCTTTTCACCTTATCTTCTAACAAAAGGCTTTAATTTTTACCGTTATGATTTCAACGCATATTGTGGAGTAATTAGCTTCCGTTAAATTGGATGCCAATAAAATAATTTGGGCTTTGACGATACGTGTCAAACTGTGCCGTGTTACTGGGCTTTTGGACATTAGCAACGGTGGAGACACAGAACTGGCATCGGAGGAAGTAGAAGTTTGGGGTGATTCTAGATTGTTGTTACTCATAGTTGTTATGATTGCTGCACTGTACTGCATACGGCGCGTGAGTACAAAAAGGATTTAAAATTCTTTGAACAGAGAAGAGAGAGTGAGAAGGAAGAAAGAAGACGTGTGTTGAAGCAGGAAAAAAAGTCGAATGCCTCGTCAGTCCTACCCACACATATGGTTGCGTTGCGTCAATGTCCAATCGAAGCGCTTTATAGGCCAGCAGATGTCTGGGGTTGACTTCTCTCTTCTTATGCTTATTCGTCGCATGTCTAGCGATAGCCCTCATCAAAAAATTGCATTGCAAGTTTTAGCTCTTCAATAGAGCAGTGAATTGCGTGCCTTCAATGATTCTGTCTATGTAGTAAACATGGTAGAGCCATTCTATTTCACAATAAGGAGATGTAAACTGGAATATATACTTTATCCATTGAATTTAATAGCGTACCAATAACTCTCAACTTTTTTATAAAACAGGATTAAAATTTAGCAAGATATTTTATGAAGAGCAATGGCTACAAGAGAGCCAATATCAGTAGCAGAAAGACCAACGAATTGTAGACGTTTCTTCTTCAAGATGGAGCCATATATGATAGAGCTTATATAATAAGTTCAACGTAGCTAGGTCACACTGTAAGGATGCTTGCTCTTCTTCTATCATGATGAGCCAAATGTCATTGACATCTACTTATCAAATAGACACAGGTCGCCATAGGTTTTGGACTGTAGCACTATGTTTATCATTAGCGAACAACTGTTAATATGTAGGGTAAATAACTTACATCAAATGTTGACAACAGGATCAGTTGGTTTTCAAAATTTATGCAATATGGCTTTTGCGAGGACGTTAAGATTACTACATTACTAATACCCTTCACTGTCGAGTTTGTGATTGTTCCTTAGAAAACTTTTTATACGTATATGCGCAGAAAGCACTACATTTTTCAGGACCTCCGAGTTTCGTTGTGATTTTGGAGTCAAATTAGGCGCATAATAATAAAGGCGGACAACGACCGCAACATCTGCTACAGCTGCTTGGGCATATTTATATTTATGATGCAGTGTTTAAGACCATGTTTAGCTGTACTTATTTCTGTACATGTACAGTGTCAACAAAATAGTGAGTCGCACATGTAAGTCGATGCCCATAAGTATTAGCAGTATGCCTTCCAAGAAATTTGATGGTTTCTGAGGAGGAGGAGGAGGAGATTGAAGCTCCATTAGTGACATGCCGGCAATCAAAATTATGTAACAGACAATTGATAGTTTCACAGGCAGCTGTGCTCTTGTCTTCCAATGAATGACACACCGCAGCAGAATCTTTAATAGATGCAAGCAAATCCCACGAGCGTGCAGCCGTAATGAACCGGCCAACATCATTGGATTTAAACTGTGGATTCTATGTTTGCATACGTTCTTTGTAAATATTCGGAAGCAATGACTACAGCAGTAACAGTTTAGCTGTCGACAGGCAGTAAAAGTTATCGAAACAAATTGGCCACTATTCTGATGGTGGTTTGTAACGTAAAGGCTAGTACAGTTTTGGTTTGCGGCAAGTAATATACTTTTATAGCGCGAAGCCTTACTATGCGCAGGCAAATCACATGCCTATCACCAGCAGCAGCAGAGTGGCAGACAGATAGCCATGTTGCTTTTCACGAAACTAACAAAAAGGAGAACCAGCTTCGCGTTCTGAAAAAGATGATGTCACATAGTACGCATTGATTGCACGGTCTCATTGTCCGTATCTGCTTCTTTGTCCCGCTACTGTGAATGAATTCTCTCAATTTTATTGGTTTTCTTTCTTCTTTGAAAAAAACGATTGCGCAGATATGGGAAGTGTATTTCCGAATGTGTGCACCATAATTGTATCAGCAATCATTATTGTCTTTGTACTTGCTGTTGGCGCTATATATGCACTACACAAGATCAAAGTATGTAACACGAGATTGAGTGCTTGATAAATGACTGTTTCCATTCTGCGATTATTCCTGTAACTTTATCTTATTACCTCTTCTGTTTATACGGGCGGCAACAGAAGCAACAGCTGAAGGATGCAATGCCTCAAGTTACACAGCAAGAAAAGAATCTGCTGCCAACATTACCAATGCCCATGGAGAGCAACAGCAACAACAACGATGAAGGAAGCAGCAGCAACATAACACCTTTGCAACGTTACAGAGCAGGTCGATGCGGCCGCTACTATACGCAACAAGAAACATATATACTGCGCAAAATGCTGTATGAAACCTATGGACTCAACAAACGGCTGCCAAGATCTAGTCAAGAGCGTGCCAATTCTCGAGATCGACTTAACATGACACCAAAGCAGCTAAGCGCTTGGATCGCAAACCACAATCTAAAAGAGAAGCAAGCCATTAGTACGTTTGCTAAGCTGTACCATGAAGGAAAGGTGCAAGACTATGACTCGTTCCTTGAACACTGCTATATCCATTATGCCAACAATAACGATGACGCGGAAGTGTGAAAAATCAAAAATTTCTGCTTTATATGAAATGAATACTCTTTCTTAATACATAAAACAAACGCATTTTCATGTTGCACGTATATCCTCACTTTGAAGGCTACTAGTTCTAAAACATTAAAAGAAACATTACCACATTGCTACAAAAAAATACGTTGATATGTGTATGTAGGAGGGATTGACAGATTGAAAGCTCTTTCAAGATTCTATGGCGGTTCTTGCATAATTCGTGGGTCTGGTTTTTCGCTTTGTCATGTGAAAGTGCAAGAAGCGACATTATTTATTGTTTCAGCAGTTGATGACAATTATTTTGTCTTCTTTCTTCTTTGGAACCATTTTATTAGTCTAGGCGAGGCAAGTTGGCAATTTTCTGGAAAGAACTTACTTTAGTAAAGGAAGAAGATATTAAGCATAAAGGTAGAAAGAAGCAGCAATGTGGTAAGGCGTGTCGGCAGCGATTCTATAATGGTATCAGTATTTGGACTCACTGCTATTCTGCTGCTCTATACTGTAAATAGTATTTTCTTCGTTGTGGGATTGCTGAAGACCGATTCAGAAGTTCTTTCAGAGAATTGAAGAACCCGCGCTATGATGCAGACAACGCAAAACCCTCGCCGACATTGCACTCCTTGGACTATCACAAATTGCGCCGAGTTTTGTACGAGGTTTATGGTCTCAATGACAAGTTACAAGGACAGGAGCGGGAAGCTTTCCTAATTCGGCTCAATACAGTATAAGCAACGACCAACGCGAACAATGGATTCCGAATCATAAGCGTTCAGAGCGGCCGAAGCTAGCTACTTTTGCCCGACTCCACCGATTTGGAGCAGACAACCCAAATGCGACTGTTATCAAGTAGTATATTCTAAGTTGCAATTACCACCACTGTCATTTATACCAATATAAGTCACAGTTGTATGTGCATACACATTGCCGCTTATCTCCTTTGTTTTCTACATGTATATTGTAGCTGCGATTTTTTTGTTGCTTTGATAAATTGTTGATTCGTCATAAAATAGCACTTTATCTATGTACTTTTGCTATTGTTTAATCTACACCGCACAAATCTACGTACAATAAAAGCAATTTCGTTGATGCTTCGAATGGGTCAGGAAAAATGATCATGAAGAGCCCTTTTTCTTTAGGCTGTCCGTGGAAACAAGGCCCGGTCATGCAAATAATTTCTTTGTTTGTTAGTCTGTAGTATAATTCTTGTACCACTACGCTACATTCGTCTATTCTTTTCTGTGTATGCAGCTGGCAAAATCTATTTTACCCTTTTTCCTGTTTAGCTATGTACAACCAATGGATGCTATCAGTAAAGCCAAAGTTTCTATGAATAGATTGAGCCCTTTAAAATGTTATTGTTTTCGTAGCTGAGAGTAAATACAATTACATGTGCAATCAAGCCTCTCCAGTAGGGTCGGGCAAAAGTCGAAGAGTGCTCATTGTTTATGTGGGGCGAAAGAAATATTAGTTGCATGCTGTATTTTTTGCCCATTTACTAGTACACTTGAGCCGCTACGCCCAAGACTGTGTGCTAGGGAAAAAACAATGGATCAACAAAACGTGTAGCAATAATGAAAGGGAAACAATGGCAGAAATGTATCCCTTTGTTTCTAAACTATAAATATGTCTTTGCACAATTTGCGCTAGTGATAGTTTCTTTTTGCCCACCAACATCTATTCACTATTTATCATGGGAAACATTCTTACCAGAGTATGTATACCCTTTTTTTAAAGAGTAGTTAAACCTATTCGAAGAGAACAGGAACGATATAGCATGCTGTAATATAGGGAATTGCAAGAAGTCAATTGATCGGTGCTAACAATTAAGCTCTGGATTGTGTCCATTCCCAGCCAAAAGATTGTCAACAGCAAGAGCAGCATGGATCAGAAGAATGCCAAAACGTTGAGAGGCAGAAGCAGCAGCAACGACAGAATCTGCAAGAGGGTCAGCCTCGGCAAAACAGAGAAGCAACTATGGCTGGCGGGATCAAATTAGTTGGTGTTCTTGCTCGGAGACGGAACCGTCGTAGCTACACAAGAGAAGAAACTTATATCTTAAATAAGATGCTGTTCGAAATATACGGCGTCGGCAAGAAACTGACGAAAGAAGAAGAGCTTGCTTTGCAACAACGGCTTAGAATGACACGCCTTCAATTCAAAAACTGGATCAAGAACCATAAAAAGCGATGGAAGAAGCGACTTGCAGCGTTTTTTGAGCTCATGAACCACGAAATAGTACACGACTATGACTCTTTTCTCGAATATGAAAAAAAAAGCAAAAAAAAATAAGAATGTCCAGCAGCTATAACGACAGCAGCAGCAGCAGTGCACCTCACAAATAAACTTAAGTGATACTTTGTATACTCTTACTTACAGTAAATCATTTACAATTAGCCACCCCTCACCGCTCCACTCACTTAATGTATCTGCGTCAATGAACACGTAATAAAATACTCCACTTGAGCGACAGTGTTTTAATCAATTATGTAATCGTATCAAAAATGTGGCGCTGCACATACATTTACCAGATCCAGTTTCTTTTAAAAGAGACTTCTCGACGATAGCTAGCAATGGACTACACTTTTGTACCGTGGCTGTAACATGGCTGGTCCCTTTTGTCTGTAAATTGCACACATCGGATACTTAAATCGGTCAGACCAGCTGCAGACGGCATGATGCTAAGCGTTCGCAATAACCACCGCATACAATTACACGACGATCAGCACCGTCATTAGTGATATCGTACAGTGTAAATGCTGGATTATTCACGAGTTTTGTTGAAAGATTCAAAAAAAGAAAGAATATATAATCTGAGACGGCTTGTATACCCCACATCAACTGAAACTTTGCTATTTGGAACAATCTTCTTGAGGGTGCTCGCACTTACTATACAGCCTGATATATGAAAAGCGCCATTTCGCTAGCAGTACGACCGAAAAAAAATCAAGGAGATTCTACGAAAGTCTACCAAGTTTTTTTTTTAGAGTAAGCTTTTTTTTAGGTTATCATAATGGAAAGCTTCATAATCTTTCTTCGCTGAGGCACTTATTAAAGCATTTGGCAGAATGAGAAACAAAGCCTTTGATGTCACTTAAATATAAACTATCACAGGATTCACTAATTCGAGTCTTTAGCGTCTCTTTTTCCAAGAACGTACGTCGCTTCACTTTGCTCTTGACAACTGACTAGAATTGCTCGATTGGATTCAGTTCGGAAGAATATGGAGGAAGATATGCGAATCTGTACCCTCATGAATAGATACTTTGCAGTACCATTCTCAGTTGAGCTGTGGATAGGAGCATTATCCATGACAAGGTAGTGTCCCTTCATCGCAGGATGCTCGTCCATCAAGCAGATCATCTTGGTTGCAGAGCAGACTTTTGAAGTAATGAAGACCATATTGTAATGATCCAAATATATCGAATCGATCAGCCAGAGGCTATACAACTATACATAGCCAGACCTATCGCCTGTCATCATGTCCTTCTCAGGATGCTTGCTTTTCTAATATGTCACGCACGAACAGTAATTGGAAAGGTATACGCCGATTTGAAAACTGCTGCCGATAAATAAGGACATTGACATTAATGGTGGCGGCCATAGTATAGAGAGTGCAGAAGAAACGCTCGATGAGATACAAGCTCGGGGAATACAATACAACGTGCGGGCCTACAAGAAAGTTCAAGCGACTCGAGTCAAATTGGATATGTGTACAGTTACGGCCCACCACAAACAGTAAAAAAAACCCATTGTTTTTGCAACTATCTTCCCAAAAAGACAAATTTCATTTCTCTCTTTTTTTGTCATGCTCAGTCGCATCCTCTTCCCTCATATTGACTACATATAAATCCCGACGTGTTTATGTATGACAAGCATATTCACGACAAGTTGTGACAGTGTTTAGTATAATATAATAGTACAATTTCGGGACTGTGGGTGTGTGTGTTTGATAGCGGGTCAGTGGCTATTCCTCTCCCTCCGCTACACTGTCAACCGCAATCTTTTAAGCTCTACTGCATCGGTATTACTAGGATTTAACTTTCAAAATGATTGGCAGAGTCTTGCCCCAGGAGCTTAATCCCGCCGACTTTTGTCACTTTGTCACCGGTGACGGAGTTAAAATTTCCAAAACTTTTGTCACTTTGTCACCGGTGACAAGACCAACGCGGCATCGAAAAGGGAATGTAATGACCGTTTATATATGTAGCTAGTTAATTGCAAATAGTACGCTCGAGAACATGTATATTCCTCTGAACACTCGTAACAGCAACTGATCAGCAGTATCGGGCCCTCATTTGTTGTCCTGTTTCCATTTCTCCAAATCCCGCATTTCTTTGACTTTTTGCAAATGTATGCGGAAGACGTCCATTTAGCTCTAAACTTCTTCGTTCGACTATATACCATTCTTAATTGCATTATATTTTCTTTAAAGGAAAATCATATAGACGGTAGGTTTCTACGACTATGTTTTTCTTCGTACTTTTTCCCTTTTCGATCCATGGTAATGCGGTATGATACCATCTCATCATTTCATCGACTACTCCTTTCACATACGTCACGTCACCCTCTGCGTTCATGTTCATATTGAAGTTTGAGGATGACTTGTGTTAGACTACATGTATAATACAATTTTTTTTGCGTATTGGTGAAAGAAGTCTACAGAAGAAAGCAAGTTACAGTTTTCGGTTGATGTAACGTAAAGTTCAAATCAATGAGTGCCCCTCAGCATCGCTACCACCGAGTGAGCAAAGTAGACCAAGTTTATGTAATTATCAAGCATCTTATCTTACAGTTATAATACTTTCCCTAGTCGTTAGGTATACTGTATCATTACTCTTTCATCAAAAGGATAATACTTTCAATCAACGGAATTTGGATATTTACTATATACCTCATTCGCGGACGCGGGACCTCTTGAGCCAAACTCATTTTGTCACGTATATAAGAATTCTGCTTTCTAAATACTTAAAAAAGAAACATGCGCAGCATCATCAGCGCTTCAAATTTACTGTTTCCTGCTTCGCATACAGTACATGTACTTCTTTATGAACTAATAGAGCAACTTGCTGGCGGACTATGCACAAGCATCTTTGCTCATGCAACTCTTGTAAAAATTGATAGCCACGTGCGCATTTACCAAGCTCGATTGCGTATCACTGATGATAAAAAGTACACGGCAATTATAATTGTATATACTACGCGTGTGTAAAATAATTAGTTAAAGTCAGTTGCATCATCGAGCACCTTGCTGGGAATAGCAATGTAATGATGGTCGGTTACTTCTGTCGGCAAGAATAGGTTTGATACAAAGAACACTCGCACAAGATTTCAAGACAAAGAAGTTTTTACTATGACTGCCGCAATAAAAAAATAACAAAGAGGGGCTTGATATAAAGAGATTTGCGAGTACGTAAATGTATATTTTTTGAACAGACAGCCAACATTGTTTTCTAGGTACGAGACCAGGAGGCTGAAAAGCTCACAACTCCCATTTTTATGTGAAAACATGTGGAAGTTTATTCTGACATCTGGGGTCACTTTGATCGATTGTTGGGAAATTGCTGCGTTTCCTGATGAAAGCTATTACGATGAATGACACAAGGAAGACGGAAGCGACACTGAAGGCACAAACACTGCCACAATTGGAATATACTACACCCCAAAATCATATCAAAGCCTTTTGTTTTAAACGGTTATGGATGCACCTTCACTGTGTTAGCTTCCACCTGTCACCGGCCTTTGTGTTATTCCTAACCACATTTTCTTTCTAGATATTACTATATAAATAAATAACCAATATTTTCTGAATCTTTATGAAAATAATCGCAGTAGATCCACTTTACCAAAGTATGAGCCGCTCTTTAAACTGGTCTTTGTACTATTCTTTGAGGCTGTCAAAAGTTTTAGCAGAAAAGAAAATCAAAGCCTTTGGAGTCTCCTTAATATAAGCTATCAAATACCTCAGAAACTTTGGCCATCGACATCCGTTTTCCTTGCTTTTCGTGATAATCACCAGAAACTGCTCAATTAGAATGGGCTCAAGAACGTGCATACGAATATAGTGGATATACCGATTGTAAATGGAGATTACTATTGGTGCTAGCTAATAGCGGCAGTATCCATGAGAATGTCTCTTTATCTCCATTTGCATCAAGGGTAACTGATTGAAATGGTTGTGTGTAAAGGCTGCAGTCCGGGGAAATGATGGCTTCTGTGGCACGAAACACGACACCCGCTGTGTTGCGCACACTGAAACTAAATTTAGCCAATCATGCACGCCATTTTAATTTTTCCCAACATCCAACGCGGGAAAGATCTTCGTGCAGGCCCATCCGTCCCTCTTTTCTCTTTTTCTTTTTACAAACAAATCTACTTTATAACAGTAAATAAAAGGAGGACGAGAAAAAAATTGAAGCGATCGCGATGGACCAGTTAATACAAATCGTAAAAATCTACATCGTACCACGACTTAAGCATAACAAACGGTCGATTAGTGCAGCGACTGCAGCAATACTTGCAGTATACTATGTTTACCAGAAAATCAACCGACCGCCTCGATCCCTACGACATATCCCCTATGTAAACGGATTCGAAACAATCAGTGCCCTTCTCAACAAAGAGCCTCTTGATGACGTTACAGATAGAATTAGCCTTCCTTTGGTACTCAAGACGAAGCATGGAATGTATTCGGTGAGTTTTTTTTCTTTGGCTGGGCTGTGGTGTTGTGGCGACCTACACTCTTCGGAGAAAGAGGTTACAATAACAGCGCGCACTTACACCAACGGCCATGCGGCTAAATAATAACTCCGTCATTTGATTAAAAAAACAGCGCATTACTCCAGCTGGATGGCAGGTTGTCATTAGTGATCCAGCTATTGCGAAACAGTACTTGTTCGATTCAAGTAAGTATTCGTCACCTTTTTTTAATATTCTTCTGCGTCTTTGTGCACACACTTTATATGTATGTCTTCTTTCGCTAATATAGAATACATAATTTACCCTTTTTTGATATTGCTTTTTTGTTCTTTTTCCAGATACTTTTCCTAAAGTTCCACTCAACAAGCACTTTGAAGATACCGTCATCGGAAGGTTCATTATCGGACCCAACATTCTGTTCCTTTCAGGACAGCATTGGAAGAACCAACGCAAGGTAGAATAGAAAAGTACAATCAAACCATTTATGAAAAGCAGTATGATGAATCAGTTTTCACATTTATGGGTAGGTTGCTAACCCTGCATTCCATCGATCAATGCCGCTGGCATTGTTTGGACGACTCACTGAAAACCTGTTCCAAGTCATTGATAAGTCTGACGGGAAAGCGGTTGATGCATATGATTTGATGGAAAGATGGACTCTCGATGCGATCGGAAATGCAAGCTTTGGTATGGGCATACTCTATGTCGTTTATATCGTTGCAGTGGGAACGATCGTGTTAAATAACCAAAGCGATCACATGATCACTTGTGGTATCGCATACTATGTTGCACTACAGGTTTCGATTTCGGATCTATTAGCGATAGCAATAACCAATGGGTGCATCGCTACAACGATGTGGTGGAGGCAACATCTGATCCAATCTATGCCTTTTTCCCGGTCCTTGAACGGAAATATCTCCATTGGTTCCCCAAACGCAAGAGAATCCACGATGAGCTCACCGTATTTCTTGACATGATCCAGCACATTATCGATGAGAAGCGAAGAAAACGTGCTGATTCTGCTCATAGAGAGGAAAAAAAAGAAAAGGATCTTTTGGAAATGATGATGGAGAGTGGAGAGGATGACGGTAACGGGTTGACCGATGAAGAACTTAAGGTAGAAAATACTATGACAGATGGCAACTTTTGGCATATTGCTTATCAGCCATTATTATTAACGCTGCATATGTATTTAGAGCAATCTGTGTGTCTTCTTCTTCGCTGGTCATGATACCACTGCCTCTGCTCTCTCATTTGCTATATATTACCTCGCCAAGCATCCGGTAAATCCCGAAATAATTGACTTGCTCGAAAGAAGTTGTATCCAAACATCGTATTAACACAAACTCCCTTCTTCTTTTTATATAGGAGCTACAAGAAAGGGCCAGAGAAGAAGCATACCGAGTGCTAGGCAATGAGCCTAAAGATATTGGTCCGACTGTCGAACAGTCTCGACAAATGACATATATTGATCAGATCATTAAAGAGGTATATATTCTCTTTTCTCGCTATATGATCTTATCAACATACAGAAATTATGAATCGCATATCCTCTTTTTCATCGAAAAACTCACAGGTTCTATAATATGATGTAGGTTCTTCGTATTGAAGGCCCGGCTGACTCACTTATTAGTCGTAATGCCAATAAGGATACCGAGCTTGGAGGTGTAGTCATCCCCAAGGGAACTGCTGTCACTGTCAGGTAAATCGATGTACTTGCATCCACACTCAAGACGGAGAAGATGTAAAAGATATCTAATACCCGTGCTATTTTTCTTCGCTTAACCACAACGTGAGCAGTCTCTATAATCTTCATCGAAACCCAAGAGTGTGGGATAACCCAGATAAATTTGATCCGGAAAGATTTGCTTCTGGTGGAGAAGCCGATTTCAAGGATGCCAATGCCTGGATTCCATTTAGCACGGTACGTATACATACTGCAGACAAATAAACCGATGATAATAATTTGACATTTTCTTTGCGTCAATAGGGTTCTCGACAATGTATTGGTATGAACTTCAGTATGTCTGAGCAGCGATTCCTCTTGCCTATGCTTTGTAAGTCACTCTTCTTTCTACTTTCTAATAACCGTAACATACCATTTAGGTGATTTCCTTCTCACACACAATTCCTTTTTGATCACTTTATTTAGTGCGAAAGTATAAATGGACGTTACCCAAAGACACGATCCATGACAAGAAAATTATCATTGAACTGGGACTGGGCGTCATCAGCCCAATTAATTTCAATGTAATATTTGAAAAGCTGTATTAAATCACCTTTCTTACGTGTACGTAAACTATATATCCTTAAAATAAGTGTGTATGTAATATCTTTATGTAGTTTTTATATGCTCTTATAATTGCTATCAAATAAAAATGAGCATAAAGAACATACATTGTTTATCTGCTCAATCCGTAAATAAAGATTTCAAAAGATGTGCTTCATGTATGGGGCTTTTACGGAGAGAGACAATTTACAGTAGTACTGTATCAATTATGAAAGATAAAACCTCCTCAGGTCATCTTCTGCTAAATAGTATGCTAAATCGCTTTTTCTTTCCTTTATCAATAAGCAGTAACCCCTGTTCTTTCCTCCTCAACTGCTGCTGTTACTGCTACCATCAATTAGAGTAAGGTACTTGCTTGATACTTCCCCCGATGCTTGCTGCAAAAGGAATAAAGGAGGGATCAAAGAAATCGCGTATATCCGGCTTTTAAAAGGAGATCCAAGATATAGAGTGCGCGCGCTTTCCCCGTGGATGCTTCAAGAATCCCTGATTGTTCCCTCTTTTCATCTTTCACTTATTGTGATTCTTTCCTTTTTCCATTTTCGATCCTGCACCCGACAATAGTGTTCTTCTCCTGTCGTGTTTTACGCCAAAAATAGAAAAATTATGATAGAGACTTTGTATCAAAACATGCGATAAGATGTAGTAGCTGATGGGACGAGGCTATAGTTTTGATTGTACTTGTGTGCCCTGCTGCTATCCCACGAGAATAGTAATGATTCCAATTATCATCACCTCCGTTTCTTTAGTTCCTGACCTGCTCTCTTCAAAAATGCTCCTACACCCACGGCGTTTACAAACAATAAAGAACGCGAAAAGGGAAAAAAAGAATGGCAGTAAACAACATCGTGCACAGACGTCCGTTACGGTAACTAAAAAAACGTTTAAGAAGGAAAGATCGACAGCAAAGTGCGGCGCCGAAGATTAATGTGCTCGCGTTTGCGGTAAAAAATGTGGGCTCCAGTATGATTGTCGGTGTACATGGATATTTATGGTACATCCGCATATGTTAAGGAAAGAGACAGGGTTCACTTGATACTTAAGCACATTGTACTATCATTAATGGCATCTCAACAGGACAAGGACAGGGACAGGGAGAAAGCAGATTATAGGCAAAAATAGAGTCAATTACAAACAGCATTTTTAAGAATTTTCGATGAAAAGAATTATGTACAACAAAAGAAATAAACAGAGAGCGTAGACTCAAAAATAGCTACTTGAAACGACAGATGAAAACAGCCGATTGCGTTAAAAAAGGGTATGTGTGTGTGTGTGTGTGTTTTTGAATGAGGTAGGAGATGAAAAATGTGTTCAAGTGCGAATGAAAGTGAGTGGGTTGGTGAGTGAGCGGATACGTATATGTATCTGCGGGCTATTGATACTACTACACTGGAGAAGTACTGGTCCGTTTCCACATGGGTCGAGCCTGCCAGCGACGTTTACGGGCAGCGGATGCAGCTGCTGCAGCTGAAGGCGACATTGAAATAAAGTATGCAGTAGCTGGTCGGGGAAGTCTCCGGTCTTCTGATAATAGCGTTGATGTGGAAGACGAAACCACACTGCTACTGCTGTCATTGTACAGCATTGGTGAAGAATGCACACGTCGCTTGTTATTGTCACCAAAAATGGATTCATCGTCGTCTTCCTCCTCATCCGAAGACAATGACCAAGTCGAATCTGTTGTGATGGTGCTGACACTGATACCATCGTCAATCGCTTCTTCGTCATAATAAGCTTGCTGTGGCTGTGGCTGTGGTTGTGGTTGTGGTTGCTGTTGCTGCTGTTGATACTGCAGCACTTGTTGTCGTACTTGCTCTTGTACTTGCTCTTGACGAAGCAGATGTTCTGAGGCAAGGGCGAATGATGTGAAACAATTGCTTCGACTCGTTCGTAAAAGGGGTGATGAAGACGATGGTGTCGGCTTCTTTTTCTCTTGCTGGATAGATTGTTTGGGAGGCAATGCAAGGTGATTATCAGAAATGCTACTATTGCTGCCGAAATATTGATGGTAGTAGCTCCGTTTCTTTCTCTCCATGCTGGCGCGAGCAAGTTCAGATAGATGGGTGAGCTGCGATGCATTATCATCGTCCTCGTCATCATCGTTCTCGTCGTACTGATAGGCAATACTACTGTCATTGTTTTGATCAATGTCGTCTTCGTCATCGTCTGCGTCATAACGGTGATATTGGTGATGGTGATAGCCGATGCTGTTATAGGTTGTTGATGTTCGGAACGTGGAACGAGGAGTCAATGGCGGTGGTGTAGTCGCCGAATTATAGCATGACGGCGACGACGAAGAAGACGATGGTGATAACGACGGTGTTGATGACAGGGAGGAAAGAGTAGGTGACCGTATTTGAGCTCGAAGTCGCATGAGCTGGGAAGCATGGTGAATGCGATTTACACCACTGGAGGAGTATCGTTCTTGTTGATGAACTTGGTTTACAATCATTTTGTAGCTCTGTGAGATGTTGTGTGCAAAATTTAAAGAAAGAAACAAAAGAAGCAAGTGAAATGAAAAAACTTGTAATCTGCTGAGGAATTAAAAAACGTTTTAGATTCATTATTTTTGTGGTTACTCACTTTACGTGCTGCGCTGTCGCTGATAGGAGTAACACACATTTACTCTCTTTGTTTCTCATTCCTACCCCACCCGTCATCATCATCAGCAGCAGTAGAAGCAGCATCTAGTTTTTTCTAAGGAGTCGGAGGAAAGGTATGGGGAGGGGCCAGGAACGTTGATTTTATTTTTCGGAATCTATAACAAAGTTTACCAGGGATGATAATACAGCACACACTTGGAGAGAGTATAATGTAGAGCGCGCAGAGAAAAGAGAACGGCCCTAAAGACACTGATACTAAAGATACTGGCTGCAGGATCGACAATGCGTTGTCCGGAGTGGGCATCACCTTCTGCTGCCGTTTGAGAAGGAGCTTTAAATACAATACTTTGCTTTGTCAATAGAATCTTTGACTTGACAATCGATGCAAAAAGAAGAATTGTGTATACCAAGGCAACGTACATATAGTATATGAATAACGAATAGACGATGCAAAAAATTACTCCCCTTTTTTTTTTCCTTTTATGCATTTTCACTATGTACATCAATTTCTCTATCTTCAACAGGATTCCCCCATACTTCAAACTGGTTTTCACGGCATAATAGATCATCGTATGATTTCAGTTGAGCTACAAAATGTGGGGATGTCCATCAACATATCAAGCACCTGTCCTATACGGTTTGTTTTGCAGCTGCTTCTGCATTTATTTCACTGATGGGACCAATTCGATCTACCTTACGCACCCGACCCCTTCTTTGTCGCCGGTCGGTACAAGTGAAGGAAGAATAGTACATAACAACATGGTCGTATCTGTCTAACTGATCCGGAATATGTAGAAAAATGGTTATTTCCACGCGGTAATCACTCTGATTATAACATGTGGTAGAAGCAGTATGTATGATAATAGCTATTATATAGATACATCACACCAACATTTCCAAGAAAGGATAGCAGTGAAAATGTAATGGCGTTGAAAATGTCGCTTCTTCCTTCCGGTAAGGTTTTGGACGTACATGTGAGTACTAATCAGGCAGCAGCTCATGCATGTTTGCTGCATCATTGCATTCGCTCCGACAGCTTTCAGTGGGTACAGTATTTATAGCGGCTTCTAACGCAGCAACAACGAGAGGAGCAGGTATTATATTTGAAGATTCAGGAAGTAGTAACCAACATGCATACACGCATAAACGACAAGGTGCTCGTCCTTGTTCGTCGTACACATGTTTCTACTAGTACGCCCTAAACTTTCTTTTACAAATTGCAATGCAGCAAGTATGCCTGTAAAATGTATTTCACTGATATTATACACAAAAATTAACAGTCCTCCTCTCTCTGTGCTTTCTTTTTCGCCTTGCAGCGATGGTTCCTTGTGACATGACATAACGCATTACTACATTTATTTTGTTTCTACCTAGTGTCTCATCAGTGTCAGCACTGCGCAATTTACTCATATTCATGCTCACCCTACTTGCACTTACATGCGTAAGTCGGTACTGTTGACTTCACCGAGCACATTATGGTAGATATTAGAGAAGAGTGCGCGCTACTGTATTTACAAAGGAAGCGCGAAAGAAAGAAACGAGTCCAATGCAGTATGCAGACGTGCTTGGTTGTATGCTTGTATCAAATACCTGCTATCTTTTGCCGCTCTTTTTTACCTTGTTTCATAAGCAATTGCTCTACTCACCATCAAATCCTCCAAGACACCATGAGTGATAGCAAAATAGCAACAAATTACTGACTTGAGACAAATTTATTATGCAGTGACTCCTTAATGGTTCTCACTCCACATTCATAGTTTTTATAATACGCTAAAACAGCAGTATTGGAAGAAGATATGATAGCAGAAGTTAACTTCATGAAGAAACTTATACTACATTGATCTGCAGTATTCTACAGTTTGAGCAAGCATGTAGTAGTTGCGGATACCGTCTCTTGATCTCTCTTTTACGCTACCTATTTCATTCTCCTGTATATACATCGCAAATCGCCCCATCCCCCTAGCAAGTTAATCAGGCTTAACTGTTCCCTCCCCCACCCCCGGTCGCGGTTCCTGTCAAAACACAGTCTACCTTCTTGAGTATGTACATTTGTCCTTGTCACACCCCTTTTTTCACACCCGCCCTTTTTCTTGATCGCTATACCGTTCTTTTCACCTCATTTTATGAGCGACAAATGCTAGCTGAAATGACGAAAGGCCTCGCTCGAAAAATTTAAACTATCCACAAGATTCTTCATTTGTCACCGCTTATTACGTTTTCTTGGGGTTTACTAAAAAAGATCAAGCTACACTTGGTCAACATTATGTATCCAACACCATGCTTGACAGATGGTGTGGGTCTGTAATAACCTGAGCTCGGAAGACGTAAGTAGCGTCTCGCGTGTGCGTATGGATCGGAAAGATAGTGGGTACAGCCAGTACGGTTAACCGCTATTCATTTATCTTGCTTCAGTCATTATCACCGAGCCAACATTCTACACCTCCATTCACTATGGATGCCCAAAAAGGCTAAGATGACGCTGCACCACTCAGAAATGCGTTGTGCTTGGCTAAAGTCTCCACGATGCGTGAAAAATAAAGTTATAGCCCAAAAACTTACCTACAGCTGCCTCATGCATCTGCCTTTTGGCTGGGTGAGGCCCTTTTTTAGGGGGGGGGGGTCTGGTTCATGTGAATTGAAAATGATTGAGTTTTGCCAAGTCATTTCTGCATGAAAGAAGGATGTTTGTTCAATGATATTGGCAGCATATATAAGGAGTTAAGCATACAGTAAGAGAGAGATAAAATGATAATGAGTGAGACATAGGAAATATAATGGATTTACATAAAAGAATTACAAGCAGAAAGATAGAAAAAGAGCGCATAGTGAAATTTAGTCATAAAGAAAGTAAAGATCTTCACAACGACGACACTTCTTCCGGAGCCAACACCAAAAGCCCTCCACAGCGAGCCGAACTTGCCAATGTTGATGATGCTCTCTCGTTGATCAGTAGCTTAAACTTGGATGTCCAATGCTTCCAAAAGACTTATCTCTGAAAGATGTACCTCCAACGTACCGATTCCTGAGCGCCTTAACCTGACATTGGCAGCATCGTCCTTACTTGTATTCGTAAAAATGGACGTAGAAAAGTTCGTTGTATATGCAGAGGATAAACGAGGGAAGTCAACGGTGGGGTATGGAGTGATTACGGGCTTGCAACAAGTCGACCGGACGCGACATGGGTAAAATAGCCTCCATTGACAATACAACGAAACATTGTATACCGTCGAAAGGGAACAAGTAGGTCTCGCGAAGGGTTGTGGCGGTTGGTGTGGAAGATGTGTTCTCGGAGGACTTTGTTGAACTGTTCGCCTTTTTCTGATTCAAAATGAATAGCGGTGGCGAAACGTTCGATATCCTCCACAATGTGATGCAAGATGTGTAGCTTGGGCTTGCTACCCATCTTACTGTTGGCGGTTATCTTTCCTTGCGCAACAAGGAAATTGTCGACAACACCAATCATAGCCGTCAATTCCTCCATCTTTTTATCCAGCAGCAGCTTGTACAAAGAGAACTTTGTTTCCATCTTGGACATAAACAACAGCGACAGGACCTCTCCGTGTACACAAAAGCAGTCAAAGAACGCCCGGAGACCCTCCATTTTCTCTTCGCTTTTTGCTGACCAGCCGTGATGGAGAATATCGTTGAGGATGACGGCTGCCTGCTGGCTAATGACCTTGTAATCGCGACCGACAAAGGAACGGCGAAGACGCAGACTACTGCTGACCATGCGACGGAAGGCTTTCGAGTCGTAGCTGCGGCACTTTAGCTCGAATTCTTTGAGCTCGTCGCTGTCAAGATAATCGCAAAATTCAAGCAGGAGGTATTTGGTGATTCCCAGCATTGTGGTATGCAGTATCTCTGCTGGGCAATCTTTCGTAATGTCAACCGCCTCGAGCTTGCCCAACGCCTCCCCACCAGTCACTTTATATCCTACAGCAGTAGGGTTCGTTGTCATTGTGTCATTTGGCAGTCAAACCGGATCCTCCAGATCAAGATTCAATGACAGCATTTTGGCATAATCACCAACCCAAAGCATTGTTCACAGAATTGGTAACGCACGGATGCTGGAAAAGATTGCAGGTGTTCCATTTACTGCCTTGCGTCAATCCGATTCGCTGGTCAGGCGTTTGTCGGGTAGAGCACTCAAACTCGAAGAGACAGTTGGATCAGCGTTGAGGAGCTTCAAGCAATTTGAAAACTTATGCATATGTGCCGTAACTTTGACGGTTTCGTCTGTATTAGGCTTGCTGATCTCTGCTTTGACTGTTGTTATTCTTATTTTTGGCACTTTGCTTCGCTTAGTATACGATGGATCCATCATCCAACGAACAGATGGCACCTTGAGGTCCTTATCCTCACGAAACATCACGGCTACATCTTCGAGAAGACTTTTCAGCTGCTTTTTAATCATCCTGTCTTTCAGGCGATCGTCTGCGTGGAAGAAGGCAGCAAGACGAAATTGCAACTGGTTCTCGAAAGGATACCAGTCTTCGTTGGTCTCGTAGTCGACGCTGAAATCGAGCGGATTATCACCATCATCATCACCTTCGTCGATTTCATCGTCGCTGCCACCATCACTCTCCACATCAGCAGCGAACTCGGCATTAGCACCGGATTCCTGCCGCCGAGAGAGGAAAACACCGTACGACTGACGCAAAGCAGCAATGTCAACCGACTCGTCGTCACTGTCATCGTCGTCTTCGACGTCGTTGTTGCTACCACAATGCTGCTGCTGCTGTTGTTGTTGTTTCTGCTGCTGCTGCTGCTCCTCTCCCGAATTGGTGCTGTCAATGTCCATATCCTCAGCATTAGAAGCCGAAGCACGGACAATGCGGGCATCATAGTCAGCAACATTCGCCTGATGGCTCGATGAGCTAACATGAGTTCTCCAGTTTCCTGAGCCATCTCCAAGCTTGATGACAGTGTTACAAGGAACACATGTTTTGGTTTTAGGCTGCTTCTGTTTTTTTGCGTTAATGGAGAAGACGTTGAAGGACATGGTCGAATGGAGATAATTGTAATTGAAAATAAAAGTGAGTGCAAAAGAAAAAAAAGGTAAGAGCACCTGCAACTAACAGCCAGACCTTGCAGCGGTTGCTGTTGACGTCCTGTTAAATTTAACACCCCGTTAAATTTAAGTTTCTTGAATCGAGAAATTGGGACTTGTCATATATCACTTCATTCTTTGTTTGTATTCTTCAAATTGAAAAACTCTACTTCTAACGCCACTCTCCGGTCTGACGTTTCTGCCGCTGCCCCCTGCGCAAGAGAAAGGGCAAAGCTTTTATTGAAACCAACGACGTGTGAAGTTAACAGCTTCGTAACAGTATGTAACCGCTGCACGAAATGCCCTGTCAAGTTGTTACGCACTGTTAAGCGGGCTGTTGAACTCTAAAATTTAACAGCGACTGCTGCAGGTGCTCTAAATGCTCAGTTAAACAAAGAATGCCTCAGCTCAATGTATTACATATGAGCATATATATTTGCCGAGCAAACGAGCCCTCCTGATTGGATTACTGTCAATTTTCCCCAGCACTTCTGAACTTGTTCCAACTTTGAGCGACGATAGCTCGAAGACTTTATCAAGAAAAGGAAAAATCGATACCGATAACTTTCTTCTCCTGGTCAAAAGGAACAGTTTTATCGGTTTAACAGAATTTAATAAAGTGGTACGGTTTGAGGTGGCGTGCATACCGTATACTGGCCGAAAGAGAGAGAACCCCTTTTTCATCACCGTCACAACAAAGTTAAGCTGCACCAAGTGTGTCGTTCTCTTTCTTCTTACATCAATCCAAAATGTACACTTTCACTTTCCATCTTAACAAACCTGAAAATAACATCCATCGCTGTCAATACTGCGACAAGGTTATGCAACCAATTCGAACCTTCACCGACATATTCCTGAAAAGCATAGACTGCAAGTACCGTGAAGGATATAAAAGTGAGTTTGATATAGTACTAATGCATATCATTTGTTAATAGTCAAGATGTCCCTGCTGAGTCGATTAGCGAGTCGCGTGAAACCGAGGATAGCGATCTTGGAGACGAAGGAGATAACTTCGATGATACTTCGGTTATCGATCAAGAGGATTTTTTCTACCTTGAAGTTGATGACAGTCTCGAGGCTGATGAAGGGGAAGTTAGCGACTTTAACCAGCAGGGTGCCTACCATAGATAGGACTCCAACCCATTCTATCCGTTTAAAAACGAATTGGAGATGCAAGCCCTGTTGTTTTTTAAAATCTCTCAGGACAGATTCTCCAACAGAATCTCGAAGAAGATTCTGCAGCTTTTGAAGAATTTCATCGAGTTATCTCACAAAGAGCGAGATCTAATTCAACCAAGACTGGATGGCTTCGACCCGATTAAAAACGTACCAAAGGATGACAGAATTTGCAAGAGCCATGATCCCGGCAGAAAGTTCCCAAGCTCGAAGTTCACAGTTGCCAAATCAACAAAGGAGAGAGCCAGGAGCCTGCCGATCTATTCATGATCAAACCTTCCAGGTAGTGTCTTAGCAGTACATTTATACTTTTCACAAAAGTGCACGTCAGATAAAAGATGCTAACACCATTCACTTGGGGCTTATCGTCTATTCACTTGAATATGGTCATGTCAAACCCTGTCAAGGTCTAACACCTCAAGTTTTTTCTGCCTGACTTTACAGCGAACAAACGCTATACCTTGAATCAAGGTCGAAAATGGAAGGATAACTATCATTTCCAGGCACCAATGGTTCCAAAGGAGTTATCCAACGCTGAGGCGGATTATTGGGTTGGCGATGTAGCACACCGCAGAAAACGCGCAACGCTGTGCTGAAAAACTCGCTCGCGACGAAGATTCAATCCTTGTGTATAAAAGCGACCCTGAAGATCCTTTTGTGATGTCAAAAGCTAAGGTGAATGCACGACCAATCACATATAAGAAATATCTTCAAGATTATCCCCGTGCCGAAACACCTGAAGCATCCTCGGATGTTGGTGACAAGGAAAACAAGGATTTGACAGAGGCGCAGTTGGTGGAAACCTTGGATACACTATTTCTTATCGACGATCCAGGCAACGATGCACTATACAACAGTGTTTCCATTTCCAATTCTGCTGTAATCAAGATGTTGGCACCCCATCTTCGAGATGATCTCCGGACCCCAAAAAGCTTGGGCAATGGTGTAGTGAAAATGATGACAGTTGAAGCCAAGCCATTCAACAGCACTGACAAGGATTCGCAGAAAGAAAGACGAAGATCTTTATATATGCTTAAAACGCGATATCACGGTACGAGAGATATGACTGTTGGAACGTTACATATGTCTTCATGGCGAAAGAAAACTAACACCCATGAAGAAAAAGTAATCATAGAAATCAAAGACCATTTGTCCCGGTATCAGGCAGAGATACAAGATATGAAGAATGCTGGGATCGAGGTGCTCGGTTATGTCCGCAAGTCGCCATCACAGGGCAAAAACGACAACAATAGAGTAAAGTTGCTGCAACAGATGGTGAGCCGTTTGCAAGAACGCTCTCGCGTTGACAAAGTTTATGTGTCGCCTTGTTGTACCAGTAGTGGTCCATTACTGGTTAGCTAGGGACATGCCACGGCCTACAAGTATTTTAGAAAAATTGCACAACGTCGATGGTTCTTGCCAAGGTAATGCTTTGAAGCAACACCATTGTATATGTACCCCTTCAAAATCTAAAATAAGCCCTTCATAGATCTTCTCAGTTATCTCAAGGCCACTCCCAAGGATATTTGTTTGGTAGCTTTGGATTTCGCAGGTTTGAGCACCGACTGCCACGATATATATCAATTTGTTTGGTACATACAGTCAAAAGAGTAGTCTTTCTATGCATGCATAATCTCATTTAAGTTTTTTTAGTGACAATACCCGTATACAGAAACTTGTGATTGATCTTATACCATCGTTATCAAAAGTGATCATTTTCGACCGACGGGATATTATTTCCAAACCAGAAATATTAGAAGCTTTCAACTGTCGACCGGCCCCTGCCAAGCGCTCAAGATAGTTCGCTCGGACCAAACAAAAAAGTTCTGCCGGCCCATAGTCCTGTTTTTTTCGCTCGGCTAGTATGTATGGGGTCAAGTCGGGGAACTTTTCAAAAACAAAAAGAAAAAAAAAGGAAAGTAATTAGTATGTACACCTCAGGAAAAAGTATTCGAGAAACATAGGATAGATATGAAAATAAATGAATATTCATTTTGCAGCTGTAATGAATTTCCAGGTTGAATATTTTTGAATACTTTTTGTACGAGCTCATACATTTTTAATCATCTGTATTTTTATTGTTCATGTGCTTTTTGTTGCTATGCTACTATCAGTTTTGGACACTCACTGTCCGAAAAAGAGGATTTTACTGCTATAAAATAATTTTGTGAGCACCTTTTCGCACAGTAAGCGTCCATCACTACTACTTTTACTGAGAAATCCCCAGGTGAGAAGAGCTGTTTCGAAGAGATCATTGTGATCCGACCTACATGCAGGCTGTCTTCCTCGGACGACCTCGCTTTCTTTCTGTTGGTCGTGGATCTTCATTCTGAGTAGGCGACTTGTTGATAGTGTTTGTGCTTGGCACGGTCCGGTTGAGGTTTTGGTTGTTTGCTGTCGATATATCGAAAATATAACTGTGAGTATCATGCGCGTTTTATAGTTACTCTCATACATAATGTGCTAGGTAAAAAGCATACACGACCTGCTCTGTTTTCAATCGGTGCCAATGCAGGTGTGGCTACAGACACTGTTGTCACTGCAACGGGCATTGAAGATGACATAGAGTGGCCATAGAAGCGAGAGAGACCTAGGCTAGATTCGTGACCAGAGGATGCCTGACTACGCGTTACATTTTCAGTGGGAGCGCAGCACTACTCCTGTAAGAATTAAAAGTATCATTGTCCGTGTCGTGTCCTCATCGCTAGACAGTGTCGCATCCAGTATAAGTGTTCCGGGCGAGCGTGGCACATCTCATAAATTTGGCTCCCTGCGTGATAAAATAGCATAGATATTCAAAATAAGATCCGTTCTGTAAGTATTGAAAACAATACCTCGTGTGCACTTCGCTACCAGCACCAACGTTGACAGTTGCTGAACCTTGAGTAATGCTTGTAGAATGATTCGAAGTTGCTGCTGGTAATGCCCCCTCTGTATTACCAACGCCAACAAGGACGGTATTCACCACGGCGAAAAAAAAGGCGGAAAACTATTATTCTGTATGAAGTTTTCTTTTGTGAATCCAGATGAAAAGGGCAAATCCATAAGTTTTTCACAGGAACAACAATAACAAGTTTTAACATTAAAAGCACATGTAGTTACAATGATTCACAGAGAAAAAAACCATCAATTCACAGTAAATTAGTTATAATTACAGTATATATATCTGTTAAGCAAGAACAGGGAGTTCCGATCTTTTTTGTTATATACAGCGATACTTCAATGTGGTCCATTGTTACAAGTGAACACATCCTTGCGGACACCCCACAAGTATATATTTATAGGATGTGTGTAACCTGATGAGGATTGAAAATAGAAGGAGGTGTCTGTATCAAAAGCCTTAAACAAAACATTATTCGAAGCTTTCTAGTGCAGGCAAACCAGACAGAAACAGCAATTCCAGCTTCCACTTGTATCTTTTATTTTCGGCTGGATGAACCTCATCACTCGCTTGATCTTGGCAAGAATCTTGAACCTCTCTATACAACATTTCAAACCATTCGTTCACCAAAACGTTCCATCTGGACGCCAGAACAGCGGCACTTTTCTCGTCAACATGTCCAGGTATGGTTTCTTCGTGCATGTCCTCGTCGTCAGGCTCTTGTTCGTCTATGTTGTCCATGCTGCCCTCCATAACCAAACTTTGACTACTTGCTATCCGCTGTAGCATGGTCGAGCAGTGGGTGTGGGCGTGTGTGTTTCAGTGTGCATCCGTCGCATGTGCACGTCTTCTTTTCGTAGCATTGCTCGGACTTGTGCAATTTTGAGCACCTTCTTTCCACCCAAGTCCGTTTCGTCGATTGCTGTGAATGAATCCCATATCGCTAAACAGCCGTTCACAGGAAGCTGAGTTGACGCCAATTGAATGCACGCGGCGAGCCACGAACACCAGATCCTTGCACTCATGGTTGGCTTGCTCTATCATAGCCCAATATCGCTCCATTGACGGGAATTGCTTGGCCATATTTGCACTGAATGGGTATTCCTGCTCATGGTATCTTTGTATTTACGCCATCATACTCTGGGATTTTTGTCCAGTCCACATAGAAAAGTACCGCGCAGCCCACAAGCCAAGCTCGAAAACAGATACGCCTCAGTTTTCGGTGTCTCTGTGAAAAGGATCCAGGAAAGTGTTGAATTATTGAGACGATAAGTCGGGTTTAGGTACAATGCCAGAAGCAAAAGTGGCTGCTCCCGCTGATACCAGCGTCGTTCCAATCGACTGATAAAGACACCCAGCTGTTTTTGCGGCAACGTCTTAACAAAATCGTTTGCAACGATGTGCGGGATGATATTTGCAAACTGATGAACAATATGATACAGCCTTGCTTGGTCGCTTTGCAAACAATCGAGGCTGGTGACAAAAGGCTGGACCATTGATTGCAATCCTTGTACGTGCACCCAGAAAGTTTCATCCTTGATAATGTTTGCTACTTCAGGTGGCAAGCGAGTATCCATCGTTTCTATTAAGGACAAGACGGTATGCTGTTCAGAAAATATTTATGAATTAGTAACTTGTTGCATTAAGTTCAAGTTGACCGTGGATTACTACGAATTAAAATGGGTACCTTCAATGCAATCTGTGTATTACATAGGCTTCTGAAAGCGTCAAAATGGTTGTTCCATCGGGTACTTGCAGGTTGTCGCAAGGTAACCCTACGTCGTTGCGGTGCACCGGTCTGATAATCTTTTAAGTTTTCGAATCAAATATGGTGAACGGTCGAACGCTTCAATAACTCTGACGGCTTGGGCAACGTAGTCCTTTAGCGAAGTAAAGGCCTTGAACATGTCTGCGATACAAAGATTCATTTGATGGGCAAAACACGGAAGCCAAACGATATGTTGGTGGACGCGGCGCAATTGTGAACGAGCAGCAGTATATGCACTTGCCGAATCTGTAACGACTGCGATCCCCTGGATATTGTTTTCAGGGATCTTTTCGGCGACATCAAATAGCAAGCTTTCAAGCTTACTCTTAACTTCCAAAGTTCCTGAGATCTCACCAGATATATTCTTGGTATTCCAGACCACGCTGCTTCCCTTAGCCGTGTTAAGCATTACACCTAGGAAAATTACTGAGGCCCGATTGCCACTGGTATCATCGGAAAACACGGAAATTGGGACGACCCGAACCTTCAAATGTCTTCCGGTTTGAAGATTGGTCGGAACTCGATCACGGTGTTCGCGAGCTTTTTGTATCATGCTCAAATGGATATCAGAGAGGCGGTTTCTTGGTGACCATTCGATTTGGCCAGAGGCCGTCTGACGAGCAGATATCGTATCTCCCCTCCAGTTCTTGAATCGACATATACGGCACTGTCATGTTGGACAAAGGTACGTTCACTTTTGTGATACGCAAGAAGAAGCAATCTGTTGTTGTCGTCTAGCGTTACAGGGTAGCATGTAGCAAAAACGCTTTGCTCCATAGTAAAGGACGTGTCGATGATTTGATATTGGCGAGTAGAACGGCAATAGACAACATCGCCAACCCAATAATCCGCCTCAGCGTTGGATAACTCCTTTGGAACCATTGGTGCCGGGAAATGATAGTAATCCTTCCATTTTCGACCTTGATTCAAGGTATAGCGTTTGTTCGCTGTAAAGTCAGGCAGAAAAAACTTGAGGTGTTGGACCTTGACAGGGTTTGACATGACCATACCCAAGTGAATAGACGATAAGCCCCAAGTGAATGGTGTTAGCATCTTTTATCTGACGTGCACTTTTGTGAAAAGTATAAATGTACTGCTAAGACACTACCTGGAAGGTTTGATCATGAATAGATCGGCAGGCTCCTGGCTCTCTCCTTTGTTGATTTGGCAACTGTGAACTTCGAGCTTGGGAAATTTCTGCCGGGATCATGGCTCTTGCAAATTCTGTCATCCTTTGGTACGTTTTTAATCGGGTCGAAGCCCTCCGGTCTTGGTTGAATTAGATCTCGCTCTTTGTGAGATAACTCGATGAAATTCTTTAAAAGCTGCAGAATCTTCTTCGAGATTCTGTTGGAGAATCTGTCCTGAGAGCCTTTAAAAAACAACAGGGCTTGCATCTCCATTTCGATTTTAAACGGATAGAATGGGTTGGACTCCTATCTATGGTAGGCACCCTGCTGGTTAAAGTCGCTAACTTCCCCTTCATCAGCCTCGAGACTGTCATCAACTTCAAGGTAGAAGAAATCCTCTTGATCGATAACCGAAGTATCATCGAAGTTATCTCCTTCGTCTCCAAGATCGCTATCCTCGGTTTCACGCGATTCGCTAATCGACTCAGCAGGGACATCTTGACTATTAACAAATGATATGCATTAGTACTATATCAAACTCACTTTTATATCCTTCACGGTACTTGCAGTCTATGCTTTTCAGGAATATGTCGGTGAAGGTTCGAATTGGTTGCATAACCTTGTCGCAGTATTGACAGCGATGGATGTTATTTTCAGAATTGTTAAGACGGAAAGTGAAAGTGTACATTTTGGATTGATGTAAGAAGAAAGAGAACGACACTTGGTGCAGCTTAACTTTGTTGTGACGGTGATGAAAAAGGGGTTCTCTCTCTTTCGGCTAGTATACGGTATGCACGCCACCTCAAACCGTACCACTTTATTGGGTTACTTTAAAATATCTCATCACCCCATATCAAATTTTAAACCGATAAAAAATTTTCCTTTTGACCAGGAAAGTTATCGGTTTCGATTTTCCCTTTTCTTGATAAAGTTTTGAGCTATCGTCGCTCAAAGTTGGAACAAGTTCAGAAGTGCTGGGGAAAATTGACAGTAATCCAATCAAGAGGTTTCGTTTGCTCGGCAAGCATATATATAATACATTGAGCTGAGGCATTCTTTGTTTAACTGAGCAATTGGAGCACCTGCAGCAGTCGCTGTTAAATTTTAGAGTTTAACAGCCCGCTTAACAGTGCGTAACAACTTGACAGGGCATTTCGTGCAGCGGTTACTATTACGAAGCTGTCAACTTCACACGTCGTTGGTTTTAATAATAGCTTTGCCCTTTCTCTGTTATTGCTGAACAGTACTGTATAATCTGCACAGCAGTATACATTACCTTGTGTTGTTGGGTAATTGTGTAATACACACAATGCGGGGTCCTGGAAAAACCTTGTTCAAGTGTTAAGCTACTTTTATTCTTTCATTCAAATCAGATGATGACGGCGTCGTCAACAAAAACACAGCTTCGTTGGCAGGGCATAAAACAGCAACATAATAGATGTTATAGAGCAGGCTGATTAGTAGCAATAATTTAATCTCATGTGCACTTCATGTACGAATCATCATGCATGTTTAAGGAGAGCGATAGACAAAAGTGCCGCTTGTGTACAATGCATATAACATGTGTATATAGTAGTATACTCATACACAAATAAACTGCAGAAACCAGATAAAAAAGACTAAAGTGAGCGAATGCACATTGTGCATGCATGCAAATGCTTCTCTTTTTATTTTATACGGTTGAAATGTGTGTGAGTGTAGTGTTTGTGCTGTGTTGTGCGTATGATGTAAACAAGGTAGGTAAAATACTGTACAAAACAAAAAAAAAGCCAAAAAAAGCAAATGAAAAAGATTACAAAAGAAGAGAGAAACGCTGCTCCAAGTGAGAAGAGCAAAAGCTGAGTCTAGCAGTTACACCATCCGTTCAGAACTGGGTACAGTGCCGTAGATGGGCAATAATGGCTCTAAATGGAGTAAAGCGTGTGAGCCATTCCGATAAACATTCCCTCCCTGTGTGTTCTTCAAGACTCATTTTCTGGTGTCACATACCTCTTTCGTGCTGTTGTTGAGGGCATGGAAGTCGTTCTATACAAGCTTTACAGATCGGGCACTGTTATTGTGTAATGTGTTATTAGTATCTCATTGCGGGAACGACAGGTTACAGTAGAAGTAGTACTAGTGGTAGTACTAGCACAATCAAAACAAACCACCCCAAAAAGAAAAAAGGACTTACAAATTTCTTCTGCGTCGTTAACCATGCATCAACGCACTGCGCGTGGAAATCGTGTTGACACGGTAGCACGCGTAGGCTGTCGGCCTCCATATAATCCTCTAGACAAATGGCACATTCTTCCCGTTCGTTCTCACGTATCTTTTGCCGGTTGAATTTCTTGATTGTCAGCTTATTGACAGTCTTGACATCTGCCAGCTCGGCTCGTCGCTTTTGTCGTTGACGGATACGCCATGAAATGTAGATGAGGACAAGGAGGATGGTGGGTGATATAACGACGATGATGAGAACGTCGATGAGTGGCCTAGAAGGTGGTATATGCCATGCCACTTGAGTATTACAGATACACACAACGCGCATAATATAAACATATTCAGAAACAAATGAACCCCCCTCAATTCTCTAATATTGCTTACCAAGAGATAAAGTCGTCCAGCTCTAGACGGATCGGAATAGGTCCAGTCCTCGCTAATGATAGCAGCGACAAGTACTCTTCTTGTGCAAGAAATACACTTGGAATCAACACATCTGATGTGTCTCCTATTGGACATAAGGCATAGTGTTAGTCCCATATTCACACACATACACACGATCACGCATCCCTGTAGCATTCTGTCTCACCTCACACCATGTCCCAATAAAAAGGAAGAAAAAAAAACTTTACCAGGTGCATACATGGTGATCCAACGGCCCGGATGGTCAGGATCTCCAACCACCACAGCCGTAGCACCGCTTTTCTGCATCGAGCGCACCTTTGTAATAAATGAACAATCTCCTCGCCGTACCAATGCAATCCAGCTATCCTCTTGTAGAAACGGTGGTTTCTCTACTACGACAGGGCTGCAACCTGTCGGATCCTGCTCGGGTTCAATTAAGAAGCCCAGTTTTCCCTTCTCCGATAATCGCGGACCGAATGCCGCGGCGTGATCTGCATAGGTCATGTTGTTGGTCTGTTCAACGGAAAAAGAAACAAAGGGTTAGCTTTTCATGTATGAGTGAGTTGGTTTATAGCAGACTATCGAGAGATGAGGGGTGATTGGAGTAAAAGAGACGCACGAGAACAACAATTGATCCCTTGACTACGCAGCTGGACAAGAGGACAACCACCAATAGCACCGACAGTAACCTTGACGGCAGAGACGGCGACTGAACACTACTACTACTGCTGTTGCTGCTCCTCATTTGCGCGCGATTAGTGAGGTATGTGTTGGTAGAAAGGGTGAGGGTATACAACAAGAGAAAAGGTGAAAGGTAGAAAGAAGAGAAAAAGAGAGAGACAGAAAGAGAGAACAGGTTGAAAAAGACAAAAGAGGGAGGGGAGGGGAGGGGAGGGGGGGCTTGGTGCGAGCAGCGTTTGCCAAGTTGGGCAAAGGGGGTGGAAGAAGAGAAGCAGAAAGGAGGGTGAATGTGTGTGTGTGTTTTCTCGCTCAGTGTGATCAGTGACACTATTTCAGCCTTTCCCTTTTTTCTCTTATGTTGTTTGTTGTTGACAGCAGCTTCTTAATACTCTCGACTCACCGATCCATTTCCAATACATACTAACTTGTAATAGCAGCAAGTAGAATGGGTGGTGGATCCTTGTAATACAAGTCCTGCACTGTGCGTATCGTGCTGCTTTGTTAACGGCTGCATGCAAGTGCTTTAATGAACAACAACAGCAGCAGCAGCAGCAGCAGCAACAACGCCATGCTTAAAGTGGATCTTCTTTTGAACGCACACGATGCCTTCTCCAATTAAAGAAAGCTCCCCGACTCTCTCTCTCTCTTTCTCTCTCCCTTTCCGACACTATCCGAGAGGTGTAAATAAGAGTTGTCTGTCAGGTGCAAAACGTCGTCGTGCGCAGAGAATAATAATAAACATGGTGCGTGTGTGAGTTTTAGTATTGCAGCAGAATCCAGAAACCTACTCGCATGTGAGTCAATGCGATGCTGCCCCCATATAATACACGATTCTAGCAGTCCTTGACAAACGGGCAATAAGCAATAACAACAAGAAAGGGTGCCGCTTACTTGATTTGGAGAGGTTCTAGGTGGTTGGACATTATAACCTCAGCCCACGCTGCGCTCTCTTCCTCTCTTTTTTCTTTTTTCTGCTTCTTATTAGCAATAACAACAACAACAACAACAACAACAGCAACGCTCAAGGCATATATATCGTCGCTTTCTCTTCTCTCTCGTTTTCCCCTCTTTTACTTCTTTTTATCCGTCCGTCTTCTTTACCATTTCTCACTATTTCCCTCGCCGCACACATCCGTTATACACCACAAATACACAGCAACAACAAAAGTAATACTACTAATATGCAGCCGTCGTCAGCAGCAGACTTTTCACCTATCCACGAACCCACCTACTTTGCACAAAGACGCTCCAGTATACCCCAAAATAGTGAAAAGAATCCATTTTCCATGCTGCTGACCGGTCATTCTTTGACTCCATGGAAGAGTGCCGACAGTCTCGTCGTCACCCCAACCAGCAATGCAACCAGCATCACCACCACCACCGGTGCCAGTAATAGTACAACCGACTTGGAACGACCACCAGCAGCAACACGGTCTTCGATGCGACGCTCCAATGGTTATCCGTCCGTATACCCTACAACCACTACTGTGACTTCTCCAACGAATGACCATGAACAATCACAACCATCTTCTGGATTGACAGAACGCATTCGCAAATTCTCCTTTTCGCGCCAACCACACACTACTACTAATAATAATAATAACAGCCAACTGTTGCACCCAATCAACAACAGTAGTCAAGTACAACAGTCAAGTACACCGTCCTCGCCTAGACTTCCTCCACCATTATTACATCAGCAAAATGACGTAGTAATGACCAACACTATCAACAAGGACTATGACCCTGCGACGGGCAACAAGGTTATCAACAAGTACATGATTATCAAAGAAATCGGTCGAGGTGTCCATGGAAAAGTCAAACTTGCTGAAGATATCGAAACGGGTGAACTAGTGGTAAACTAAGCAGTTGCTATGAACATATTCGTTTTGTTTTTTAATATTATTATTAACGGTCGTCGTCGCACCGTTACTCCTTAATTTCTTTTTTTGGTGACACCAACAACACAGGCCATTAAAATTGTCGACAAGCGAACCCGACGACGGCAACTTGGATACAGTCTGTTACGTGGCAACAGTCAACAGCATGTCCGCTCTGGACTGGATGGACTCAAAAAGCAGACTGATTTGCCGCAGTACAGAGAGAACGAACAAAAGATTCGGCGTGAGATTGCCATTTTGAAAAAGTGTGCCCATCCACACGTTGTCAGGCTACGTGAAGTGATTGATGATCCTGCCAGTCGAAAAATATATATGGGTAAATAAATATACATTTCTCTCATGGATGTGTGTGTATATGTGAAGGGGGGTGGGCCAGCCCAATCCAAGGATGAAAAGAAGGATTGACTCTTCTATCCCTCTGCCCCTTCTTTATTGCACGACTCCCCTTACTAACTATGCGAAATTTGTGTTTTTTTAACACTCAATCCAATTTATCCATCTATATACATGTATGTGCACACGATATATAGCGCTGGAGTATATGGAAGGCGGAGAGATCGAATGGCGCGACGAGAATGAAATGCCGGTTTTATCGATCGACGAGGCGCGTAGCGTATTCAGAGACGTTGTAAGCGGTCTAGATTATCGTAAGTTTTTTTCTTTTTATATTAAATCTCTCTTTATTGTTCATTCAACGATTTTTTCAATATTAAAATTTTCTTCTTGATGGAAAAATAGTCCATTATCAAGGCATCATTCATCGCGATATCAAACCAGCCAATTTGCTATTGACAAATGATCTAGTTGTTAAAATCTCGGATTTTGGCGTCTCATATTTCAATGAGTTATTGGCTGGCGACGGACAACGGTCCACGACTACGACGAGTGATACTAGTCGCGTGGATCGCGAGTTGGCAGAGACTGCAGGCACACCTGCATTCTTTGCTCCAGAACTTTGTTGTGCAGGCGACATGCCGCTCAGTCCCACGACCAGTCTGGATAGTCATAGCAGTAACCATAGTGTCGCTAAAGAAGGACCAGGCAACGACGAAAGTAATAGAGATAGCACTCACAGTGGTAACAGCAACAACAACAACAACAACAATAGCGACAAAGTATCACATTATCGGCCCCGGATCACCAAAGCCATCGATGTGTGGGCACTGGGAGTGACCCTGTATTGTTTTATCTTTGGTCAGTGTCCATTCACGGCAGCCACAGAATTCGAACTGTTCGATACGATACCCACAGAGCCATTGAGGTTTCCGGACCCGGAAGAGATTGGATTCGACATTTCTGATGAGCTCAAACATCTTTTGCATCGGTTATTAACAAAGAATCCAGATGAGCGTATCACGCTCGAACAAGTCAAGGTACACATATTTTCTTTCTTGGTAGTACAACGCATTGATACCAGAAGAAGGGGGGCTGACATACTTCTATCATCGGACGTGTTTTTTAGCATCATCCTTGGGTGATTGAGGACATTGAGGATCCACAAGCATGGTGGGAAGAAGCAGATCCTCGACGGTACAAGGCCGTTGAAGTCACTGATGAAGAGGTCACTCAAGCAGTGACGATCATGGACCGTCTCCGCAAGTCAATTCAAAAACTGTCATCGTCGCTTTCCAACTTGACACACGGTATTACGCGACGACGATCCAAAAGCGTTTCATCTCAACCACAACAGCAGCAGCGACCGTCTGTTCCTTCATCTAAAGCAGCAGCAGCAGCAGCAGCCCATCACCATCAACAGCAACAGGAACAGCAACCTGTGGTAGAACCACTTATGCATGGCAAATCATCTTTTTCGACATCCTTCATTCCACCTAACAACAATAATAATAGTCATAGACAACAACCACATTCACTATCATCATCATCATCATCCAATATTATGCGACCCATTTCATGTCTTTCCGATGATACACAGTATAGTCATCCTCATCATCACCGACACCATCATCATCATCATCATCATCGTGGTTCTGATATATATCCTGATCTGGAGGAAGAGGACGAGGAGGATTTATACGAAGAAGGACCAGAAGGTTATGATCATCTTCATCATCATCATCGTTCATACAATCAACATCATCCACAACAACAATTGCAACATCGACCCAGTTTGGATCGACAAGCATCCTCTGCTTCGTCTTCCTCGGGATTGGGCATTACCATTAGTCGATATCGTGGCGGATTGACGCCTCAAGTCCCTCCTTCGTCGTATCACCCAGCATCTCAATAGTAGATATCACACACAAACACACACACACACACACATATATATATATATATTTTATACACACCACAGACAAGACATACATAATCCAACCTTTCTTATCACGCATTCTCCTCTTCAAGTTATATCTTTTTTTTTAACACAACTCACTTAATAATACACGCTTGCGTATATACAACACGCACAATTATATCAATTCAGGAGATCCCTTCTAATACATACATTTAGCTCAGAAGACTATTGTAGTGTGATTGACACAAAGTCTTATTTGCATTAGGGTTCCTTTTTACCAAACCATTTTGCATCGCTGGCTAGGTCGTACTTAAACCATTTCTAAAAATGCCACATTTCCATTCTCTTCCACGGTTAATTGCCCTTTTCACGATTCAAAAAAGAAAAAACAACAAAATTTAATTTGTAAAGAAAATAAACTGTACATGCTAAAAGAAAATGCTATGGAGGGGAAGCGTTGCTATTTACACGGTGAGGTTGGGATGTGTGTGTTTTCAAGGTGAATAAGGTGGAGGAGGAATGTTGTTAGAAGTAGATGCATCGTTTTGGTTGATATCGATGGAGGCATGTTGTCGATGGAGTTGATACTGAAGATGCTGCTGTTGCATGTACGGAGTCGTTTCTGTCGACGGTTGAGCTAAAGAGGTCGATGGCTGGTGTGGTACATGAGACTGTGGACTTTGATGAAGATGAAGGTTATGTTGTTGTTGTTGTTGTTGCTGCTGCTGTGATGGTGATACCAATAATGACGGAGGAGCGGGTGGTGGTTGTTGATGATGTGCTGAAGGCGAGGAAAGAGTAGGTAATGCAATTACCGATGGAGAAGAAGAAGAAGACGAGGAGTTGTGTTTCTTGTTCAATTTTAATTTACGCTTTCGATAGAAATAGACAAACAGAGCAGCGGAAATGATGACAAGGACAGCAACAACGACGACAACAACAATGATGGCAATATGCACATGGCTGGTATGACTGCGGTCGATGTTTTCATTGTCATCCAAGCTCGTGTCCGTGCACCGGTTTTCAATGCATTGCATAGCGTTCAGACACTGATGGGTCGATTCGCACGTTGCATCCTCCGGGATACTCTGGACACAAATGCGCGTGTCTTGACTACAGTAGGTGTTGAGTTCACAGTCGCTGAGGTACGCATCCAATGGGTTGCTCGCGTTGCCTGGTGGCCATTGAATGACGGATTGGCGTCCGTTGGAGACTTGGTCGAGTTCGGTTTCATGGAGTGGTGGATCGGGTGATATAACGCAAGGCGTGTTTCGACGTGCGGTTTCGCCAATGAATACGGGGGACCCATTCGGCTGTGGAAGAATCCATCTTTTTTTTTTTTATGAAAGCAGTCGGCGGACGATGAGCGGGAATGGAAAACATATCAGTGTTTATCTCTTCAAAGGCTTACTGTGAGTTATGCCGAGGACCACACTGGACGGTGGCATCAGTGACGATACATGCATGGGTGGAGTCTGCGCAGGGCCAGGTACAGTCGACGACGACGTTGATCGCTTGGCAACAGTATAGAAAGTGCAACAGCAGCAGCAGAAAGATGCTGTTGTTTAGCCACATGGCATGTTTCTCGAGAGGAAAAGCAAGGGGGGGTGAATGGAACGATACCCAAGGGGGGGTGCAGGGAGGGGATGGGACGAAGGAGGGCAGATAGCTCTTGACAAGAAGAAAGGAAGAAGAAAGGAGCCAAGTGGAGCAAAAACCTGGTTTACGACATTGAATTAAAAAAAAAGAGAAAACTGACACCAAAAGAAAGAAAAGAATATGAGGAAAGCCTCGGAGTTCCGTAACACAAAGAGCAGACCGCTCTCCGATGTGTTGTATAAAAAAGGCCTACTAATAGCTTGCAAAGGCCTGTTATGGCTGTGTGTGTGGTACCACGCTAAAGATGGATTTAGCTGCTGTAAAGTCCCGGTTTACGTATTCTCACTGGGGGAGGGGGGGTTACCGGTATTCAAGCTGTGTGCAACGTACATGGTGCTAAACATTCAAATGGCACTGCGTATATATAGACTACAACGCGTCCGTCAACAAACCAAAACAAACTGGCAGGGTCCCCTCATCAGCAACACAGCACTTGACCCATCGCGTAAACACCTCCTCCCCCCCCCACCTTTACCTTCCCTCCGTGTTCCCTTCAACCTTATCACAAAAAGGAAACACTCCGAATACATGCTTTTCTGGCGACTGGCATATGGACGGGATGAATTGTTCTGCCGATGTTCCGTTCTCCCACTCTGATTTCCTTTGGACCAAAGGGCGTTGTTATGGTGTTGTTATGGCACAGAGCACGCTATGCAATGCACACGCACACACGAGCAGACAAAAGGCTCGTGTAGTGAGCTTGCTTCCTCGGGCTGCTTATTGTTGCTATGATATGCACATGTTGTTGCTATGCACATGACGGGTTCTCTTGTGGATGAGGCCAGCCATTTGACCTGGAAGACCAGATTACTGCAAACACCCATATGTTTGTTTGGGGGAAAGGGGAACTTAGCCCAGGCACAGGCATAGACACGCACATGGACGCCTGTCTGCTACTTATATTCTTTCTTCTCTTGTCCTCCCTGCCTCTACTTTCGCACTTTCTTTGTTGTGCGAACTTACCACCGTCCTCAGCCGTCTTATCTTTGTTCTTTCTTTTTTTTTTTTTTCCTTTTGCATAAAACAAAGCCTTCCCTCTTTCTCCCTTTCTCTCTCTTTTCCTTCTCGCACTTTTTCTCCCGTTCTCCCTTTGTCTCTCTCTCTCTCTCTCTCTCTGCGTGTCCCCCTCTCTTCCTTTCATTCGCCATAATGCAATCCATCAAATGTGTTGTTGTCGGCGATGGGTAAGATTCTACCTGGAAGGACCGAGTTCAAGAAAGCTAACTGCACAACTACTCTTGTTAGCGCTGTTGGTAAAACGTGTTTGCTGATCTCATATACTACAAACGCTTTTCCTGGCGAATATATCCCTACAGTGTAAATAAAAAAAGAACAACAATATACCGGTGTGCGTGTGTCCTATGGCCGATCATGTTCTCAATAATGTCTTTTTTGTTTCTTTGTTCTTCTCTTTTATCGCTTCTCTGACACTCGACCACGACAACAACGTCAACCATCGATCCTAAAAACTACAACAGATTCGACAACTACTCGGCCAATGTCATGGTGGACGGCAAACCGATCAATATGGGGTTATGGGATACTGCCGGTCAAGAAGACTATGATCGTCTGCGCCCACTTTCTTATCCACAAACCGACGTGTTTCTTGTATGCTTTTCGCTCGTCAGTCCACCCTCTTTTGAAAATGTTCGAACAAAGGCAAGTACTTTTAAAAATCCATTGGGCTCAAGTGACCCCGGGGGGGGGGGTTGAGTCGTCAAGACCAGTGTGTAGCAGAGAGACTTACCTAGGAAAATGCGTATATGCTCTCAACATACACAGTGGTACCCAGAGATCAGCCATCATGCACCCCGTATACCCATAATCCTTGTCGGCACAAAACTCGATTTGAGAGAGGACCGTCAGACGATCGAAAAACTGCGTGAAAAGCGAATGGTACCGTTGACGTATACTCAGAGCTTACAGATGGCAAAGGATATCGGTGCAGTAAAGTACTTGGAGTGTTCGGCTTTGACGCAAAAGGGATTAAAGAACGTATTTGATGAAGCCATCCGTGCGGTCTTGTCACCGCCGCCTCGAAAGAAAGAAAAAAGACCCTGTATGATCCTCTAATTAAAATTGTCCCCACGAAACTACTGTATATCTGTCTCCCGTCGATCCTTCTGTTACCCGTACCTCTTTACCACAAATACCAGTCAACATCTCCTCCACCTTTCTTATCTTCGTATAGCTTTCTTATTAAATATATAAAATTTACCCTCTACTGTGGCCGTCTTTGTTTTGAAAAGCAAGTTCCTGCGGTTGTATGTTTTTCATTTACATGAGGATTACTGTACACGAGCTATATTTACGGTGATATGTAAACACACGCAGTATAGCTGGGGCTACTGGATGAGATCACATTTCTTATTAGTTGCTGTAGGTCGCCGCATACTGCCACATCGTTACAACACAAGGCTGGCAACCTCCTGTCCCGTCTTCCTGGACACAGCACCATAGCTCCAGCTTCGAGTAAGATGTGATCACTGCTGCTGCTGATCTCATCGTTTGTATTTAAGCCGACAGTCGTGCTCATCCTCGTAGTTTTGTAACAGTCAAGCCAAAGATATTTATTATCACCTCGCCAATCAAATACACTACAACATGTTTTCTAAATTGAAAATGAGGGATAATACCATACAAAAGCTATACGCTTCATCCGAGGCATTCTAGAATGTCAATGACAGGATTGAAGTCTGCGTCACCCATAATGACAATATCAAATTTCTCGGTATATTTTGGCTCCAATGCCTCGCAATCGTGATTACAGAATCCAATGTTCAGGCACAAGTTATGCTTGACGCCCTGGGACATCTGTAAGTCGCCCTCTGAGTCACCAATCAAAATAACGTTGGCCCTATCCTTGATCGTCTTGTAGTAGGGTGTGTTTTCTAGTTGGAATTCGGACTTGTTGAAGACGTGGATCAGTGGCTCTTCAAAGTCAACGCAGACTCCTTGCTCGTCAAACTTCATCATGTTGGACACAATGTGCATGTTTGGGAACATGAGCTTGTGTTCCTTGAGGATCTCGTCGATAATGTTGCCAATGCCTGCTGAGAAGACTAGGAAAGGGAGTGCTCGGGTATAGCATAGCTCCAAAACAGTGTCAATACCAGGTCGTAGCTCGACAGGTGTTTCTTCGGCCATCCCTCGAATATCTGGTTCCCATGGTTGATTGACGTTGGACAGATAGAAAAAATATTTTAAGTGAAGGAAAATGAAGAGGAAGAGGAGGATTGATGTTAAAAGAACGTTATTTACCGTCGCGAGTTATTTTTTGTGCAGACATTGCCGCGTGTGCCTTTTGCCACCATTCAATCATATAGGGTAACTTTTGCTCACGCGTCATCTCCTTGTGAATCTCGATCGGATAATACGTGTTCAGTAAATTGTCAGTAGTTATCTTGAACTAAACATTTGCATAAATCATTATTAATCTTCTGATGGATGACACAAACCCATAAATCTATCTCTTTGCATCTTTTTCTCAGTATTCGTATTACCTTTGGATCCATTTTGGAGTAAAGGCTTGGAACGCCGTGACACGAAGGATTACGTTGTAATGCGCCGGTATCTTTATTTCGCGTATAGTACCGTGACATTGTCATGTCAAAGTCTTTTTGTTGTTTGAAAGTATATTATTTCACGTTACTAACGGAATAATGTATCGTTGATATTGGGAAAAGACAAGGCATACCACAGATAAAATGGAGATTCGGTCGTCCATCCTGAAGGATTGTGCTTAATTTTTCTGTAGTTGCTTTCGTGTCCTTGATTCGGACCGTTGGATTGGTTAAAAGTTGTTGTACTGCGTGTGTAGGAAGGTAAACAACAACTCTCAATAACGTTCTTCAACATATTTTAGAAAAGACATGGGAATGTACCTAATTGTGACGCGCGGTCATCGGATGCCATCTTTTATGTTAAAGAGGAAAAGAAAGGTAGAAAAAAAAGGCACGGAAGTTTCGGAACGCGTGTGATTCGAATGTATAAATAGAAAGGGGGAGTGCTTTGTCTCACGCTAAATCGTGACTCAACGTTGCATAACAATTGATAAGCACCGAGCAGGGTGGAGCAAGCACAAAAACAACCGAACTTCATCTGTCTTACTCCTACTCTACTATAATGATTCTGTATCAAATAAGCATCAAGAGGGCAATTCTACTAGAAGTATTCTTGTTTTACTCAAATGATTCATGCATACTCTATATAATGAGAAGGGCTGCAAACGCAGAAGCGATCATACTTTCATACTTTAATTTAGATCATTTGTCATTGGCCGGTATGTTCGGCAGGCTCTGTCAATAAACCAGCCGATGTGATTGCGCTTATTGAGCTACTGCTTAGCTACAGTACTGTAGGTAGCCATGCATCGATCATTATCAGCAAACTATTGATGAAAAGTAGTATTAGTTAAAGCAATTTACCAATGTCCGAGAGCTTCTTTATTACTTTCTTGTATGATATGTGTCTTTGCTTTTCTTAGCAACCTATTTAGCTAATTGAAATTATGTACTTTGTCCTCATCAGCGCCATACGCTGTAAAATAATCACGTTGTTGGTGGAAACAATCCGTAACATGATGAACACGTTGCGGTTTTTCATCAGTGAATGAGGTTTGTTGTTGGGAACTGTCGTCGTCATATAGTATACATGCATGTGAGTGGACTGGCGTTATTATTACTTGGAAGACTGATGTGTGGGATGAATCTGTGCCGTATTTATTTTATTATGCCAAGTTCGTTTGTGGAGACGGACATTGAATGACATAAAACAGTGATAAATAAAGACTTGGCGACCTTGTGTAATTGATCGCTTCTTTGCGGTACAATTAGGGGGGTGGATATTCACGTATAATGAATTAGAGGTTAGGGTAGAGGAGAGACCAGAGATAGATTAGAGCTGAAATGTATACAAATCGATCAGTTACTGTCGCATTGCTCGCCTTATACTTGCTGTCCATATAGATAGCATTTATGCAAACAGTTCGAGCATTGTGAAAGAAGAAGGGTAAGAAACCGTTGGTAGAACGAGTCGGGCTAAGGGATTTCTTTTATTTCTGTTGTAGGATTACAATTAGGGTGTCTTAGTTTAACTTTGTGTGATATACTTGAAGAAGGCACCAGCTACTTGGAGGAAACATTTCTTTGAGACATACACATCGTAGCAGTAGTAGGTGACTATGGTGAGAACTGTACGATATAACAACACAGCCATGTGTTATTTTTGTGCAGTTTGCGAGAGATATGTCGTATGATGGCTTGTATGTGTGTATCAAATTCCTTCTATCCATTGGTATAGCATGACGTCCTGTCATCTGTGTGTACTTGGAAATTGAGTTACATTGTCAGGTATATAGGGTATGTTATAAGGCTCATTGTTGATTAAAATGGTGACTTTAAAGTGGTCCCCAATATACATCTGGCGAACATGATACTGTAGCATCTACTATTACGGAGGACGATAAACATCTCGTCACAAAAACGAAGCCATTAAGAAAATGATGACGATTGCTTATGGCCTTTGACATATATATATATGAATACATTGAATATCAGCTTACCTATTGATTAACTCTGCTTAAACTTTCTGCTTCCAAATAAAAAGGCAAGTGGTTGACAATTGAGTGATTGATTTAAGGTGGAGATGATGATGACACGAGGTAAAAAAACGTCAGATGAAAAGGGGAAAAAATTAGAGCCGGAGACGGAATTGATAATACAAGTTCAATCAAAAGATCTGCAGGAAAGATATTTTGACATGTTCATTACGCATGACGGTAGCCTACACGCCATGGGAACCTTCCTGCATCAAAAAGCAAGCATCCACTCTTGCTATATTGCAGGATATGGGAAAAACCACATCATGGGATCCACACATGGTAACAAACTAGCAACAGCGTCACATTGTAGTAGCTGGCTTGTACATATGCTTGTTGCCAAACACTATTGCTCCAGCTGGATTTGAAAAAAACAAGGGCGCATATTTACAATTTATTCAAGGCTTTTTTTATTCAAGGCAGCGACTGAGAAAAGAAAAGCATGAGTGAATAAAAGAGCCCATAAGGAATGCTGCTTCTAGATGCAATAGTATACTGTATGAGCCGGGCAGAAAAATGACAGTCTTTTCCCTCCTCCGGTCGGTATTGGTTGGGCACTGCCTCTCTTTTCGAAAAGTAAATAGAGATAAGCGGGAATGAATTTAGCGACTTCGGTTAAACTGACCCCGAAGGCAGAAAAAGAAAACCCCAAAGGCTAGTAGTATATAAGCGACGGGATGAAAAGTTTAATTTTCTCGACCTCCACCCCACCAACATACACAGACACCCCTCCTCTCTCTCTCTCTCTCTCTCTCTCTCTTGCTCTCTCCACAAACAAACACACACACACACACACACACACACCTGCTATTCCTCTCCCTCTCTCTTACATAGCTATACTCACCACGCCAACCTCAGGAAACAAACACAGCATTAATCATCATGCCACAGTGGACGGGGCTTTACTCTTCTTCCAAAGACAAAGAGAACAACAAACCAGTGCAAGTACCACAGCTGAAAAAGCTGGCTGCTGCTGGAAATAAGAACGGGTCGTCGTCGTCCTTGCCAACAGACAACACAGCAGCAAGCAATGGTCGAGCATCGCCATCGCCATCGTTACGATCGTTGTCACGATTGACCTTGTCGTCAAAGCCTTCTTCGCTCGCGTTGAACAGCGACAAGAAAGAAAAGGATACCGAAGACACCGCCATGATGGATGATATCCTGAAAGTACGCCGAGCATTGGACTGTTTTCTTGATTCTCGTATCAGCGAGGCCGAGGAAATCCTTGCACCGCAGAGCAAGACAAGCATGTACTATTCGCTTGGGTATGGCTTTATCTTATTTTTGAAGTGCGCCATGACGTTTGAGCAAGCCGATGTGGAAAAAACCATGCAGGCCCTGAAGCATACCATCCAATTAGCCAATGCGCAGCGGAAACGGGGTGGCGGATGGCTGGATAACATTACAAACTGGATGAAAGGAAACCAAATTCAGCACTTGAAGGCGATGTCTCGGGTGCATCGGCATGCTGTAAGTTCTGGACAAGACTGGAGAGAGGGCAAACTGAGTTTTGGAGCTTTGTTATGTTGGGCATAGGATGGTGTGTTTGTTGTAAGATTGTGGGCGGTGGGCGGGATGATGATCCTTGGTGATGTACGGGTTAAAACTCACACGTTTCACCTTGTGCTGGTTGCAGGAACTTGTGTATGCCGAAGCTTATTTATTAAAGGCACTGCTCAGCATCGTATACGACGAAAGCATCGTAGCTTTCCTTCGAGAAGGCCTGAATATCCGCAACAGCTACAACACGTATCGACATCTCGAGAAATACGTCGAGTTTGTGCGAGAAGAAGCCGCAGCAGGAAAGGATACCACGTGTTACCAACTAGACGATCATTTCACGTCAGGCGTGGCTTTGGGCTTTGGGTGCTTCAACATTGTCTTGTCGCTTCTGCCGACGACTGTCGTCAAAGTGGCCGAATTCATGGGCTTCTCCAGCGACCGCAACTACGGTCTGGAGGTCCTGGAATCCATTGGGGACTGGCACGACTACCATGGCCCACAACGCCGCTCGACGCTACCAGAACTGCAAGGACCTGACGAAGGCTTGCGACGTCAGCTCTGCGATATGGTGCTGCTCATGTATCACATTGTACTTTCGAAAATGATACCGCTGCCCAACGTGGACGAGGTGTTTGCCGAACAGATCCTCGATTACAACCTTACTCTGTATCCTTCTGGCGTCTTCTTTCTGTACTTTTCGGGGCGACTGCTGGCCAGCCAAAGCCAAATCGAAAAGGCCAAGGCACAGTACATCAAGGCGATCGACACACAGCATGATTGGAAGCAGTTGCAGCATATTTGCTATTGGGAGCTGGGTGTCATTAGCTTGATCCAACAGGACTGGTCCCGAGCATTCGAAATCTATGACAAACTCGGCAAGGAGAGCAATTGGTCCAAGGCTGTGTACATGTACCTCAAGGCTGTGGCCTTGTACAAGTTGGATAGCAAGGATAAGCGCGTACACGAATTGATGCAGGGCGTCACTGCTGCTAAGCAGAAGATTGCTGGAAAATCAATTCCTATGGAGGTAAGGTTTGAAAAAAAAAACTGGCGCCATGACAATGTTTGGTCTTCTTTATGCTGCTACTGCTGCTAATACATTTGACTTTATTTCTTTCATCACCTTCTAACGCGATATAGAAATTCGTTTCACGCAAATCCCGGAAATTCATTGAGCAGAAGGACTACCTGATCTTGCCAGACTTGGAAATTTTGAACGCTTTTACGGCATTCGACTTTATGCCCGTTGAAACTCTCAAGGACAACTTTAAGCGCATCAATCAGGAGCTGGAGTCACTTGACGATGACCACAACAAAAGCAAGGAACATTCCCATTACTACGACGATCTTTGCACTGTCAACTACCTCCGTGCCCAAGTTGCGCGTATGTTGCTCGAAAAGCAAGAGAACTGCGACGTAGAGAAACTGCGCGAGATCCATCGCACATCGGTCAACACGGTGCTCGAGAACGGCAGCAAGATCGAATTGGACCATTACATCTACTATTTCACTCGCTATGAAAAGGCGCGGCTGCTGATTGTGGACAACGACTATGCTGGGGCGGAAGCCGAGATCCAGGTTATTTTGCGAGCAGCCGAAAAGGGACAGTACAACGTTGGCTCGGGACCGCATGCTAAAAACAAGTACAGTCTGGAAAACGCCTTGGTTTTCAAGTGCCACAACTGTGATGAAAAGATCCAGTCGCTTAAAAAAGAAGCAGCAGCATCCTCATCTCCAGCAGCAGCAGTGGACGCCACTGACTAATCACTGTTGTTGCATTTCCTGATACACCCCTCTTCCACTGTCTACTACGTACCCTCCACTAGACGCTTTTCTCTCCCTTCGACATAGTAATTCCACACACTCTCTCTCTCTCACACACCCTCCCTCTTTGCTTTGCCCGGTCATGTCGATCTAATTAATACTAAATAGACGTGCATTTGTATAACAATCACACTTTTTTTATTTTTACCAAATCAAGTCTTTACACCGCCTTCCATAAATGAACAAATTAGTGTCAATGGGTGACACAGGCCAATCAAAATCAATTTCAAATATTGGCTTGTTGGGTTTCACCCTATCCTACGCTTTGGCCAATCCCTGTTCCTTGCAGCATGTTTGATTGACGCATCAGATCGGGCTGTTAATAATGATGCGTCGCTAATGAACAACAGTTGTCCTAAAGCAAACCAAGAACAAGATGAGACCCATGGTTAGAATGGATGCTGCTGCTCTTTTCCAGTTACCATCGAAACATGACATGCTTAACCGGGGTTTTCCAACAGTGGGATGATTGCCGCACTGATATAACGCGTGGTCAATCCCAATTCTTCCGATATTTTGACTGACAGGTTCCAATGGTAGCTGTTCAAGTCGAGTGGAACCAAAAAAAAAAAAAAGGACAGATGATGGATAAAAACGACCGCCATGATCCACGCTCCAACATCTTCAGTCTCACAGGTTTCGAAAGAAAATGAGAATCTTGTCACCGATATCATCACAAGATGCATCAATTTTGCGTGTTCTAAAAATCAACCGCTTTCTTTTTACGCAACACCAAATAGACTATGCTGCTAATATGTTTATATTTTGCTCATCTATACCTTCACAGCTTTTTCAGCGTGTAGCCGAATTGTGGAGTCAAATTCGTATGTTAATCCGCCATATTTTATTTAGCAAGTGATATCGATAAGTCACTCGCATGTTCACGGCCGATATATTGGTGAAGGTCACAGTTGCTGCGGGAAGGTTTCCGCAATAGAATTGATGACAATGCAATTTTGTAAAGGTCATCCAAAATGCTCGTCACTGACGTGAAATCGTGCTTGGTCTTGGGTGATGTAATAGCTGCAAGTTCCACACATGCGTAAATGCTGGAATTCGTGTGAACCATGGCGTGAAAGGGGATTGATAGACCAAGCGCTTGAAAGCACAGAGGTTGCTGGATACCATTTCCAATTTTTTGCAAATATACCCAACCGATAAAAGTCCATTATCGACACTGTATCGGATGATCCTTCGCCTTTGAGCTAGGGTAGATACTGCTCATACACCATGACTTTTGTAATCTGGCCGTCGATGCTCGTCCATGCCCATTGTCTGGGATGCAGTTGGTACATCTAGCGAACTTTACCACCGGTATCACAAGATGATGATGCTTAAATAACAGGATGAACAAAAAAGGGCGGCACGTTTGGATTGACAAAGATGACTCTATCCCAAATCCTTGAGTGCAGGGAATAGAGACGCAATAGCCAAAACGACGTTGCACTCCGCATTATCCTTTGTCATTGCAAGGTTGATCCAATAACGCCGTGCTGTCAAGTTACTGACCTTGTTTTCGTGATAGTCGCGGTTTTTAGCTGACATATAAAGATGGGCGTCAAGTGAATCAGGTAGTGCCAATGAGGTCAGAATATCTTGACGCGTCGCCTCCAACAGAGATGGGGAGAAATATTCCATTGCCGCAGATTCGTATTTTTGTTCGTCTTTGCAACACACATATGGAAGAGGTAGACCTATACATGTGAAAAATATACCGGTCAGTGAGAACCCATTGAATTACCAGGCCGTTTATAAAACAAACTTACAAAAGCTGATTGAAATAGCGATCTACATTCAAAATGCTGGTGCTTGCCAGGTAAGATAACTCTTTCTTCGATCCCCCCCCCCTTGAGCACTTTGCCCTTCAAAGTAATTTTGCAAAGTACCACGCTGTGTTGCTTAAAAAGCGTGGACTCTAAGCTCCTGATCAGGGACATATTTCTTTTTGGGTAAAATAACGGGCAAAAAGTCTACCCACGCCTTTAGACTTTTGAAAGCCAGTGGCCAAGACAAAAATAAATTCGAAAAGATGGTGCGACATCAAACTTTTTCAAATGTCAAGCAACCTCCGGGCGCCGACTCAAAATCAAGTCAGAGTCAATGGGGATCGTCGCTGCTAAATGGTAAGCACTGGCAACTACTTTGGGGGGGAGGTACGCACAGCATGGAGGAGGCGATCAGACCGCGTCTGGACACTTTGCAGGCCCCCACCCCCTTAAAGAGAGATACGTTCATCGACACAATATAAAAATAAACTCTCTCTCTCTCTCTCTCTCTCTCTCTCTCTCTCTCCTTGTTTTCTTTCTTCTTTTTCACTCTCTTTTTATTTTTTAATTCACACAATGACGGATTCACTTTTACCTTTCCGGTTTCCCCTCCATCGCAGTGACAATAAAGTACTGCGGTTGCTGCGAATATGTAGTCCACGGAGGTTCTTTCTAATACTCCTCTGTGTGGGTCTGGCTATCCTCGTCGTCAGTCTGATACAGCCGGAATACGCCATGGAGCGAATTTACACAATTATGGATTTCGAATCCGAGATTGACGCGCCCAGCTGGACGAGTCAATACGAAACCGAGCGTCAGAGCTTATACACGCCCAGCATGTTTATCCCCGAAGCATTGGAACAGAACCACTATATTCCCATGGCAGCAGTAGTGGATCGTGTTTCCAAAGACGAACAGGCCATCTACCACATCATTAAACATCTTATAAAGTATCCCTTCATCAAAGAAATCTATATCAATAACAAGCTCTCGCGTAGACCGCTTTCAATGGAGGTATATCCAAACACTCTTTTTCTTTTGTGTGTGAATTGAGATCAACGAGGAGGAAGGGGTAAACAGCTGACAAGAGTTATTGTTCTTTTTAAGCTTTTCCAAGACCTCAACTTTATTCGTTCCAAACATGATCGTCTTGAACTTCATATCATTGAACCATTCAACAACAGTAACGACCCTTCGCTCGCACGATTCACCTCCTGCACCTTGACAACCTACAGTCACTGCTATTTTCAAGACGATTTGGCATTAAACCTCTACATGGACTCGCAATATACCAATTTCCTTGACACACCGCACCTAATCCATGCTAATGCACGACCTGCAACTTTTGTTGATCATCAACGCTGGCGTTTTCAACGCGGGAACGGTAAATCATTTTGCTTTTTTGGGACACCAATATATATACTGGACGGGGAGGGGCTGGGGGAGGGGGGGGGAGTTAATCGACGAGGGAAAGTTTGAGGTTGATCAAAATGGGGTTACACATTGTGCTAGGTAATAGGTTTAACCAGCGGTACTATTATTATTAGATTTACATGTCGGTTATGCACAATTCCGTTATGGTGCTATTGTGCAAAAATCACTTGTGGAGTCATTTATTAGCGCTGCTACCGACCAGCAACAACCAGGCCTCGGGCGCCATGCTGATATCAACTTTATTTTCTGGACTAATCAATACCCATGGCTCCTTGCCAACCCGCTCACGACGACTGGGCCGGTCGACGAGTTCGATCATACCAACACTATCGATCCAATCAATAATCGCAAGACTGTATACCGCTCTATGGTAAGATGATTACCATAACCATTATTCGAAACTTTCTAAGAAACTAATACAAAAAAACATTTAGTATGATGCGTTGCGGCGACTTGAACAACGTCTGTCCATACAATCCCACGAAGCCGCCAATCCACCACTCATCGACCGCCAAGTGCGCGCATCATGTGCAAACGACCATTGTTTATTCACGACCAACATCAGCCCATTCGATGGAGTGGTAGATGAACATGAATTCAATACCGAAAAAATAACGAGTATCCCACATTGGGAGGCAATGTATCAAGAAATGGATGTGCCATCACTCGAGACTTGGCAGACAAGTGCATTTCACTATGCAGTTGATAGTCATCCTCGCACTTGCTGGAACTCATATGCACGTAAGTAGTAGATCCCCCACATAATAAGGTTTTGGAAAGAGGGGAGGGGGAAAACTAAACCATTTCTTTAGATCCACGAGCCGGGGATTACTTTGGATTAAATATGGTTGGCACCATCCCAGCAAAGCGGATATTGGTACATTTACGGAGGCCCATCGAAATTGGACACAACGGCAGCAGTGGACAAGAGGAGCTTTTCAATGTAACTGTTTCAGAAAAAAAGGACCAATGGGTTGACTGCCAAGCATCCCGCATCCAAGACCTCGAGACATCGCATCGGATTGCGCTGCATTTGGATGACTGTCCAGACGTGAAAGCATGGAACGCTATCCGGATTGTATTCGCTCGAGACTTGCAAGACCCAATACAGATTTGCGGTTTAGATATAGACAACATGCATGTATAAGAGAGTAGTAGCTTAATTAATTATATGCTTCTTCAAATTATATAAATTCTAAACCGCACATACACACACACACACACACGCACACATACGAAGGGAAAAGGGAAGAAAATAGTCTACTTTTTTTTTTGTGGGTTGTTCCGCAGAGTGCATGTGCGTGTATGTTGTAAGGGGCAGGGGTGTCGATGGTTGTAGAGTAAGAGCAAGAGCAAGAGAGAGAGAGAGAGTCAATGGTTAAAAGAGGAGTGGAGAAACATGGCAATAAAGGGTAGAAAAGATAACAAGCATAAGAGATACGGGGATTTTGAAAAGCAAAGAAGAGATGTGTTGTTGTTGTTGTTGTGGGTGCATTAATAAGAAGCTCTACCATCCTCCCCACTCATCGTCCGAGTCATCTTGCTTCTTGGCCTTGGCTGTTTCTCTCAAAGGCGTACGGGATCGCACAGACGACGTTGACTTTGTGTTTGCGCTTAATCCTGCAGGCGACGCACTACGAGAGCTCACAGGGCTTGTGTACTGTTGCTGGTTTTGCAGCGAGGAGATGGTCGAGTTGAAAAAGTCGCCATCGTTAGTGTGTGAATGGGACTGGCTGTTTCCAGATGGAGGTCGGGTATCAAAACTGTTCGAGTAGAACTCATGGGTCTGTACGCAAAGTGCGCGAGTGGAGGAGAAGAAAAAGAAAACGTTTGCTTCAGTTGATCAAGGTAGTCTCCGTCGTATAATTCAAGCACACTGTTGTGTGGATGTAGACCGCTACATAAACGACATCGAACGCTACCTTTCTGCTGAACGAATCGACATAACCACTCACGTTGTTTCTCAGATTGGGATCGTTCCATTGTTCATTGGCATACTTGCCCAACTGCCCAGCATGTTGGGCTGCCACACGAGCTCCCTCCGCTGCAACTTTACCCAGCTCCTCCATGCCATACGACAGGAATGACCAGCCCTTGGAAAGCGCTTGCACAGGGTCGTTCATGATATCGTTCAGATCGGGCGAATCGTTTTTGCGAGGCTGGTTCTCGACTACATACAAAAGAAAGAAACGTGTAAAGAACCGGGACGACAATGGGGAAAAAGGTACAAACAAATTTAAGACTTACATGCAGGATTTCCAAATCCAGTAAATTTACCGCCTTGACTGGGTGGCAAATGGCTTTCATAAAAAGAAAATCAAATCGTAAACATACATGCACACATCCCCAACTCATTTTCACTTACTCGGGTCTGTTCTCGTTGGTATTGCCTAATGTAGCAAAGTACGCCTCATTCCTTGCCTTGTCGCTCATCATTGTGCTACTGTTGTTGCTATGGAAGCTTGCGGGTGATCCAGAACGAAGTGGCGACGATCCATTCAACGGTCGGTTATTGTTGTTGTTGTTGGTGCTACTGCTGCTGGTACTACCAAAGCCGCTACTACTATTGTTGTTGTTGTTGTTGTTGCCCAACGTCGAATTCAATGATCGGCTCGATCCAGTCGCTGCTGCACGTTTGATAGAAGATGCAGCGTTGGGTGAAGGTGTCCAGCTACGTCCTTCTGCTTCTGCCGATAACTAGATCCCACACCCATTTGTGAGTTGAACCCTGTTTATTTATTTATTTTTACTAATACTCTTACCTTGTCGCGATAAAGTGCGGCGCATTGAGAATTGTATTTGTCGTGCATATTCATATTCGAGCGATAGTCTGGTTGAGACTCGAAAAATGCCTTGGCTTTGGAGTTGCCACCAATCTGGTAATAACCCTCCCAGTGAGCATACCATCACTATGGAAACTATACCCAACTCTCTTGTTGTTGTTTTCTACCCTCCGTCATTCCTTTTGCAATGTTGCATACATACATCCATCTTTTTCAATTGATCGTCAAACCATTTATCCATACTGATCGAGCGAACGAAACTAAACAAGGGAGGTTGTCAGGAACTGTCTTTGATAATTCCTTTTCTCTTTCTTTTTGTGGTCTTTTACCTAATGTGCACACCAAATGAACGATGAATTCCGGAACAATCCAAACATATAAAGATGCCATAGGATACAGAAGCCCATTGCGGATTGGGTGCCCCACAGTCAAAACAGGTTCGATTTTCTCCCCGTCTCTGGATTTCGTAAAGTTTTTGTTTGTATTCTGCAGCAGCCATCTAATCAACACAGTAAACAGATGAAAAAAAAAGGTGGGGGAGAGCAGGCGGGATGGTGGCGAAGGAAAAAGAAAGAAAAATAAAAAATAGAGAAAGAGAAAGAGAGAGAAAACAAGGGGTGGTCAAGTCAATCGAAAAACTGTTTGTTGCTTTTTTTAGATGAACAATGGCGTCGATGGTCTTCATCTCGTGGATTGAGCATTTACCCTTAAGTTACAAGTCGGTTCTTCCTTCTTTTTATCCGTCAAGAAAAAAAAAAGCACTTTAGGAGTGTGCTAGGAAACGAGTATACGATATAAGGAGGAGAAAGGAGAAGGGGATGTGTTGCGAGGGTAACACAAGTTTCTGTCGCTGATATGTGTCGAGCACTAATTGAAACTAAGCCGTTTAAACACTTGATTGGTTAAAGACTGAGTGGCAGGTTTGCCTTGAATTAGGCCAGTGTCATGAAAGATAGCAAAATCTTCCTAGTCACAGCCAATAGGAGGTACATGGGGCATGGTATATCTTTCAAGTTTAGTTATTCGTGCTAAAGAAGCCTAAACCTATATAGGGCGGAGCGTTGTTATTCCTGTATTTATGCTGATATTATTTGGATTAGATATTAATTAGAATATCAAATAATGCAGTGCACCATCCCAACCCGCTTGTATCTTGCTTGACGATATGATGATACACATGCACGCTACATCAGCAAAGAAGGAGAAGCATGACTTTTTGGTTTAATATACAGATAATCAGAGACACTACAAACTTTTTTATTTGACTTTTTTGAGGGATATATGTACTGGGGAAAGTGTGGCACGAAGTAAGAAGATATAAGTTGATACTGCATACACTTGCATGAAGGAGTATGTCTTTACCGAGCCCTCTTATCTCAAGATATGGTAACCTTGAAGCCGATGTCGACCAAGAACGGCGAGGTAGTAGACGCCTTCAACGATGCCAACTACCAAGACGAGGGGCGAAAAGACAGTGAACCACAGGATCTGACGAAGTCGCTCAACCCATTGGAGACTGGCCGAATCCTTTTTAGCCTTCAAAAGATACACCGCGAAGAGTACAAAGAATCCGACGATCAACTCGAACACCACATTGGTACTAAACACGCCGAGAACAGGCTTTTTGGCACATCGACTTGCAAAGAACAAGCGACGCACGCTCTCGATGCGTGGGTAGACAGTCAGCATGGTGGTCAAGAAGGACGCGGTCAGCAACGTGCCGATCACCACAGTGATCAAAAACAGATAGACAAACAGCATCACGCCAGCTGCAAGGGGCTGGTAGTATAGTGTAGCATTGATTTCGGGAGAGCTGTGGGTAAATGCGTGTTTTGGGTGATGGGGTCGTCAGTAAAATGTAAACACCAAAACATTTCAACGGAGAAGACGGTATGTGGGGAAAAAAGACTACTCTACTTACTGAAGAGCACCGAGTGCCAAGTGACGCAGCATGGTCAGACAATCTACATCTTCATGCTGCAAAGCTGCAAGACCGACCCAAAAGGCAAGGATGGTCACGACGCCCAAACACACCACCCAGAGTGCATCCACAATGCATTGGCTCACCAGATGACGTGCCTTGGCCACTTGCCAGCACAGATTGTCAGTCCATAGAACAACGCGGAACACCATCAGGGGAGTGGCCCAGACGATAAAGTTGTAGGATGCAATTAGCAACGCTTGCTTCTTGCCCAGACTGCAGCTTCCACACAATGCGACCAGGCGTAGCACGAACGAAGTAAACAAGAAGCCGGCGGTGACCAAAGAGAGATAGGTCGATGGGCGTTTGACAGCCTGGACCGGTTGCAACAGAAGCTTAAATAAACAAAACGGTGTTGGTATGAGCGCAATGGGGAGGGGGGCGGCGGCGAAAGGGTGTGTGTGTGTGTGTGTGTGCGCGTGCGCGTGTAACGAGAACAACAACAGCAACAACTTTTACAAACCTTGTACAGCTCCAGAACCAGATCGGAAACGACAAAAAAGTAATAAGCGTATTCGAAATCATATGGATGGTAGTTGGTATAGTCCCTGTTGGCCACTGTTGAAAAGTGCAGGCCCAGGTAAACGAGTCCACAGACAAGGCCGACCAAGGCTTGGTAGCGTGGAGCAGCCCAGCGTGCGAGGTAGTCAACCAAGGGGTTCGAGCTGAAACAATTCCAGACGGCGAACGGATGATCGGGCACGTCTTGCCAGTCGGTCGGGCCATAGAATTTCCATGCATCCGCAACCACGGACTGTACGCGCGCATTCGACAAAAAGACTTGACAGTCATTGACAACCGCCCATTCCAGCGCTAAAGAAAAAGCCCATTTCTTAGCCATCATCGTCACCCTACACTTTGGACTTCTGGAATGAACCCCAGACGCTCAAATGTTTTTTTTACTTTACCCGAACGGTTATCAAGCCAGGGCCGGAGGAGTAATTCTCGGAGCACAAGAGGGGTAGCCGACGATTCCTTCATGCCATACTCGAGGGTGGTCAACGCCAGCTTTTCCGTGTTGTCTCTTTTGGTCATTGCTAACAGAGCGCACACGGACGCATGTTTTGCCACTTGCCAGACATCATGCTCGATGGGCGGTAACGTCAAACGCTGTGCCGGGTTGACAGGCAACGGAGGCAACGGCTGTTGTGTCTCGGCAGACGGAGTGGGTACTTGTGCTTCTTCATCACCATCCTCTGTCTCTTGCTCTTTTTGTTTTTTGTGGTGTTCCGTGGTAGGAACAGTCGGAAGAGCAGAAGATGAAGAAGAGGATCCATGGAAGGTATGCTGACGAATCAACGAGGAAGTAGAGCCTGACCATCCATGCTCATCCTTCCACTGATCAGTGGCCGACCTCAATGCATTCTTGATGATATCACGTTTCCTGAGACTTTTGGTGCTCTTGCTTGTTTCGCCGTCACTCGATGAAGAGCTACTGGAGTCGCTATCACTGGACGAGCTACTGCTCGTGTTGCTGCCACGGCGTACAGCACCTGGTCTCTTCTTTTTGAGCACAACAGAAGGCCGGTGTTCTACTTGCTGTTGCTGTCGCTGCTGTTGGATGCGGATCTGCTGTTCTTGCTGGATCTTGATGTATGCCTCAGCCTTGTAGTGCTGCTTAATCACTTTGCGGACAGTCTTGGTCAACAAGTAGGCCGGGACCACGGGTGCACCTTCCGAGGTAGCTTGGGGAATGTCAACAACAGCCACCAAGGCAGGGGACGCGCCTGATGAATAGTTTCCAGTGCTGTTGTTGTTGTTGTTGTTGCTACCGTTACCATTACCGCTTAGCAACCCGGTGCGCTCAGTGGGCTTGTTGCCGTTGCCAGCTTCATCCGTTGTCATCTTTCAAGAAGGTGTAAAAAAAAGAAGAAAAAAAGAAAACTACAGAAGTGGGAAAAAAGAAAAAGAGGAGGAAGGGCTTTATTTATGCGACGGACAGCGGTCCGTGGTTTTTTTTTGGGCTTCATGTTGACACTGGAACTGTACTATACTATAACTGCACGTTAAGTCTGCAGCAACGTAGTACAAAGTGCTTTTGCCTTCCCCCCCCCTCCTTTTTTTTTTCCAAACATGCGCCTTCTTTCTGTCCGAGCCAGCCATCATTCTTTGGGTTTTCTTTCTAGATGATTATGAAAAGCAGTATTTACAAAACAAATATATATTTGTGATAAAGGAGAAAAACAAAAAAGTATTCGAATAGTACATGATATCAAGAGAAATCATTCAAGAGCGTGGTTTAAGAGTGGGCGGGGTGTGTCGTGTCGTGTGTATGTGTATATATGCATGATGTATGTGAAGAACTGTACGTGTGAAAGGGCACTAGTGATAATAATAATAATAGTAGTAGTAGTAGTAGTAGTAGTAGTAGTAGTAGTAAGAGTAATAGTAAGTGATAGATAGATAGATAGATGGATAGATAGATAGAGAGCGGTATAACATTCTCTTTTGGTCAGAAGGAGAAGGAGAAGGGGGGGGGAGTGTTTGTTTTGCTCTGTTGTTTATGAGAACCAGGGGAGATCTGCTCCAAGTTCTTTTGCATCCTTCAAGATATCGTACACGACTTGTTGAAGCGAACGCCACTCTGTTGTCGCATTGCTACTGCCACTACCATGATTACTACTGCTACTGCTATCACTACTACTACTGCTGCTGCTGCTGCTGCTGCCCTCTGCTGCTATCGATGTTCCTCCTGTAGTTGCTTGTAATGATGAGGCAGGGGAGGAGGCTGCGGATGCAACAGAAACCCGGGCTGCTGCTCGTCGGCTCAAGCTCGGCTGTCGACTTGCGCTACCACGCCGTTGATGTAACCGTTGTGCCAGCGATGGCTCCAGTGAGTCAAAATCATCGCGGAACCCGCGATAGTTCAACAGCTCTTGAGATTGGACATGCAACGACAATGGAAGCCGTTGTTGTTGTTGTTGTTGTTGTTGTCGATGATGTTGTTGGTTTTGGTGGTGATGATGATGATTGTGGCGTTGTCGCATGGTTCCAAAGAAAATCCGCTCTTCCTCTTCTTCCGGATGATCCAACATAGGTGTGTCATCCATCATGGTTTGCTGCTGTTGTTGTTGCTGCTGCTGCAGACCATTCTGTTGATTATCATTATAATCATGTTGATGATGACGATGAGGATAACTGTCATTAGGCACAGCCTCTAATACGTTGGCAATCAATTTCTTGACAGAGCACTTGTTGGACCGTCTGGCATCCAAGCGCACCAATTTGGGACAATGTGTGACCCACAACCAAATCGTCTGCGCTGTCACCCAATCACACCGTTGGATCTGGACTTCTTGAAGCTGCGTACACTCCTTGCCCAACGTTTCAATCACGGTACTCATCGGGATCAGAATATGGGTCAGTCCTGGCTGGACTGCATAGTGCTGCAATGTCGACACGTATTCTCCCGTTTCTGCAATCATGCTGTCAAAGAACAAGGTCGTCAGGGACATGTTGAGGCATGTCAGATTTTTGCAGGTCCGTGCAACTTGGAGTAACGACGACGTTGTCACAAAGAGATGCCCATGCTTCATATCCCGTGCCTCGTAATATTCTGATTCGTTGTTGTTGTTGTTGTTGTTGTTGAAATCCTGTTGTTGTTGTTGTCGCTGCATCCATCCAGCTTCGTTGTTTGCGAGTGCTATTCCTGTCGCAGACAGTCTTGTCGTCGTCGTCGCGATTCCGTTATTGTTCGTGGCGTTGTTGTTATTATTATTGTTAGAGGCAAGGTTCATCGTCCAGTTCCCATTTGCTGCGGTAGTAGCTGTCGTTGTTGTAGTGTCGTTGGCCGGAGTAATAAGAATGCCTGCGCCTGATCTTCTATTAGGCGTCGTCGTCGTTGCCGTTATCGTTGCTTGCTGTGGTGGCGGCAGTGGTATCACAGCTCCATTTATAGTCATTGTTTCGCTTTGCGTTATAGTCTGTTGTTGTTGCGTAGTAAGAGCAGCACCAGTGGCAGTGATACCAGGAGTGTTGTTTGTAGGATTCGTTACATCCATGTTTGCTTGTTTACCGAACAGTTTGCTTCCAGCAGCAAGGTCCAATGTGTGCACCAGACTGCCATAGCAAAGCGTTTGCTTAGTGCGTGTCAAAGTCAGGATAAACGTGGCATATCGAAATGTGTCCCCAATTTTGGCATGGCGATAAAGTATTGGAGCAGCACAAAGCATCCACTGTCGACACACCAATGATACTGCGTACAAGGCCGACTGCGATTCTTTGAGGTAGCTCAAGATTTCCAACAGCAGTTCCGGAGGTAATGCAAATCCAAATGGTGACCCACTTGCTACCGTTGTAGTTGATACCTTTTTGTTATCCAATGCAGTCGAACAAGAGCCTGCATCCGTATACAAATGGCTGTTGTTGTTGTTGTTGCTGACATTGCTGTTGTCGCACGACTCCATGCGTCGTTTGCACCAAAGCAAATAGTCTGCACGCGGGACGGTTAAAATGCCTTGAGGTCGTTCGTTGTGATTGCTGCTGTTGCTTTTGTTTTCAGAAAGATTCATTTAAATACAGGACTTTTACAAAGAAAAAAAGGAAAAAAGAAGTTGAGAAAATATAAAATCAAAAGTAGCTGTGTGTCACCCGTTTTCCTTTTTTTTTTGTCAAGTCAGTGAGTCTGAACGGCTCCTTTAAAAAGAGAAAAGTATGCACAAACACCTCCGCCCTCACCCGCCCCTCCCTCCCCTAGGAAGTCGCTAGCAGCTTATTTCATAATTATGGACTATTTCTTATTCTTATTTGTTGTAGGTCTTTTTTGTCACCCTGCTGGGGCAACCGAATAGCCTTCTTATGCCGCTCAGCGCAGAAGAAAATTGAGTCGCAGCCCGCTCTTTTTTTTTTATACACAGTATGGCGGCATGGAGAGGCTCTTGCCACGTTTGCTGTGCCCTTCTTTTTTTTTTAAAAAGAAAATATGCTTTCTACAAGTAGCGCCGATAATAAAGACGATCTCTACAACAATCCTTTTGCTTCGTCGTCTGACCGTGAACCACTATATGTTGAGCCGGATTTGGACTTGGCTGGCCAATCGACAACGCGTGCAGCAAAATCTAATGAAGCCAATCCTTTTGCCTCCAATAACAACACCAACACTACCTATAATCATGCTAGCCAGCAACTGAGTGGTAGCATTGGCTCCACGTCGTCGTCATCAGCTCCTCCTCCACACCATTTCTATCACGAAGCAACTTATTCCGGCCAAGACACGTTGGATGAACCCGTTTCTACCACCATTGTAAATTGAGCCCATAGGATTATCTATGGTTGAGGCAGCAACAGCCCTGCGTGTAGACTCCAACCTCACAATTATTTTCTCTCCCTCTAGTTACGCGACTTGAAACAAGTGGCAAAAAAGCTTCAACAAGTATTGCATCCTAAAGGAGATCGAAACGTATTACGAGACTGTAAATATGCTTGATGATATTACAAAAAAAACTGCGGTTTATTAACAACGGTGCGTTCTATAGGGGATCTGTGGGGACCACTCATTTTATGTCTTTCTTTGGCCATGTAAGTCTTTGTTTATATATTCTCGCATACACCGTGTTCTTGAAAAATTGATAAAAAGGCAATCCTTTTCATTCTTTGCTGGATCTTAGAATATTGAGTGGAAGTGCACCTGGAGAACAAGCCGTATCCATTTTTACGGGCGTGTTTGTCATTGTCTGGCTCGGTGCAGCCGTCGTCACGCTTAATGCCAAGCTACTAGGTGGTGCAGTGTAAGTTCTACATGCTTTAATACTGTACAAGTGCCCACGACTTGTTTTGTTTTTTTTTACTAAAATTACAAATTTGCATTAATAGGTCATTTTTCCAATCTGTCTGCGTCCTTGGTTACTGTCTGTTTCCTCTTGTTGCTGCCGCAGTCGTAGCATTGTTTGTTGACATTATCTGGGTGCGATTGCCCTTGGCTATTACTACCTTTCTCTGGTCCACTTATGGTAAGAAGAAAAAGAAAAGTTGTAATCTCAAAAGTGATGCTGAGGATTGAGGGGAACTTACATTGGGTGTTTGTGTGTGGATGATATAGCTTCTATTGGTTTCTTGTCAGAGTCTGAAGTACATTTGCGCAACCGGCGTGCGCTGGCGGTAAGTAAGAAAGGAAGGCAGAACACACACAAAAGCATGGGGTAACTGAACAAAAGCACAATAGGTCTATCCATTATGTCTCTTTTATCTTATCATTTCCTGGCTGATCTTGGTTTCATAAATAAAAAGTTTTCGAAAGTGTGCAGGAACAAACAAGGAGAGTGGTGTTTCTTTTGAGAACGAGGATTATAAAAAAAGTAAAATTATCAGGAACATGGTGGGTTAAAAAGTGATCAAAAAGGGTTGTGCGCTTTAAGCAGGTGAAGGAAAGGTGGGGGGGGGTTTGTGGGGTATTTTAAAACTTTCTCGGAGGAAGCAACGATTGGGGCATCTTTTCTGGAATCTCGGCGCCATTCTTGAACGCCTTGATCAAATGCATAGCAATGGCAAACTCGTCAACGTCCATGTAACCGTCCCCGTCGAAATCAGCCAAGCGCCAAATCTGGGCAAGGATATCATTGGGCAGACCGCTGTCCATCAGCACAGGCTTGACAGCCGCGCCGCCTACTTTACCCTCACGAGGATGCAAGCTGTGGAATTTGGGTATATACTCTGCCTTATCCACGGATGCAAAGTCCCAATACGATGGCGGCATCTCGCCCTCACCCAACTCTTCGAATGGATTCCGTTGCGACTTTTCCAGCTCCGGGTTGACCATCGGGAAGCGGGACATGAGGCGAGGCAGATCAACTGACAGGGCTTCATCCGCTTTATCCAAAAGCTCCTCTTTCAAGGTCTTGAACTTGTCCATGTCATACACCGACAGATTTTGTTTGAATTTCTCCGGGTTCGGGAAATCACCAGCAGGCAAATGGTATCGTTGTTGGATCTTGACAAATTCTTGATCCAAGTTGTTCAACAAGGCTTCTTGTTTCTTCTTCTTACCGAACATCGATGGCATTTCCTTCTTGAGATGACTGATGATCAGGGCGTGGACCTGTGACAATCGATAGAATATATAAAGTGGCTGTCTCAGAACCAGGGGACTTTTATCTTTGGATTGCTCCCTCCTCTCTCCCAACCTTTCTTTGACTTACTCTAGCCAGTCGTGCACGCTTGACAATCTCATTGATCTTGCGGACAGCAGCATTGCGGCGCAACTCTTTCATATCACGCAGCAGGTCCTTCATCTCGGTTTCGATCAAATCACGACAATCCTCAAAAGAGTTTGGCGGCTTCTCGGTCCAGAAGGAACTGAGATAGACACGCATGACTTCAGGCGTTTGGACGACCTTGCCGAGCGACCACATCATAGCACCATATCTGTTTGGTTTGTTCAATGGACATGGATGAATGTTATTCTTGTTCTTCTTTACGTAATCGACTCCTCAAAAAGTTCACAGAGACCGACACACATAAGCAGGGATAAATACACTTACACACGCATCAATTGCTGCTGATTGACCATATCACTCTTATTCAAAATGACACGTACTTTCTCTTCCTGACCGCGCAAACAATGGATGGCGTTCTTAAACTCGTTCGAAATGTCTAGTTTATGCGAATCGAACATGAGCAGAATAAGATCGGCGCGTTGTGCATACCATTCGATCACGGCAGTATAATCGTAGCCACGTTCGATACGCTGCTTGTCGCCAGCCAAAATACCGGGAGTATCGATGATTGTCATGTTTTCCAGGATGGGTGAAGGCGTTTGCGATACCTAGTATAATAATAACAATGGAAGAAAACAATATTCAACACCACCCCCATTTTTTGAAAAGCTGCCGCGCACAAAATAACACGCCATGGCCGCTATGGCAAGTATATATTACCTGGAAACGTGACAAAAAGGCTTGACCGAACCGGTTTAAACCGCGGAACGGCAAGTCTTGGTTTACTGCTGCTGCATTGCCCGGGGTGATGCGATCCTCAGCACCATGCATTACTGCTACGAAGCGGTCGGTCGTCGGCTCAACACCGATATGCTCGCCAGGATAAGCTTTGTCGAGCAAGTAGCGAATAAACGTCGTTTTACCCTATGTATAAAATATCGAGACTTTAGCACAATTTCTTTCGCTCGATTAACCTTACTTCTTTCAGCAGGTTCTTACAGTCGAGTACTGGCCAATAAGCAACACGATGGGCTTTGCCTCAATATCCGAGTTCGTCAATGGTGATGAGTGGAATCCTTTTATTTTCAAATGTTTTAGCTAAATATCTTTTTCCCCTTTAATGACGGATGCAATATATTGCTACGGGATGAAGTATTAAAAATTAAAAAAAGGTACCTTCAAAATTATAAGTTATCTCCAAGGGACGAATCTTTTGGTTGTAGGTGCGCTTAACGCCCTCGATAATCTGATAGTACTCATCATCGGCTAGAGAGGCAGAAGTAGGTGTTTTGCTGGGAGCAGGCGAGCCCTTCCCGTTCTTTCTCAGCCGTAAAGACATGGTGCAATGTGCAGACAAACCGAAATAGACAAAGCGAAAGATAAAAAGGAACACAAAGCAAAAACACGTTTTATTATTTTTGGTCGACGGGTTATACAAGCACTAACCCGCCCCTCCCGAAAGCGGGAATTCAACGCATGAAGGAGGGGTATCTAGGCCAAAAAAAAAAAAATGGGAAAATTTTTGTTCCGCATAATCTACGCGAAATGGATACTTTTTTTATCATTTTCTTATTTGAATAAAAGATGGGGTCGGCGTCACACGGCTGACAGTGTCAGGCCACGGACACCTGTGGTCCCGCTGATAGCAAGCCAGAGCAGAAGGACCCGGAGGAAAAAATTAGATTAACAACGAGTGGAACAATGTTCCACATTATAGTTGTTAAACTATAAAGAACAGATACTACACTTGATCTTAGCCAAAAGGCCAGAGAGGATGCGGTTCATTGAGTTCCCAAGAACCGCCCCTATTTATACCTTTCTGTGAGCCCTGCTGAGCTTGGAATGTGCCCGCTCGTCTTTTATACTCAGCGTGACGTGCGACTTTCTGGAAGCTTCTAGTAGCCGACGATTATTCCCGCAGCAGTCCTCTTCGTGGTTTGAACTGACCCTTCCCGCGCGGGTGAGCGGGAAAAAAAACTTCCTGCTGTGATATCAGCGACAGCACGACGTTGAGTTTATTGGCCTTATCAGATATACGTTTGTTTTTTGTAACTGATACTAGCATAAGAAACGTAATTTAATCTATTCAGCTGTTATTGTTGTCATTGAAAAGACGAATCTCGCAGCTATAAATAATGCGTTTTTTTAAGGAAACGCCTTGGTATACAGTAGTAAAGCAGGCAGCAATAGCTAGAATAAACCTGCGCACGATATGCATACAACCCTTCTCTAAAACTGATACTATGTAAATGATATGCGTACTAAACTTTTTGATTTCAGTACGCAAAAATGGCGTGAAGAAACGTACCGAGAGAATTAGCAAAAAGACGTCTTCTTCCCGAGCTACACTTGTTACTACGTTCATCTACAACATATTATATGATAGTAAACAACATGTCTAGTATAAAAGCTTTTGTCTTTTCTAGAAGTAAAACCAAATGTTTAGTGGGCCTTACTAATAAAACAGTATAATTAGGAAAAAACCAATGGCATATTTACGACGCTGAATGACTACACGATACTATTATATGCATTTTAGAAAAAGAATTCGAGGGCACTCATGACAGGATGATATCAAAGAGTCAATCTGTCAAAAGTCCAACGCAAGTGTACTTTGAGTATTACGACAGCACACATAAGGTATAATCTTATTTACTCCTTTTGTTCTGAACATCACTATTATGTACGCTCAGTATAGATCTTCAATCCTTTCACCACCATGATTAGTGTACCACAAAACACATACAGTAATGTGTATCCGAGAAATCATATACAGTAAGCAGGTGGTGACATGTTGCACGTTTCATAAATGAGACTGAGATATTAGAATGGAATTGTTATCCTACGGTATACCTATCTTTGCTAGATTATATACTTAAGCCAAAGTCCTATGCAAACATGCAACATTTTTGCAATCCTCGAATCTAAGCCTGTCGGCAATAGGCGACACATGCAAATGTTCTCACATGTTATTTAAAGACTGGTGAGTTGCCACACGTCAAATGATCAACGTATAGGAATAGATGGTGAGAGACCCATAAGGATCATATGCAAGGACATACTACGACGGCGAGATCACATTGTTCAATCCGGGAAAACATATACATATACACTCACACCTTGGCCAACTGATGATGACGGAAACGATGAAAAAGCTTTTTAATTATGTGTATGTTATGTACAAAAATGAGTAATAGTAATTGTAATATAAAAGTGTTACATATGGTGTATAAGATACCTGCTAGTAGATTGCAAATGATAATGATCCTTTTAAACTCTTTAATTCTTTACTGCCTTTTGTTCCCTCCTTTTCGCCTTCTCAGTACGCCGCCGTTTGTACAACACACCCTCCACAACGCGCCGTATGAAGCGTTCCTCATCGATTAATCGCACCTTCTTCCCGTCATTTTTGTCTTGTTGATCCAACATGCATACAAAGCTTTGAAGATTCCACGCAGAAACAATAAACAGCGTTCGAGTACTGATATGGCTCGCTTTGAGCTGAGCCCATACCGATGTCCTGACCTAAAACAGAATTTATGCCATATGAATCCAACGTGTTAAGCGTTATTGCTTGTGTTACTGTTTGCTCTTTCTCTCCCGTGACCAAGAAACTTACCTCTTCAACCAATTCTCCCGCAGCAACAGCCCAAGCTTTCAAATCTTCTTCCTCTGACCCTCCAGTAACAGCAGGATTCTTTCGAAGTTTGGACTGGATCGCCTGTTGCCAACAGCATCCATTTAGCAAACCACATTCCACGGACAAACCGACAAAAGCTTCTATAAATACCTGATCTGCCTTGTTTCGGACAAACACAAACGGGATACGATATTCTCTTGCCTTTCTGGCAATCTCGAGGTCGGTTTCCAGCATCCTAATAAGTTGTGTATCCCATAAACATTACAATCCTTGTCGTACAATTTCAGGCCACGAAGTTCCGTGTTGTGGTGTTGTTGCTTTACCTTTCTGCACTGACAATGATCAATGTATCAAAAGCATACAGAAACTTCTCTTCAAAGTATGTTTTGGCACTGTTTTCATATGTGCCAGCTCCTGGCATATCCCATAGAATCATTGTATGGAGATCCGGATGCTGATAGCCCTTTGGCTTGTTCGTTGTATCAATCTCACCCGTTTTTGCAGCCCGGGGATCTCCGTCATGACATCCCATCATACCATTGATCAATGAGCTCTATATACATACAAGGTCATGCTTGCTCTTTTAGTAGAGGTAATACGTAACGTATGATGGAAAAATGGGGCACATGTGCCGTTTGGCTGACATATGATGAAAAAAAGAGAGAGGAAAATAACCTTGCCCGTGCCTGCCATACCGACGACAGCGACATTATAAAACGATTCACTGTTGAGCCCATAGTATTTTTTGAGATGTTCTTTGACTTCTTGAGGGATCGGAAGAGGTTCTGGGGGTCCGTCATTAAATATAGCCTGAAACGCGTTCCAGCACGCAATGAACGGAGAAAGTGGCCCTGAAATAACTCAAAATATAAGATTCCCTGTCCCGTTGAAAGTAAACAATGCCACGCACGCTCTCTCTCTCTCTCTCTCTCTTTATATCGAGCTCAAGGTAAATACAAACATCCAATCACGCCAAACAGACCACCAATGATCCCATCCAGCATCTTAAATCCGGTCATTTCATCCTTGGTAAATGTGTAAGCGTTGAGTATCGGGAAAGCAATGACTACAACAGGAACAGTGGCCGTGGTCAAGGCGACTTTGCTGAATCGACTCGAGAAGTCATCATAGTCGTAAAAGACATTGGATTTGTGAGCAAGTGCGCTCGATGTTGCTTGACCCATATCCTCTTCGACGATCGATACAAATAATAAATAAAAGGAGTAGAAAGGTCGTGTAATGTGGAGAAAGATGGAATAGAAAAGGAAGAGAGGAAAAGATCTCGAAAGAAAAGCAAGCGAAAGCACATGTAAAAAAACTATGAAAGAGCGGGTGCCGGACCACGGGATACACCGTGCATGGCGTCAGATGATCGCAACTGCGTAACCAAGTCGGTAAACTCTCTTTTTTTATTATTAGCTTGTAGCAGCAGCAGCAGCAGCAGCAGCAGTAGTAGTAGTAGTAGTAGTGTCACCAGCACTAGTAAAAGCTTCCAATTGCTTGGCTGTATCCTCGTACTGAGACTTGATGACTGCCAAATAGCCTTCGGTCTCTGGCTTGTTGAGGAGCAACTCGGAACTTTCAAGTATCCGAGGGTTTATTTCAAGTAATTTGCCATACATGTTGGCTTTAATGGCGTAGCGTGCATCACCGCTAACGATCTCGCAAAGTACGGTGTCAGGCTTCACATTGGCGTTGGATCCGAGGGTAGCTTCCAGTTTGAGCGATTGTTCCTTGTTGGTGAGTATTGCCGGATGCTGTTCAGTAATGCCAAGAATGCACACTTTGTTGGGTGCCTGGCGAACATAGATCTTGTTGTCCAGATCGCGATGGTAATGCAGGGTATAATATCGCGCTAAGAATTCGGTCAGATCGTTCGACCACGGCTTTACGAGATCAAGGTGTTGTTTAATATCATAGTCGTCGTCTCCCATTTTTCTTGTGGACCCTGTTTTTTTTCGGTGTTCCGAGGATGGGTCAAAAAAAGAGAACTTGCATTTTCGGCTTTTTTTCTTTTTCGCAACAATGCGCACTGCGCCTCCCTCTCCGATCAAAGTTCTTGCAATTCCCCCCTCCCCCCCAACCACATAGTAGATGTGGCTTGAGTTAAAACAATGCAAGGGCCTATATAAAAATACATATAAGAGGAATTCTCCACATTATTGAACGTGGCTGTGGCACCAATGTTTTGATGCAGAGCCACAGTGCAAGAATAGTATTAACCTTTTTCTCTCTCTGAGTACCACTATTCCGTCATCAAGTTTTTTTTGCGTTTGCTCTTGGACTATGGATTGATGTTAATTATAGCCCACCAAAACATATCGAACATGATGATGCTCTTGGATCGTCCAACGCTCGCGTATATATAAACAAGTAAAAAAGTATTCCAACTACTTCCATCATTCCTCCTCTCGCTGCTTACTATATCATCTTATCCACTTTTCTTGTTGTTTTCAAACAAGCCGACTCGTCCCTTTGTATCTTGCTTTTTTCTTATTACGCGATCATGGCCAACGCAGCTATTGAATGGGTGTATAATGCCGGATCAGCTTGGACGCCTCTAGATACCTATACACAGACGTCAATTGAAGCATTGTGGTCCCGCAATGCAGCCTCTTGGATCCAGAGCTGCCCTTCGTTTGGTGGAGCATCCGTTTTTATAGACACCACACGCCTCGTCCTGATGTGGAGCGGCTACCCATACACCATCGCTCGTCGTTATAGATACCAGCGCCGTCGATAACACCAGTGGATATCCAATTTTCGGCATCTTTCTCCTCCAAAATCTACGGATCCGTCACTCGCTTCTTCTTTTATCGTCATTTTTTGGGGCAGCGAACTTCATCAACTTCATACTACCCTTACCTCCACCATTTCACATAGCATCACAATCCATATTTCATACACACATTATCATTCCCCTTTTGTACACATGTATTGTAGCACGTCTCTTTGTTGTAAATAGCTTAGCATTTTTAGCACGTATCATTTGTTTGGTATATAAATTTATTTCCATTTCCATTGATGTCCATCCCCATGTCCGTTTCTTTGTTGATGTGATACTTTCTTGACCTGACTACAAGAAGTATGTACGATGATGCTAGCTGTTGTATGAAATTTTTAAATGTATCTCGTCAGCAAATTGAATTGAGCTTATTAAACTACACCGTTTTTTTGCTGTTCGTGTACGACCCTTTCATAATTCCCATGGTCAAAGTATATTAGCTCTTGTACGTGGCTCAGGTCCAATCTATTTCCCTCACATTAACTAGAGTGCTCGCCAATGGCAACTGAAATGTAGTGATGCGGTTTAGTGTATCGTTGGTTTGACAATGACGAATACTCACAATATTGTTCTGTCATTTAATATTACAACGATTACAAGAGATGATGTTTTTTTCCGTGATATTGTATGTTGTATTACCACTCTCTATCTCTCGGTTGAATTTGCAAATATTGACTGCTACTATTTGCTGGAGCTTTTCTGTAAAAAAAATCTAAAGTGGTTTCTGCACACTATCTGATAACGTGATCAAGAGAAAGTGCAAACCGTGTTTCTGGGAAATGCTGATAGAACTTCTGACGTCCTATTTGGATTCATGTAGAAGGGGAAGTATGCATCCGAGTAACGCCTCCTCAAAATCTCAAGGGGAACTTCCCGTTCACAACTCCAGAAAATGACAGATGATGGCGTTTACGATACTCAACCTTTCTCCACACCAAGCTCTTTGTACTAGATAATTAAAGCAAATAGCAAAAAGTATGTGCGCGGGTGGTTTTGGGGTAAAGTAGAGCTAATCGCGAGCGATTCTCGGACCACCTGGCAGCCGAAAACCATTGTGTGTAACGCGGGGAAACTTGCTTCGGTGCCTTGCCCCCCTTTTTCCTGCGCTTCAGAATTCTGGGCCCACTTTTTTTTAAAACCTTCAGTCTCGTTCTTTTTTCCTTTCTCGCTCTTGTCGTTTGTCGTGCTATGCCGCCCAACACTGAAACCCAAACCCAAACGTTCAGTGTCCGTAATGGGCTTACACAAGACGAGATCCGGGAACGTGTCAAAAGCGGCGATGCCCTTTTTATATTCGAGGACAAAATTTACAAAGTCAATCGATTTATGAACAAGCATCCGGGCGGTGAATTAGCCATTCGACACGTTCTTGGCAAAGATGTCACCGATGAGATTAGGTCAATGCATCCACCACGTGTATATGAACGCATGATAAAGCACTATTGTATTGGGGACTATATTCGGGATCCAAAGCTGGACCCAACTGCAACGACGACAGCAGCTGCCAAGGCAACACGACACCATGACGACGCCATGCAAATCGGTTGGCAGGGCAGCATGAGTGTCGAGGCATTCGACGCAAAGATTGACGAACTTTACGCAAAGCATGCAGACGATCAAGAGACGGACAGAAAAGACCAAAAGGATCTCACTATACTCGAAATACGACAGGCATATCGACGACTGGAGCAAGAGTTCATTGACCGCGGATTGTTCAAATGCAACCACTGGCGGTATGCCAAAGAATGCTGTCGCTATGTCACGTTTATCTACTTGTCACTCTGGCTCGCGTTGCGTGGTTACGATACGTGGCATTTCCTTCTGAGCGCGGTATTCATGGGCTGCTTCTGGCATCAGCTCGTGTTCACAGCACACGATGCCGGCCATAACGAAATCACGGGCCGTGTCGAGATTGACCATTTGATTGGCGTTATGATTGCCAATTTTATCGGTGGTCTTTCAATCGGCTGGTGGAAGAAGAACCATAACGTCCATCATATCGTCACCAACCATCCCGAGCACGATCCCGATATCCAGCATATGCCGTTTTTCGCCATCACAACACGTTTCTTCAATAATATTTATTCCACCTATTATAACCGCGTATTAGAATTCGACGCACCCGCACGATTTTTCTTAAAGTACCAGCACCATCTCTATTATCTTGTGCTTTCATTCGGTCGGTTCAACCTGCATCGCCTGTCGTTCTTGTATCTCTTTTTGGACAAGGAAGTCCGCAATCGAAAGCTCGAGCTAACCGGCATCGCCGTATTCTTCGTCTGGTTCAGCTACTTGCTGTCATACTTGCCGTCGTGGTCGATGGTCTTCGCCTATATCATGATCTCGTACATTGTCACGTCTCCACTCCATGTACAAATCACACTGTCGCATTTTGGAATGTCCACCGCAGATCTCGGTCCAGACGAGTCGTTTCCGGCCAAACAGCTTCGCACAACCATGGATGTCGATTGTCCCGAATGGTTTGACTGGTTTCACGGTGGACTTCAGTACCAGGCTGTTCATCACTTGTTCCCGCGCTTGCCCCGGCATAACTTGCGCCAATGTGTGCCCCTGGTCAGAAAGTTTTGCAAAGAAACTGGACTGCATTATTACATGTATAACTTTTCAACTGGCAATGGCGTTGTATTAGGCGCGCTGAAATCAGTAGCGGATCAAGTTCACTTGATGAACGACGTGGCAAAGTACAATGCAGGCGTCTGGTCTGGTGACAAGCTCCAACAGGAAACCACGCATTAAACTAATTTAAATCACCCTTAACTTCTCTCGTCCCATGTTTTCTGTATATCCTTGCTTCATTTCTCCTTTTCGTATCATTTATACTTTAATCGCTCTATATATACATTATCTTCTTCGCTTACTGTTCCTTTGTATAATTAAAATAAACTTGCGATTAACCAAACTGGGTTCCTGGACGTATTGGATTTTTCCTAATGGATGGCGCTTGAATTATCTCACCTTGGCGTGACACAAATATCCATTTGGCGTTGGAGGATATATCAGGTTGACGGTGCCTTGGCTGCAGGTGTCTCTATATAACAATTGATATACAAATGTGAGCAAAATAATGTGATTCTACAGCATGGTTACCCAAAAATGCTTATTGGAAGATATGCTCACCATCATAGGGTTATACACTGAACAATTGTGTATATGCAACTTGTCTTTATGTTGCCTCAAGTGAATCCTTTTCACAAATTGCTTATCACGTATACACCCTATTTATGCTTGGACAACACAGATGCTGAAATATACGACAGGATGTACAATGCACCGCTCCCCTTTAACTATGACAAGGATAAGGAGAAGGTTGAGCCAATATGATGAAGACCGCAGACTTTAAAGAAGTTCAATATTATAGATATGTGCAGCATGAAATGTCTCACTCAGGGGCTGCTGAGCATGCACACGATTCTCACGATCATAGCGAAAATGAAACGGCCATGATTGTGGGGGCCATTGCCGCACAGGGACTACTGGCGAATCTCTCGTTAAGAAAGCCCCATGCTGTATCAACTACGCAAAGTGCAAGACGGCGAGGAGTGTTTTGTAGTAGGCAAAGTGGGAACGCGAACGACGCACTCTGCCAATTTTTCACATGTGGTGATGAATGTTTTGGTAAAGAACGATATGCCTGGATGAAGGATCCTAGCTACGGACAATGCCAGTATTCGCCATTCATTAAGTGATTCCAAAGCTATAAGATTTGCTGCATTATGAATGACCATGTGGTATTCGTAACAATTTCAATAGTTTCTAAAGACTGCTGCTGTATATGTGTCGTAGTCGATAACGAACAATGTCAGTAAATGGGGAGGGAAAGTAAGAATCAAAATAAAAAAGGTATAATAATATAGAACATAATGAAGAAGATCATCGTTCATTAATATTTTGGCAATACACTCTTTCCGGAAAGTAAATTCGCCCAATAACGAGAACAAAATTCGGGTTGCACGAAAAATCAATTCGCCCTGATGGAAAATCAATTCGCCTGACGGGAGAGCAAAATTCGTGTTGTACGAAATGTAAATTCGTCCTGGCTGACAAATCAGATGTCCTGCTGCCTAGAATATTTTGTAGGACAAGTCTTGGCATCTTTGGATATTTAAGAGCATACCAAATGCTCGTCTTCGTTTTATTTCTTTTTCACAATTGCATCAGAAATCACAGATTATGAACATTCAATTCATGTTTGAAAATGGGAAAGGCTCTGTTGTCGACGAATATGGTCGACCTGAACCAATGGATTATATTGTTGATGAGGAGCAGTTTCGTCTAGAAACGTTGAGCTCTCATACACAATATTTAGCTCAATTGGCTCTAAAGAGCGAGAAAGAAATAGAGACAATGCAGGTGGAAAAAAGAAGTGGTAAAGCCTTGTAGTGATGTTATTATGAGGGAAACATCAGTGAAGCGAAATTATACACGCTACTGTGATCAGGACAAAGTGAGGTTCTTTAAATTGTTGTTTGAGAAGTGTTTGAGTGCGGCCACTGCTGCAAAACAACTTGGGATTCACGTTCGTACAGCACAGAAATGGGCTAAACAGTACGAGACGGATCCTGACAGCATCTTTGAGAAACGGAGAAGGACTGGTCGTCCTCGTATTCTCCATGAGGAACACAAAAACGCTATCCTTGAGTGCATTGATGTCAATCCTTCCGTCGTCCTGGACGAAGTAATGAAGAAGTTAAAACAAATATTTACAGAATTAAAAGTATCCAAAACTACCTTGTTCGATTTTGTAGAACAACATTGCAATTTGTCTCTCAAAAAAGCTCGGCTTCAACCCATAGACCGGAATAGCGAAGAAAAGATTCAAGAGCGCTTGGATTAGGTTCGTAAATGGGAAAAAACAGACATGGATTTCACGAGAAACTGTGTCTTTCTTGACGAGTCTGCTTTCCATATTAATTTGAAACGTAGTATGGCATGGTCAAGGAAAGGTACACCGGCAGTGATCACTGTTCCCAAAACACGAGCGACAACAATGACTATTTAAGGCGCGATTTCTGCTGAAGGTCTAATCAAATGCAGCCTTAGACTTCCTCAGCTTCTATACAATAAAAAGAGAAAGTGGGGAGATGGTGTTGGGCAAATAAGCAAAGGAACGGTTATAGGACACTATATCAGCTTTCTAAAAGCCACAATAGATGAAATGGACCATTATCCACACATGAAAGGTCATTATCTTGTGATGGATAATGCTCCTATCCATACATCAGATAATATCGCTAAATACGTAGAATCTCGCAGTTACCGCTGCGCTTATTTGCCTCCATATTCTCCTGAGCTCAATCCAATCGAGCAATTCTGGTCAGTGGTCAAAAGCAAAGTGAAGCGCAATAAGTTTCTCGAGAAGGAAACGTTGATGACCCGGATCAGTGAAGCTTCTAGTAGCTTGAAATTAAGTGATTTTAAAGGGATTGTTAAACATTCTTATAAATGCTTGGACAAGTGTCGTAATAGGCAAGCACTCTGAAGAAGCTTTCTTTCTACAGAAATCAGGGTGTCTGTTTCTAAAAAAAAAAAAAACGACTTATTGAAATGGATCCGTTTACGTTTCTTTTTCTTTTCTCTCATTGGCTGAATTTTAAAAAATATTACGTTTACGTTAACGTTTCCGTTTCACTTTATTATTTTTTCCATGACAACGCCAACTTTTTTCAAATTCCCTTTGAACGAAGACTGGGAACGGACACGACAACTAAAAATCTTCTGAAACATCCGGAAGTCAAAGACATTGTAACTAAGGCAGTCGCAGGTGTTGATGGCGATGCCTATATAATTGGAGATTCTGAATGGGCGGACGGCACACAATCTGATGTACTATATGCTCCCAAGGATGAATCACTTGGGCATGCCCCAATTATCGTTGAAGTACAGCATTCAGTGAACTTTGCCTTTGTCAATCGATCAATCAGGTATTGTACCTTAGCTTATTAGAGGTTCCAAACATTACCTGTATTAGTTGTTTTTTATATCAATGCTGTGGTGAACCACCTTTATACACTGCTTAAGATATCAACAATAAGATATTCGGTTAAACATTATAGCACACACGTATGGACACTACGGCATTCCAGCTAAACACTATTGAATAAAACCTCTTACTCAGATGATCCAACTTACGTGAGCAGGACAATGAACCTATCAACAGGTACCGCGGCCATTACATCAGCTAACGCCAGTTTCAAAGATGTGCCCGATTAACATAGCGACTTCAATAGAAGTTCTGATACGTCCTTGATCCATCCTCTATCACATAGTTTATCCATTAGTCGGATGAATTGATATCGCCATCTTAATAGCTTGAATATAAAAGAGCTTTATCTTTTGTTGGAATAAAACATCATCTCAAAGATACTTAATCTTGTCCCTTATTATCTTTATTAAAGCTCTATCATCACAAATGCAACAAGTGGCATCCCAATCAAGCTCCTTAGTTCCAGTACCTTACCCTGTGCTATGGATGTACATTGTGACCTGTTGATATGATAAAATTGAAAAAGAAAAAAAGAGATGCAAGCAACCACAAAGATAGATGACTGATCACAAAAACTGCATTAATTCCAAAACTGAATTGCTCGAACATGGCTTGCATTTATTTTAGGTTGAATCTGATTCAACAATATCACAAAAATACATAATAGGGGTGACCGTAAGAATTTACCCGGTGGCTTGGTGGCTTAAAAGTGGCTTACATCACGTGACTTCCTAAAAAGGAAAAAGAATGGTAAATGGTTTTTCCAGCGGCTAAACATTTTACAGGGCTACAGCAATGGGACAAATGTGTGGTTTAATTTGTTCAAAATCTTTGCGTTGGTGAAGTGGTCTAACGCACTAGCCTTGTGTCGGGCCTTTGGAATAAGGCGCTAGTTCGAATCCCCCTTTTGCTAAATTTCAATATATTTTTTTTTGGAAAACTGGTTTTTGCTGTTATCCAATCAATTCTTGTTATTTTCATATAAATAATATACCATCAGATGCAGCTTTTTTTCCTCGTTCCAATAAGTATAAAATCATATGTTTTATATAGTATATCTATGGATGATCCCATTGCTTATACATTTATAGTATTATACTTTTTGTATATCTATTTACACTGTAGTAGAATACTTTTTAGATATCTAAAAAATTTGAAAAGAGCATCTGTAGTAGTATAATGTATAGTACACTTAAAACTATTTGTTTTATTTGAAACGAATGAGTATCTGATAAGATATGAGTACTTAATGATAGAAAATATCAGTAGTTGATAGGTAATACTTCAGTAACAAAAATACTTTAATATACCCAAATTTAGATTGTGACTTTTTTTATGGAACAAATCGGAGCTGAATTTGAATTATGTGACGTACATTTACAAGGTATAAATACGATATCTTTTTGAGATATCTTTTTATTCTTTGGTCTTCCCAGTTTCCCCACGAGAAAAAAACAAACTGGACCGTTTACACTATTTACATCTACTACATCTACTCTTTCTCCTAACTATATCTAAATACCTTTATTCCAACACTTATACACATACACAACTACATCTCTATACATAAAACAAACTATTATTAGGTATTCTTATAAAAATGAGTTAAGTATAAAAGTAAAGGTATTAACTAGTTTATTATAGTATGCCAATATACAACAATATCCCTACACCTACTGAGCCTTACTTCTTAAATACTGAGGCTTGCATTCAGTATCTATATGAAGAAGGCATTTTTTACCGTAGTATGAAGTGCCTTAACTGTGACCGGGATATGCCTCTTTCTTGGTCGAGAGGAGCAAATGGCACTTTCCGATGTACTAGCTGTAATTTGGAGCGGACTGTTCGGACTCATTCCTTTTTTCAACACTGGAATGTACCTCCACATGTTGTCTTACAAATTGGTTTAGAATTGTTAATTAATACTAGTGCTACTAGTATTATTATTAAGACTAAACTAACTTGGGAGACAGTTCGCCAAATAAGATATGATTACTTTCAACTAATTATTGAAGATATGGAGAGTATATTCGAAGGTATGTATATTTCTCTTTCTACTTTAATTATTGTATTTTATAACTAATAATAATATAGGTGAACCAATTAGTGGCCCAGGAATTATTGTGGAGATTGACGAATCGAAGTTTGGCAAAAGAAAGCCATCTGCCAATGGTATTAGTAGCTACGTTGAAGGTGTTTGTGTTTGGGGGGCAGTAGAACGTACACAAGAAAGACGTATCGTAATGGTGAATGTAGACAGGCGCAACCGCCCTACATTAGAGCACTTGATCCAAAAGTATATTTTTCCTGGATCAATCATTTACTCTGATGGATGGGCAGCCTATAATACCCAACGGTTAAAGAGGATGGGTTATACCCATCATATGGTGAACCATGAGCTATATTTTGTTATCCCTGGTACACAGATCCATACTAACACTATTGAAGGTAACTCTTATAAAAATATTCTCCTTTTATATATTATCTAATACTCTCTTTTAGGCAACTGGGGTGGGATAAAGCAGCTCATTACCCGGAACTATAGAACTAGAAAGCTAGTTAAAAAGCAGCTTTTTTTGGTTTATTTGGCAAAGGCGCTTTGCTGATGATCTATGGAATCATTTTCTCCATGTTATAAGGGAATCTTATTTCATAGATCCTAGTAATCAGCAGCTACCTTTTGAGGGTAGAACTGATGATGCTGTTAGGCTCTTAGAACTTTCTCTGAAGTACCGGTAGAAGAAGGAGAAGATCTGGACCAAGAGGAGGGTAATATAGACCCTCTTAACCTTGAAGAGGAAAGAGAAGAAGTAGAAGAAGAAGAAGAACAAGATGACGAAGAAGGGCAAGATGACGACGAAGAAGAAGAAGATCAACAGCAACAAGAACAGCAAAATAGGGCCCTTCTTAATCTGCAAAGACAAAGGGTCCTACAGCATATAGAGCGTCGGGATGAAAGGAGACGGCAGCAAGAGCAGCAACAACAACAAGAACGTGAGCAACAACAACAAGAACGTGAGCAACAACAACAACGACATAGACAGCAACAACGCCAGTCACAACAGCAATCTGAGCAGCAAGAGCAAAGACAACAGCAGCAACACTTACAGATGCAGCAGCTTTTACAGCAACAGCAACAGCAAATAACACAGCCGCAATCTGAATTGGATCAAAAAGACCAATAGATCCAACAACAGCAACAGCTCTTACAGCAGCAATGGCAGTTGATTTCTCAGCTAAATCAGCTGTATATACAACAACATCAGCAACAAGCACAGCAAGTACAACAAGTACAACAAACAGCTAATAATAATATTATTACTATTATTAGTGATGAGGATGAAAATAGTAGTAATGAGGAAGTTAATATAGAAGATTAGCCTTATTTTCCTTCCCTTCTTCACTCTTTTTCTCTACTTTTATTCCTTCCTCCTTTTCATTCTCTCTCTACTTATGTTACCTTGCAAACCCTTTTCTATCTTATTTATTCTATATTTTACTCTTATATAAATATCACTCTATTATTTCTATATTATATATATTTATAGTAACATAAAAATAAGTAACAAATTTTTTTACAAATCTGGCCTCCTTTCTAGCTGAGATTATTGCTTATATGTGACTCTATATGTAATTTTTTTTTCCTACACTCTAGAAACATTTGGGTAAGCCAGAAATGAGGTTTATACTTACTGGTCGCTGAGGGATTGTAACTCTTGATCTTCTGGGTCTAAAGCTGATGCCTTAACCACTTTCGCACCTACCTTTCTATATATGGTAGTCGAGGAAAAACAGTCACTTTTTGAGAAAAATCAGTCCCACGTCGAGGAGAAGCAGTCACACCGGGTAAATACTTACGGTCACCCAGCTCGTCTAGCTTTTCATCCTTTTGGATACATTTTTTGATTTTTTGATTCGGTATTAATAGACATTCGCGTGCCCACACGGTGTTTGTTAAATAATACACATGCGAGTGATCTGGATAAGGAATAAATAAATCCAAAATTGATGGTGGAATGTCGTTGGAAAAGATACATAACAACACTGGGGACTGACTACATTGTTGGTAAAGCTGAACACAATATTCAATAATGTTTGCCATGATTTGTTGATCAGCATGCATATAAATTTGCAAAATAATTGGAGGGAGTGGAAACGACATGTTGGAATGGGATTCGTACGTCACAACAAGTCCATCATCGTTGATCCGAGCAGAAGCGAAAGTGTACGAATCTTCATGGACGTTTAAAAAAGATCTTGCTACAATATCGATTATTTCTTGACGCTCTGACAAGATGCTGTATATCCTGCTTTTGTTCATGAGGTCGCCAAAAAAAAAAGAGTAAGAGGAACAGCAGTCTTTTTTTTAATCCGATCTTATTTGCGGCCAGTTAGATCATTTGTTTATCCAGCCAATGGTAAACAATGTGGGCTACAATCAGCACTAGGAAATGCCCTGTTACACTCCCAACTTTTTTTCCTTTTTTTTTTTGTTACATGGGCTGACGACTACGAGATATTGTAATTCTTTGTTTTATCGAACGAACATTCATTGAAAAGTGAGAGATAAAAAAAGGAAGAGTATCAGAGTGAGGGTAAAGTATTTTGTCAAGGAAACAAAAAAAAGTTTGGAATTCAGTTGTTCGTATATTGTTCGAATCGAACGCGCAGGGATTCCGCATTCTTATAGTGAATCATATTAGGTTTCTCAAGCAGCATTGCATGGCAGGCTTTCCAATTCATCCTTTTTCGAGTTTTTTTGAATTGTTCGGTAAATTCCATAGTGCGCTGATACTTTTGTTCTTCAAATGACCGAATGGATGATTCTGGGTTGGTGTCACTTTTTGCAGCAGCTGTATCCTGATCATCATCCTCTTGAAACTGTCGTTTTACTGATCGCATTTTTTCAATCCCTTGTTGCGCATGCTGATCGATCGTAGATGAGTAGGCTAGCCGCCCGCTGGTATTCAATATTTCTTGATAAACTTTGATGTTGGCATCGCAAATTGATTTGACTGCATCCAACAATTGAGTTTCTCGATCCAATGATTTCACCAAGATTTGTTGCAAGATTTCGAACAATCTGACCATCGTGGAATCTTTCCAACCTTGACTTTCCAATAGGCACGTTTCTTGGTCAACCAAAAGCAATGATAATGCGGTGAAAGGGTGCAAAGCTGCGCCAATCCATTTCTTAGCAGAGGAATCATTGATAATGTGACATTTTCTTGCCCACAGGTCACAATGCACATCCATAGCATAGGGTAAGGTACTGGAACTAAGGCGCTTATTCATTACCAATTGAATTCATGGATAAACTATTGGTAACAAATTTTTTGTTGGTAACAAAAATTTAAATTGTTCACAAATTGAATTTTGAGATATATATAAAATTGAGCTATTAAGAATTAATTGTTGATTATTTATATTCAGATATATATAAAGTTATTAATAATAATCATCCATTTTATATAGTTGAACCAGAAACATATGGATTAGTTAATTATTATGAATATGACTTTGCTGATGATTTAAGAATTGATAAAATTATTTTCATTAATAAGTTATATCAGTATAATCATATTAAAAAAAGTGATAAAGATTAAAAATATTATTGAGTTTATGAATAAAATGCTAAAATTACTTTCTGATAAGAAAGCCTTTTTTAAAGATAATAAATTATATGTTGTAAATAAGAATGAATATGAATTTCGGTTTGATTTAGTTAAGATTTTTAGGATATAGCTACTATAAAAGATTTATATTTAAATTTCAAACTCAATTACTTTTTTGATATAAATTGAATTTTATTTTTATATGAGAATAAAATCATCAAAAGATTTAACAATAGTTGCACTTAATGATTATCTTCCAATTAACCATATCCAACTTCGTAATAATTTATGTAAAGAAATAAATATCTTCATAGAATATGAATTTGATCATTTCTTAGAAAATGAAAAAAAATTAATCAAAAAAATTCAATAAAAAATAGATAAAAAAATAAAAGAAACATTTGAATCAGATCATTTCCTTTATCTTAGTATAAACAATGATTTCTGTATACATAAGTTTAAAAAAGGAAAGAATGAAGGTAAATTTTGCTCACGTAAAATTAAAACTAATATACCAGAAGGTAAGAAAGATTTTTTATGCTCTAAACATAGTAAACTACATATTCGAAAAAAACGTTTAGTAGTTAATAATAATAGTAAAGATATAGAAATAAAAAAGATACCTATAAAAAATGAAAAGAAAATAAAAAAAAAAGAAAACCTATAACATTAAATATAGGTAATCCTTTTTTCTATGCTTTAATAGTATTCTTCCATAAAATTTTTATATAATTCTAATAAATACTGTGCTCTTTTACAATATGCCTAGACTATGTTCTTCAATATATGCTTTTATTAAATCTTTTTGATTAAACATATCAATATATGATACAGTTGAATGCTGTTTTACTTTTACATTCCTTCTTCTTTTTCTAGTACGTTCATTAAAATTAGGTACATCATTTTCACTTTCATTATTTTCTGAATTATTAGATTCATTATTATTTACAACCATTATATTATCTGATATAGCCATGTTTAATAAATTATTTTGTAACTGTATAATCTATTTGCTCCATTCACTGGGTGGGTAGGGGAATATCACTAGGTGAAAAACAGGGTGATATCCAGGTGATATTAGGGTGATAGGTATATTTCACCAGGTTTTTTAACATGGTGATATTTTTGTAGAAACCTGGTGAAATGTAACATATCACCATGTTTTGAGCATGGTGATATTTTGCTGCATGCACGCGGAAATAGGGGTTGCTCCGTAAAAAGGGGTGTTGCTCAATTTCTTTACAGAGGTCTGCATGTGCATGATTTAGCGTATAGGGAGGTGTAGATAGGATTAAAATGATAGCAGTATGATCTGTCCAATGGGTTATGGATATTGTAAAATTATTTACGTTGTAGTTGAATGAAACGATTTTATTTTATTATAGTCATTGGCTAGAATTTTACAAGCATCAAAAGAAAACAGGAGCAAGTATTGATAGAAGGAAACTAGTACTAATGTAGTCGATTTATACTATAATGGACGGTGGTGAGCGGAATATAGCAGAATGGTAGAAAGCAAAAGCGAAATGTCCAGATGGTAAAGTGCGGAATGGAGCAGTGTCGTCAATTGGAAGACCACATAAAGAGATTGTGCAGTTATTAGTTTGGAGAACAGAGGTAGTAAGGAAAAGGGAAGAAAAGCCGTTTGATACTTACTATAGGTATTACTACTTGAGACACATTGAGATTTACTAGCAACCAGTCGAGTGGATGATATATCTTATAGCATGATAGAGTGTTAGTAGTCAATTCTTGTACGTATTTGTGGAGACCATATAAAAAAGAAACGGAGAGAAACCTTACATCATAACCACCCGATCCTGATAGCGAAAATGAAAGCTATAACCTAAAGAACATAATCAACAAGAGCTATAAGTATATAGCAAGAGCTTACACATATCAACAATCATATAGCACACAACGTATAGTACATGATGATATAACATACCTGGTGAATGGGTACTTGGCAATTGGAAAAGGGCAGGAGAAGTATGAAAAGTGGAAAAAGTGAAAGAAAGAGATAAAAAATGGATGTATGGAAAACACGAAAAAAGAGAAAGAAAGCCGTACATGCAGACTAGCTTCTTTTCCATCCTCACTATGCATAGGAAGGAGACCATCGATCGATCTATCCTAAGATAAAGTGTTCCCCTTAAAAACCCCTCAATACAATCTGCCTTCTTTTTGCTTTACCTTCCCTCACGTTTAACTACTAAAAAAAGTGAATAGGTAGCAGTTAGTGTACATCCATTGAGTGTTGTATATTAAGACTCTGTGTAGATGCCTACTATAGGAGAACGTAATGCCGCCAGAGAGCAACGGAACGCCGAGCGTAGGGCGGCAGTTGAGCAAGAAAACGCCAGGAACGTCGTTTTGAGTATGGAGGATCGCCTCAGGGCATTGGAGGCGCGAAACTTGGCGCTGGAGAACCAATTTGAAGCGATGGGGAACGTCGTTGCCAGACAGAACCTGGCCATACAACAGCAGCCTGTGCCCTCTCCTGCTGAACATCCAGCTCGAGCCGAGGTTCCAATGCAACAACCTCCAGTGCATCGTTTGCGGCATGTTTCTGTAAGAAAACTAATGGATATATCTAGGTAAATAGCCGATTAATAGTATCATCGAATTATAGTGCGCAATCCGCCATTTCCATCGTTCTCTGGGAGACGGCGGCTTCCAGTTGGATGCCGATTATCGTTCAGCACGCAATCGCGCTGTTCGTACCCGCATCATGTCGTACATCGATGGTGGTGGACGGTACCAGTTATCACACGCTGAACTGTCTACAAAGATTTACGACTTTTTTGCTAATATGCGTCGTGAGGGTCGTCGGTCGGCTGTGCGTGCAGCACAAAGAAAAGTGTCGGCTCGCCGAAATAGTCGTCGCCACAGTGTAAGAAAAAGAAACAACCATCCATTCTTTTTAGTATAATCAGTTCTGACACAGAAAGTAGAAGCACAAGCGCCGACTTCAAGTTTACCGACAGCATCAGGCACAGCTGGATGCAACATATCCGGGAGGGGAGGCATTGCTCCAGTTGGAGTACATGTCTGAAGAAGAGACGGACGTCGAAGGTGATGGTGACAAGCGTTTGGTTGTACTCAAGCCCTTGTGGAGGAGTGAGAGGGTAATTGTTGTGTGCTTGTTTGGTAAATGCGTCGAAGTTGTGTTTGACAAATCGTTTGTAGGCAAATGAGTTCTTATGCACACTCGACGGACTGAGACCAGACGCAGACGTCAATAGATTGATGCGGGTGGATGGTGTTGGTGGTGCAGCTTTGTCTGACGATGCAAGAGCGCAATTGGAGGGTTGGGCAGTTGATTTTTAAGAATAAAAAATAAAAAAAAATGGTTGCACGGCTTCGTGTCGTGTGGGTAAGGGGTGGGCAAAAGAAAAGTTACTATTGCATATGCAGCTGTTGTTTTCGGAGTGGGGGGAGTCTATAAAAAATATCACTCGTGGTAAATGTATCTTTTTTCTTTTTTGGCCACTGCTCTTAGACACGTCACTTCTTTGTCATCTCTTATTGCAGCACAGACAACAGAGTCACTCAGTGTGCTCGTTAAAGCTTTACAAACAGCAACAGTGGAAAAGCTTTTCGTCTAATCTGGTAACCATAACATCTTGCTGTACGATTAGTTTCGATTCAAGTTCGATAAAAAGTCTTAACAACCGTTCTCATAAGCTACATAATACGAATTGGTACCTGGTGTGTATACAGCTGCTGGTAGCTTTGCTCTTCTTTCGTTCGCACCGCATTGGATCTCGAATTTAACTTCATCTTTTTTTTGCAACTTAGTTACCGAATTTCCCTTTGCGATATACAACACTTTAACTCATCAATAATAGCGGAAACTTAGAAGGGACGAATAAGAAAAGTCAACGCTTTGATTATGCTAGCATCTTTTTCGCCAAGGGAAGGACTACTGTTCTAGCATTTGCACTAGTTTGTGCACCCAGTTTCACAACAGCAACTTGTCCATATAAACGATGGACCGGTACAATACAATCCATCGCTTCGCCTCGAAAACGACTACACCAAGTTTCAACGTAGGGATCCACGAATCGTCGGCCGTCATTGTCTCTGTGGATGCTGTACCATCGAACATACGCAAAAACATGCTCTCTCTGCTGCCCACGAATCAACTGCACATGCCGAAAGAAAAATTGGATCTCGCATGGCCAGGCCATTGCTTCTCCGCGATCGTCTACGTGGAACAGAACTTGAGCGTGGGCACCACGTCGCGATCTCGCTTCAGCACTGCGGTAAATCTGCCCCATCATCGTTATCGTCTTCATTTTCCAGTACTGGTTACTGATGAAAACTTGCCCATCACCAGCTTGGGTATAGTGAACGAGATGATCGTCATATACAGCACGGTAAAATGCCAACAAGAAACTGTACAGTTGCTCAGGCATAAACGCTATCCGTCCATAATGCAAAGGGTGTACATCTGGCGGCAGCGGCTCACTTCCTGTAACGTAGTGGTTGGTACCAACATCCGTCGACAACGCCAAAAACGCATGAACATCGAATTGACGCTGGACAACATCAGCTGCGCGTGGGATCGGCTGTACAAGGTCAAGGAACCGATTCAAAAAAGAGAAATGGTGTTGGTGGTGCTGGAAGTGGGCTTCAAACGAACGGACAAAATCGCGAGCACCAGTCTTCTGCAAGAACTTCTTCATAAACGTGATTTCAAACGAGTCTTTCTGATTGGTGTCGATCTCTTTCAGATAACCGTTGTACCGTTCAAACGAGAAGAGCCAGTACGCGTACAACGGCCCAAAATCCTCGATCGTCGCGTTCAAATTCATATGCAGGTGCATGTTCGGTGTGATTTCTTCTGGGCCATACAACCGTTCAACACCAGTGCAAAATTGCTGGAGCAGGTTGTTTGCTTCTGCAATTTCATCCACAGTAATCGATGGCTTGACCAGCAAGCGACACGCATCAACAAACATCAGCCAGTTTTCGAGATATCTTCTGGGAAGGTGGCCGTCGAGCACAAAAGGCGAGTATACAATGCACTATGATTTCCAATCGTCAGCGGTCATGAACGAGAAGCCACTTTCGAATTTTCGGTTCAAGGTAACATAGTCAGGAGGAAGAACAATGCCATTCGCCAGCACCTGCATCTGTTGGAGGTCGGTTCGGTCAATGAGGTCTCTGTCCATCCAGACCTTTGCCATGCGCTTTGCTGTGCCGAGAAACAAGTTATGCATCGGGTCGATGATGGTGCAACGGACAGGATCAAAGTAGCCAAGACGATGCAACTCTGACCATCTCGTCCCATTTGCGCGTTCCAGATCTCGTCGAGCACTCATCGTCTCTGCACCCCGCCACTGCTCAGCACATGCTCGATTGTCCTCGAACGTCCGCAAGTCCCAATTTTCGACATCAAACCCAGAGTAGTCAATGTTGGTTGTGCCAGGGAAAACATTGAATTGGCGAACGCATTTGTGGCAGGCACAAAGGCTCGCGTGCGACGTAAAACCGCTGGTTTTCCGTGCAGCAGGGATATCGCAAGCATTAATGAACAAGGCTAAACGGACACAAGTTCCTTGTGGATGCTCGCGCGTACTGATCGATTTTCCACCGTACCATTCCAACAATTCATCAACCAGGGGTCGAAGGTAATTGTTTATGTCGGTTGTGCTCGCTTCTCGTGGGCCAGGCATTACACCAACAAGAATGACATTCTCTGTCTTGTAGCGTTCAGATCGTGGAAGATTATTGATGGTCAAGTAAATGGCACCGCATGAATAAGTCGAGTTTAGAAATGGCCCAAACCAGTCAATGTTGAGTGTCAACAGCAGTGAACGGCGCTGCTCCACGAACGGGCTGCCGTCACGACCACGGAACTCTCGCCACATATCACCATCGTATATGTCAAAGAAGGTGTCGGCAACGCGTCTTCGATTTCGCCATTCCTCGCACTTTGCTTCAAACCCTGGCCGCCGAAAAAGTCTATCAACACTCGCAGACAAGGGCTGATATGCAAACTCCTTAATGGGAGTCCAAGGATTGCCTGCGGCTTTAAACAATTCATTGCCGCATAAGCTGTTGTATCGGATGTCGTCGTTCGTGCATGTTCTTGGGCATTGTGGATCAGTCGAACGATACAAGTTGTGACAGCGAGGACAACACACATATTTGCGCAAGTGGTCAGTCAATGCAGAGAAGCCAGTAATGCGACGAAGTGTAGAAAGCGAGGTAGGGATCGAGAAGTTTGGCTGCAGATCACTAAGAAGTAGGACACAAAAGTCAATGATGGTGGAGGAGAGATGCTCGGAGACAAAGTGTAGCTGGAATAGCACGAGGAAGAGAACGACGAGGGCAAAGGGGTGCGGGTAGGTGTGAACCTCGGTAACGGTAGGAGGAGGAGGATGAAGGTGAGTGTCTATTTTTCAAATAATGAGATATATAGTATGGTTAAAGTCTGTTATTTGCTTTAATAAATTTTTTTTTACAAACCAACCTGGTTCAATATTGGCAGTTCTGTCAAAGTTGCCTCCAGCATAACCAAACTCAATGTCTTCGGCATTTACAACAAGATCGTCAGCGGACAACTCGCCATTGTCAGCCTCATTGTCTTCAGCAGCAAAAACATTATCCTCGACGGAAAAAGGGACATGACGACTAGCTGCAGCGCCTACAAGCCCAACAATGATAAATAACTTATTCACATCTAGTATCATTGTAACAGCTCATCATACTAGGAGAGGAAGGATCAGCTACTACATCCGTATCCATATCCATATCGTCGCCCGAAAGCAACGGCGATGGTGAGGATGGATGTCCTTGTCCGAAGCTAGCCTCGATAGAAGCTACGATAGCATTCACTACATATGCAACGCATTATATTACTAACTAATCCTCGAAGAACGTGCCTGAAAGAAGTACCATTGTGTGAAAATTCATCTGTAGATTCATTAAGAATACGCTGCTGGTGATAGTTTCGGATTCTATAAGGCACCATTTGATAGCCGAAGCTTGTCGACGCACATGTAGGACAAAAGCACGGAAATAAACGCCCTTCGTCATTGTCCTCCATTGTAAAAAAAAAGTGTAGATGAACAAGATCAGGGATTCCAATAATTGTACTGAGTTTCTCTTATTTTTTTAATACTACATTGTAACCACATTATGCACTTCCCCTTTGATCCTATTTTCTTATCATGCGTTACCCTCCTCAGTGCAACGCAAAATATTTTATTACAGGGCAGGAACATGACCCTGTGAACGCTAAATTGTTGGTCGGGGGAAGGGTGCATGCTTGCATTTTATACAGTTCAACGTATTGTTGTTTTGCTACACTAATGGCTATTGCATAAGAAGAAAAGTCCAGTAGGGGGTATAATGAATGCATCAAAAAAGAATTCATCACAGATATTGTGCATGAGCCCCTTTTTCGCTTGTACATGAAGGAAAACAGCGTAAATGACTACTGAATTTGGTTGCTGCATTTGCTACAGGCTACATATTCTTTTTTCTGGCGCACAACCTGGTGATAGGTAGATATCACCCTGTTTTCAAACATGGTGATATTTACTTTTTCGCGCAGTGATTATTTATTTATATTATAAAATTCAATTTAGATATAAAAAATTAGTAGTTCTTTAATAAAACAAATATTAATTTATAACCAACAAGGTAATGCAGTACCCACTAAGGAGCTTAATTGGGATGCCACTTGTTGCATTGATACAAAAAACAACTAATACAGGTAATGTTTGGAACCTCTGATAAGCTAAGGTACAATACCTGATTGATCGATTGACAAAGGCAAAGTTCACTGAATGCTGTACTTCAACGATAATTGGGGCATGCCTAAGTGATTCATCCTTGGGAGCGTATAGTACATCAGATTGTGTGCCGTCCGCCCATTCAGAATCTCCAATTATATAGGCATCGCCATCAACACCTGCGACTGCCTTAGTTACAATGTCTTTGACTTCCGGATGTTTCAGAAGATTTTTAGTTGTCGTGTCCGTTCCTGGTCTTCGTTCAAAGGGAATTTGAAAAAGTTGGCGTTGTCATGGAAAAAATAATAAAGTGAAACGTAAACGTAAACGTAATATTTTTAAAGATTCAGCCAATGAGAGAAAAGAAAAAGAAAAGAAAAAGAAACGTAAATGGAAACGTACAACCAGATCGTAGCAGATTCCGTATATGATGCCATTTACAAGCTGGCTGAGCTAAACATAGATCCCACGCCCGAAGAGTTGAATGAGTCCTGTGTAAACGGAAACGTAAACGGGAACGTAAACGGGAACGTAAACGGAAACGTAAACGGAAACGTAAACGGAAACGTAAACGTAAATGTAAACGGAAACGTAAACGTAAACGTAAACGGATACGTAAACGGAAACGTAAACGTAAACGTAATATTTTTAAAGATTCAGCCAATGAGAGAAAAGAAAAAGAAAACGTAAACGGAAACGTAAACGGAAACGTAAACGGAAACGTAAACGGAAACGTAAACGGAAACGTAAACGGAAACGGAAACGGAAACGGAAACGTAAACGTAAACGTAAACGTAAACGTAAACGTAAACGTAAACGTAAACGTAAACGTAAACGTAAACGTAAACGTAAACGTAAACGTAAACGTAAACGTAAACGTAAACGTAAACGTAAACGTAAACGGAAACGTAAACGGAAACGTAAACGTAAACGGAAACGTAAACGGAAACGTAAACGTAAACGTAATATTTTTTAAAGATTCAGCCAATGAGAGAAAAGAAAAAGAAAACGTAAACGGAAACGTAAACGGAAACGTAAACGGAAACGTAAACGGAAATGTAAACGGAAACGTAAACGTAAACGTAATATTTTTAAAAATTCAGCCAATGAGAGAAAAGAAAAAGAAACGTAAACGGATCCATTTCAATAAGTCGGTTTTTTTTTAGAAACAGACACCCTGATTTCCGTAGAAAGAAAGCTTCTTCAGAGTGCTTGCCCATTACGACACTTGTCCAAGCATTTATAAGAATGTTTAACAGTCCCTTTAAAATCACTTAATTTCAAGCTACTAGAAGCTTCACTGATCCGGGTCATCAACGTTTCCTTCTCGAGAAACTTATTGCGCTTCACTTTGCTTTTGACCACTGACCAGAATTGCTCGATTGGATTGAGCTCAGGAGAATATGGAGGCAAATAAGCGCAGCGGTAACCGCGAGATTCTATGTATTTAGCGATATTATCTGATGTATGTGTGGTGTTCAACAATAGAAAGGGACTAGAAGTCTTCGAGATTGCTGTTTAATTCCAAAAGAATCAATGATCTATCCTTCACTTGTTTTCTACAGCTATTTATACACGACCAGGGTCTGTGACGATGAAAAGAAAAACCAGATAAATGATAGATCCGCTCAGCAACCTGACCAATACTTCTTGATGCTGGTTTCTAATCGAAACCGCTGTAAGTCAGCCACGACATAACCCCCCTCCAGGTTGTTGCAACCGGAAAGAAGAAGTGGTGATCTGAAAGTAGGTCGATTACGGGCGTCTTCGTTTGCGTCCTGCAACTCGTTCGGCAATAGAATTTCTGGTGGGATCATTACGTCTCCGCCAGTACTGCTGGATAAGGAACGGGGAGTCGAAGCTCTCTGGTGGTTCCCAAGTATCCTCAGATGAATCATAGCCCTTCCATCGAACCTTGTACTCGTATTCTCCTGGTTTGCCACGGTGGTTTATAATACAATCGATCACATAATGCTTATCATCTCTCAGGAGTGGATCCTCAGATACGCTCTTTAACGCACTTGGGGGAAGCTCGGCCTGATAATGTCACCGGTCTTATCCTTGAGGATGTATGCTCCTGTGTCTGTTTTGTAATGTACCACAAAAGGTCCTTCATATTTTGGATCCGTTTTACGTGTGCGTATTTTGTCTTCAATTGCAACCAGGGAACCGATGGGGAATTCGATGAGTCGATGTGCCTTGTTAAATTTATCTTGAGCAGCTTGTCGAACGTTGCGGATGCGTTGGCTGATGGCTGGCACAGCAATTTTTGCCATGGCATCAATTCTTTTCCTCAGGTCTGTGTCATCATATGGGGCAAGTGGCTCCTCAGGACTGGGTGTATCACTCCGATAGTCCTTGAACGCGTTCATCCTTCTTCCAAACATAAGTGAGAATGGAGCTGAATTGTGTATGGGCGCGATTCGTGCATTATAGGCCAACTGAACAAAAGGTACATGTCGATCCCAGTCTTTGACTTGGCCGTCAATCATCTTGTGTATGGCTCGTTTAGCTGTTTGTACCATCCGCTCTGCCGCACCGTTAGCACGTGCATGATATGGTGATATCAAACGTCTATCAATACCAGCTTGTTTGCATACCAAGTTCATCAATTCATTAACGAACTCGCGGCCATTGTCACTTTGTAATATTTGCATTGGTCCGAAGTCAGCTATTATTTTGATAAGTTGTGTAGCAACAGTCGGGGAAGTTTTGTCTGGTACAGCGCGTAATAAACAAAACTTGCTGAAAATGTCGATCATCACCATGAGGTATAAATTTCCATCATGTGAGAGGTCATAGGGTCCCGCAAAGTCAATTGCCCAATGATCACCAGGTAAATTGCTCTCGATGGATTGTAGTGGATGTAACCTTTTTGGACTACATTGTGCTGCATGCATTGCTTACATTGCTTGACTGTTTCAATAGCATCTTGTTTCAGGTTCTTCCAGTGGAGACCGTCAGCATGAACAGCTCGCACGATAGCATCTGCGCCAAAGTGACCAAATAAGTGTTTCTTCAACAGCAAATCCTTTCGCTCATTACCAGGCAAGCTTTTGTATTCTGGATCAAATAGCTCGTGGATGTGGTTGTGTAGATCACTAATAACTTGGTTACGTGATTCAGTATCAGGTGGTGACATAGCATCTTCAGGTACCGTTGTCTTTGCAGCACGTGTAACAAGAGCGTCTTTTGTCCTCGAGTTCGATGTGTTCACGTCATTACCCCCCACCAGCTCTTCGTTAGGCGGGAATAAGCGAGACAAGGCATCGGGAATAACGTTTGTAACTCCTGGGATGTGTACAACGGTAAAAGAGTAATCAAGCAGTGTGTCCCACCAATTCATCATCATGCTGTTGGCATACTTTTGGGAGTTGAGATAGACAAGTGCGCGATGATCAGTTTGGATCTCGAATGGAATATCTGTGCCCCAGAGATACTTATGAAACTTCTGTAAGCCAAATACCACAGCGAGCAACTCGCGTCGAGTTACACTCCAGCGGGTCTCGGATGGAGAAAGAGATCGCGCCATAAAGCCAATGTACTTGATGACGTATTGTGTGTTACCATCTTTGTCTGTGCGCGGATGCTTTTGGAATAAGATTGCGGAAATTCCAACATTGCTCGCGTCGGTACCAAGGTAGCATTTCAAGTCTGGTCGAAATTGGCTCAAAGTAGGTGCTCGAGTAAGGGCTAGCTTGATGTTTTCAAAGCTCCGTTGGCACTCATGAGTCCATAGATCGCCGATCTTTTGTACATTGCGTAGCTTGTCCAAAGGTGCTGTCAGATCCGAAAATCGTGGCAGGTGGGTGCGCATATAATTTGCAATGCCCAAGAAACGCATCACCTCTTTGCCTGTTTGAGGTCTGTCAATCGATTGTATATTGGATGTCTTTTTTGGATCCAAGAATATCCCTGATTCGCCTACTACAAAACCCAAAACATTGGTGCGTGATAGTGCAAAGCCGGATTTCTCGTGATTCAGTAGCAAATTGCATTCGGTCAGTTTGGATACCACAGCTGCGACATTGGCGCTATGTGAAGCCAAATCTGTATCATAAACGTATACATCGTCCACAAAGGAAATACAACGCATTCCGTTTGTGATAGTAGCAAGGCACCGACAAAATTGGTTGCTCAAAAATTTTAGGCCAAAAGCCCCACCTTTATAGACCCATTGCTTCCCTCGATGAGTGAAGGCTAGTTTGGACTGGTCAACCGGGTCTGGAATAGGCAGTTTGTGAAATGCCGACTTGACATCGAGTCGTGTCACCACTTTAGCTCCGTTAAGAGTCTGAAGTACGTCTTTCACCAATGGTAATGGGAAGCGATCATCTTCAATGAGAATCCTGTTAAGGGCGCGCAAGTCTAGGCAGGGCCTTCTGTCAACGAGGTTACCAGCAGCGTCTTTCTTGGGCACAAAGATAATTGGGTTGTTAAACTCCGTGTTACTTGGTGCTTCTTGTATAAGACCATCGGCGAGCCATTTTGATATGGTCTCATCCAGAAGAGAATTAAGTTTCGGTGGAAGATCATATTGTCGCGTGTAGACTGTCTTTCCAGGAATTGTTTTGATGCGCACAACGGCTTCTGGGATATTGCAAAATGCTCCAGGTGGTATCCGTTTGTTGGCTTCGAGAATGGGAGAAACAGTAGAGAAAAAGGCGTCTCTTTCTTCTGGGGTTCCAGCAGGCGTTTCATCCGGAGTTTGATACTCATCGGTGTTTTCAACTACCTGTGTTGGGGTGTCCCATGACCGCGCCAAACCTCCGAGGAAAATTCCAATTTTGTTCATGATGTCAAGACCGAGTGAAACCTCTGTGTCATCTGTCATATCAAGCACATAGAATCGATGTGTTGTCTGAATACCATTGTGAATGATTGTCAAAGGGTCAGTGATGCCATTGCTCATAGCGATATGGCCTTTCGCTGCCTCATGGATAGGAACAGTTTGCTTTGTAAAATGTATTTTATTTTGTTGGCAAAATTTATTGCTCAGACTAGAAAAATTTGCGCCGCTGTCACAGAGTCCCAAGGTTCTACTATTCTGTACCGTGATAGGAACGAAAATAGAATCGTTAGTGTTGTTCTGTGAACGCTCATTTCCTTTTGCGCCAGATCTCATATAAAGGATCGGCTGCTGCATACCTTGATTTGCCTTGTCAATGACAGCGTCGAAATCCAAATCCATGTCAGTGACCGGAAGGAGGTCCTGCTGGTTGGGTTCGCTATGGGTGGCGGCCGAGGTTGCGGACTGAGCCCTTTCCTGTTCCAATTGGGCACGTCGTTGTTTTAGTTCATATTGTTTTTCTTTTGCTTGCTTGTGCTCGAGATACTCTTTGCACTTGTGACCATCGACACGAATGCGGCCGCAAAACCAGCAGCGTTCTTCATTGACTTTGGTTCCGGCTCGTTCCTTACCTTTGTCTCTCTTTTGAGAAGAGGACTCGGGCTTGCTCGAGAAACATTGGCCATTGGTGTGGTTGGATGTGGGGTGGCGACGACACTGGTCGACTCGCGACTCTTGCTTTCTTGCTTTCTTAGCAGGTCTGCGGTCATGTTCTTCACCATCAT